GTGATACCACGCTCGCGCTCGGCCTTGAGGTTGTCAAGGACCCAGGCGTACTTGAACGACGACTTGCCGAGCTCGAGGGCTTCCTTCTCGAACTTCTCGATCGTACGCTTGTCGATACCGCCGCACTTGTAGATCAAGTGACCGGTGGTCGTCGACTTACCGGCATCGACGTGGCCGATGACGACGAGCGAGATGTGGATCTTTTCCTTGGGCATCTTGGAGGGTCTGCAAAATGGAGAATGACTTCTTCGGGGATGGAGGCCGCCGGAACCGCAGAACCAATAGTTTGGCCCGCGCGAGGTGATTGGCTGCAAGAGTACGGATACACGAGCCGAGAGCTGCGGTTTGTATGCGATGGTCCGGATACGCCCGCCCCACGCACCAAATGACTGGTGAAAATGCGCGCGCGATGATTGGCCAACGACCGCAACGAGGGGTCGGGATGCGCGCCGATTGGCCCGAATGTGTGGCCGCCATCGGCGCCGCCCCTGTCGCTTGCTCCGCGTGGGTGGCCGCGATGCGCCCGCCAATGGGATCCCGTCATCGGCGTCGTCGGATTACGAGCGGGAGCCATGCGCTGGCGGCGCGACTAGCTGCTCCGTGGTAGCAACAGGCTTGCGATGGCTTCCGCCAGCATCTTGGTCCGTCGCACCTGCATTCTGTGCGGGCAAGAAAGAATCCGCGGGCCATTTTACTACTGTACTCTAGACGGAGGCCTCTGAGACTGCACCAAAAAGACTTGGCGGCAACACATCAAGTGGCCTCGTCGTCGGGACGTGACGGGTGGAGTAGACCTTGAGCCGACGCGCTTTAGCAGCATGCGTGGCGAGCTGCGAAAGCACATGCTGCCTTTCACAGCATGGCTGATCCTTGGCTGATTCTCAGCTGCATGCGAAGGAATTCCCTTGGCTGTTGCTGTTGCATCCATCGTCATGGCGTACCCCAGTCATGATGGTTGAGTTTGCGGACTCTTACCTTTGGGCATTGGTATCGGCGCCTATGGCTGCGATTATTACATGCGACTGATACTACTACAAGCCACAGCTACCGGTTTTGCTGCATGCTTTTCGACTGCGAGGTGGAAGGTGCGCGTCTTGACGTACGCACTGGATTTCGACTTCATCAACCTTCGTGCTACTGTATCCGGATCCGCAAGCTTGGCCGCACAACTGCAAACGAACACGATGGCGAAGCCCAAGGTGCGCACGGCGATCGCGATGCTCAACATGGGCGGGCCCGCGACCCTTCCGGAGGTCCCGTCCTTCCTCAAGAACCTCTTCTCGGACCCGGAGATCATCCCGCTCGGGCCCTTCCAGAGCATCCTCTCGGACGTCATCTCCAAGCGCCGGTCGCCCAAGATCGCAGACCAGTACGCTGCGATCGGCGGCGGGTCGCCCATTGGCCGCTGGACCAACCACCAAGGCGACGCCATGTGCAAGATCCTCGATGAGATCCGCCCCGAGAGCGCGCCGCACAAGCACTACGCCATGTTCCGCTATGCCAACCCGCTCACGGAAGCTGCGCTGAAGCAAATGAAGGACGACGGCGCCGAGCGTGCGATCGCCTTCTCGCAGGTAAGACCGGCATGCAGTGCGAGGCGGTGCAGAGACCAGGCATGTCTAGTACCCGCAATGGTCGTGCACGACGACGGGCTCGAGCATGAACCACCTCTGGCGTGAGCTCAAGCGCCTCGACATGGGCGAAACGTTCGAGTGGTCGCTCATTGACCGGTAAGTCGCCAGCCGTCACCGTTCGCCTCGATGCTGATCTGCTTGATCTATTAGCTGGAACACGCACCCGGGCTACATTGCTGCCTTGTCCCAGCGCGTGAAGCTCGGTTTGGAGCAGTTTGCGCCCGAAGACCGCGAGAAGGTGAGTCTCTTCTGACTCCAACGCACCTCACCACGTCGTGCTGGTAGGTCGTGATCATGTTCTCGGCGCACTCGGTGCCGATGAAGGTTGTGTACAAGGGCGACTCGTACACGAAGGAGATCGCGTCGACGAGCGAGCACGTTATGAAGCATCTCAACCTCCCCAACGCGCACATCTTGAGCTGGCAATCCAAGGGTACCTCCTTTCCCTTGTGGGATGCGAGCTCACGCCTTTCCTAGTCGGGTATCTCCCGTGGATGGGCCCGAGCACGAGCGATGTGATCAAGGGCCTCGCCCGCCAGGGCCACAAGTGCGCGCTTGCTTGGAGGCGAGGGCAGGATGACTCATGCACACCACGCGTAGGCACGTCATGGCCGTCCCCGTCGCGTTCACGTCGGACCACATTGAGACGCTTTTTGAGATTGACATTGAGTACGCCGAGGAAGCCCACGAGGCCGGCATCGAGCACTTCAAGCGCAGCCCGTCGCTGAACGACGAGCCGCTGCTCGCCAAGGCCATGGCGGACCTTGTGAAGGACCACTTGGACTCGGAGACGCTGCACTCGCCGGCCTACCCGCTCAACTGCCCGCAGTGCGAGAACCCGACGTGCCGGAGCATCATGAACCCGATCAAGCCGTACGCGCGTCTGCGCGATGTGGCCTCGGGCGTGGCGACGCCGCAGCAGGTGGCCGACTTGCAGTAGAAAGCTACAGACAATAGAAGAAACGACACACACTACTTCGTGTCTTATTCCTGGTGCATTCGTGGCGTAAGGAGGCCACTGATCTAAAGGCGCGTGAGCTCGACGTCGCTGACGGTGCGCTCCAAGACATCTTCCGGCGCCGTGTCCAAGGGGCCAGTCTCTGTTCTTCTGGGGGTGTGGCGCTCCTTGAGCACCTCGGGCTTGGGGATGATCGTGCCCGTCTTCTTCGACACGCGAAGACGCTCGCCTTCCTCCGAAAACCGGATGGCAATGCGCGTGGGCTTGCTACACAGGACGCTTCTAAGCAATCACGCGAGCCATCGCGCTCGTACCCAATGGTCTCGTCGACCAGGTTGACGTTGCTGTAATGGATCGGGCCAGGGGCCAAGTAGATGCGGCCGGGGCGACGCCGGGCTTGGCCTTGACGTAGCGGTGGCGCTAGCATGGCACGGCCATCGTGAGGCTCGTGTCATTGCTCGAGGCAGTAGCATACCATGTTGATGTCCTCGAGAATGAGGCTGTTCTTGGCGCGGACAACCTCCTTGACGACGCCCTGCTTACCCTTGTGGGGCCGGCGACGACTTCAACCTACGTCGGGTGAGCTTTCGCCGGCGCAGGAAGGCCGCGGACCTTGTCGCCGCGGAAGATGTTCCACTTGGGGATCTCGGCGATGAGCTTCTCGCGCTTGGGCATCTTGCGCATCGCGGCAGGCATACGGAAGGCCATCGTGACGACTTGGGTTTTTGCCGATTGCTTTTGCCAACCAACGATGCCAAGCTCGGTAAAGTCCGGTTCGGATCCGCTCCGCCGGTCTTTGAACCGGTTTGTCCCATCGGATGGAAATAGTGTTTTTTGCTTAGGGTGAAAAGAAACACTATTTCAAGAAGCGGTGCACACTATTAATTGCCGATCCTGCCATGCAAGCAGCGACGGCGCTGGCCGCGGTCGACGAGTGCTACCGGCATTGCGACAAGCGTCAGAAGGGTCATCCTGCTGGCTTGGCCGGGCCCTGCGCTCATGGCGGTACGTAGGCTACCTGGACAAGGACGAGCTCAAGTGGGCCATCACAGCCTTGCTCGGCAGCACGCCCACCAAGGTGCGCCCACGACGACGAACGCAGCCCGACGCATGGCATGTATTAGCTCGTGCTTTGCCAGATGTTCGAGGAGCTCCGAGCCACGTACCCCGACGTCAAGGTGCCACGCGACCGCTTTGTCTCGGTCATCTCGAGCCGCGTCCTAAACATCGACATTACTGAGACGCTGCGCCGCTGGTTCAAGGCCTTTGACTGCGCGTCGCAGGGCTACATTAGCTTTGAGAGCTTCTCAGACGCCTGCGCCCAGGTCGTGCCGCACATGCGCCCCAGCATCGTGCACGAGCTCTTCCGGGAGGCCGACACGAACGGCGACGGCAAGGTACTCGAGGAGTGTATACTACTACTACGTGCCAACTCTTTCGCGACAGGTGACCTTCTCAGACTTTGAGCGCGTCATGCTCATCTCCATGACGCTGCCGCCACTCTGAACGCAGTAGTTAGTATAGATTCGACGCCTCCTAAGTGGGGTTCTCGGGCGGCGGCCGTGCCGGGTACGTCCGCATGACGGTGGCAAAGTCCCCCTAACCACCGTGAAGACGAGGCGTCTGCGAGAAGACGTACGGGCTTGATCTCGTGCTCGCCCTGGTCGTTCTCTTCGCCGCACATGTTGAAGATGCGCATGATGGTGCGGTCGTCGCAGGCCGGGTCGACGTTTTTGATCATCGCGCCAAACTCTACGCATGCTGCTAGCGGATGGCTCGTCTGCACACGCACAGACCTTGGTACGCGAGCACACCGTTGCCGTCTTCGTCCGCTTGCGTGAACAGCAGCGTGAGGTTTCTGTCGACGCTACATGGTCGATTTGCAGCTTCTCGTCGTCGGATGGTGAAACGTACTGGGCTTGGTAGTCGTACCACACGCTCATGACGCAGTCCATGACGTCGTCTAGATTGAGAATGACGTGGTGCGGGTCCAGCACGCGCGGCTTGGAGTTGCGCTTCTTGACGGGCCGCTCGCAGATGGACGGCAGCGCCACAACGCGCGCGTTGAGGTCGCCGATGAACGCGACGGGCGTATGCGGGGGAAAGATCTTGCGCGCGAGATCCTTGGCGGCGTGCAGCGGCACCTACCACACCCATACATTGTACAAGAAATACACAAATCAGTGCTGGCGGTACGTAGGTGGGTTTCGACCCGTCGCCCATGCGAGTCTCGATCTCGGGCGTTGGCATGAGCAGCGTGAGCGTGTGCAGGTACACGTCGATGGCCTGTGCGTTGTAGAGCTCGGGCGTCGCGCCAAGAAGGATCCCAAACCACTTGGCGCGCGAGCTGTCCTTCTCAATCTAGCACCACCACATGAGATGCATTGATACCTTGATACAAAAGCGACCTTTTTAACCCCGGCGACGAGGCTGCCAATGCGCTTTTGACTCGCCGATTTGAGCCCGAGCTCCTGGATGTAAAAGTCCTGGACGAGCTCTGCGAGCGAGACGCGGTCGAGGCCCGAGTTGTCGTCGATCTGGTCGCATAGGATTTTGCGCACATAGAGCTTGGCGATCTCGCGCAGGACGTCCGATCGCTCCATGGCAGCCCCGAGCCGTCGGCGCTTGACGATGTTGCTCAGTATGTTGTGCCGCTTCTTGAGCTTGGCGGTCGCGACTGTCGCCGACGGCACTGCCAGGTCTGCGAGACAGTGAGCGATGTCCCGCCAGAATCATTTCGCAACCTGTCTGCGCCGCGCTCGAGGCCATTCTTCGGAACGCAACGGGCGCCGCGTCGAGGTCATCGAACCGAATGGCTTGCATGAGCTGTCGGTTCGTCGTGAGGAGCGACGAGATGAGCGTCGGGTTCGCCTCCAGCGGCTCCACGAGCAGGTCGGGAAAGGCTGCGAAGAGCGACGACAGCAGCCTCGGCTGCCGGTGCGCAACGTCCACCAGCGTCTCGGGGCTCTTCTCCAGATACTCGCTCAGCGCCTAGTACAACGGATCAACATCGGTCTGCGATTTGCTCTACCTGGGGGCAGTGGGCCAAGATGGCACCGAGGCAGTCGTTCGAGCTCAGCACCGCGGCCACGGCCGGCGCGTGCGTCGTGCACACGTGCGTCAAATGCACGGGCGACTCGGTTACGACCTTTCCAAAGGTCACTTTGGCAGTCACGAGGACGTCCGAGAGGATCGCTGGCGTCGCCTTGACGACGCCCGGCAGCAGCGTCGGTCGGTTCAAAAGCACGTCGCGTAGGGCTTTCGGTGTCTTGACGAGAAACTCTTCGAGGGCGAGCTACCGACGCCATCATTCCTTGCATCAAAGCACAGAAGGTCGTACCACGTTGTCTTTGAGTGCCAGCATCAAGACGGACAGGAGCGCTTCCTGCTTGCGGCCAAGGTACAGGGCGATCGCGGTGCGGTGCTGGTCCACGACCTGCTCGAGCACTTGGTTTTGCGGACACGCCTACGCCGACACGTGATCAAAAACCGGATTTCCAGCGCGCTCGAACCCGCAGAATGCTGCTCAAAAGCGACGGCGTCCGTGCGAAGAGCGCGGCAAAGGCGGTGCTGTGGCGCTCGAGAAGCCGCTGGACGCAGTCGCTGCTGTCGAGCGCGTCGTCGAGCGTCGTGTCGTGCTCGTCGAGGAAGGTCACGAACGCACGCGGCTGGGCCGCATACAAGACGCGCAGAAAGCCCTGCACTTGAAAGCTCGAGCGCGACGCGACCATCGCACGCAGGAGCTCGACTTGGTCGAAGCCGTCGCAGCTGCGGACGACGTCGCGCAGGTAGGCCAGCCCGAGCTTCGACTGCGGCAAGTGGTTGCTCACGACGTGCAGCATGAGGCGGTGCTTCTCGTCGTCGTCCTACCACCGACAGTTAACGCCAAAGCCCGCGACGAGACGCGCGTACGCTGACGCCGGCGATGATGCGCGCGATTTTGTGTCCTGGCGGCGCGGCTTGGTAGGCTTCGTGCTCCTCGAGGCTCTGCGCGTGGTGTCCGATCGTGGCTTCGTGCTGCCGCGCGCGCTCGAAGTACAGCACCCTACGCTCGATGTGGTGGACGCATACACTACGGTCAACAGCCTACGGGTGGCGGTCGCTGGACGTGCTTGGCACGAAGAGCCCTCGCTCGAGCACAAGTTGGAGCACGCGAAGGAGGCGGCCGTGTGTTGGCAGCGCGTCGGCGAGTTTGCTTAAGCAGTCCAAGGCGACGAGGATCGCGATCCGGTTGGGCTGGTTGTCCGAGACCGCCGTCGCCTTGAGGACATCTACCACCTCCGTGGATGCGGTTTGCCATTCAAGACGAGAGCGTACACGACTCTTCCATGTGGGCGTTGACTGCGTCCCAGAAAGATTCGATCTCGGTCGTCGACGCTTCGTGGCGCAGCGCCCACTCGTCCACAACGTCGTAGAGCACACTGTTGCTGCTACTACGCCGCAGGCGTTAAACCTTTAAAAAGTGCAGCTGTGGACCTACGCGGGGTCGGTGCAAAAGTAGTGGTCGAGGAGGAACTGCGTTTTCCGCCGACACGCCTCTTGGCCGAGCGCCAACGTCGCGCGGCGTCCGTCCTGGTCGCGCCGAAGCGCCGCCATCTTGGCCTCGAGCGCGTGGATGTCGACGTGGTACATGCGCGCCAGCATGCACGCTTTGATCTCCAAGTGCTCGCGCGACGACGTATCGAGGCGAAGCGCTGCGTGCTTGGACGAGACAGGATCGTCAACCATTTTTCGCACGACGTCCTGGCGCGGCGACGGGTGCGGCGTCGTGCGCGTGCGGGGGCTCGACGGACAGTGAGTGATGCGCGGCGTCTGCACCGGGTGCAGCTGGCTCGTGTACATGTTTACTTTCGATGCGCTGGGTAGCTGGACCTTGGCCAGCTTGGCGAGCATCGACGTGTCCATGCTCGGGCGTGGCGACGGCGGCTCGTGGGGCACCATGACGCGGTACAAATTGGGCGATCGCGGCGCGGCGGTCGCAACGCGCGGCGCCGACGCCTTTTGCACAAAGTCCACGACGGCCTTGGACGGTACCGGCAGCATTTGCAACTCAGATCCCACTATTCTTAGGTTTCGTTTACAGCTGCGAAACGTCAATTGGCTTGCTGCTCGCAGAGCCTGCCACGTCACGACGATCCAGTACTGAATTCCATGGCTTCCAGCCTGGCTTCCACGGTAGAAGGCAGATATCTAGTCGACATCTTTTAGTCTAGCGGTATAGACACTGGTTTACCACCAGGTAGATCCGGGTTCTAGTCCCGGTGAGATCCCTACTTTCTGATTCATTCCACAGTGGAAGCTACTGGCGGCTACTCGAGCACCGCTGTAGCGGGTGCCGACAATTCAGGGAGTTTGTTCCCTTGGCAAAGATCGACGAGGCACTGAAGCACTGCGCTTGAATGCCTCCAACTCGATGCGGAAGCGTACATCGCGTCGCTATTCATCCTCCCCTGCTTCCCAGTCCGTGCGGCTGTACATGTTGGTCTATAATGTAATTAGTTTATAATAGGGAGTCGATTCACGTCGAGAGCGTCCGCGTCCGCGTGAACGCCTTGCCAATGTTGCCGCCAGGGTGGTTCTTCTTGAACGTGCAGCGCTTGATGCCGGTGAGCGCAACCACCGACTCGGCGACTGCGTTGCAGACCGACTCTTGCGTCACAATGCTCCGCGTCGGGACGCTGTCAAAGAGCCAATCCTCGGCCGGCGTATAGATCGGGAAGTCGCTGGCCTTGAAGAGTGGGCTGTCTTCGTTGCCGACGAGGCAGAGCACGTCGACCTCAAACTCGCGAAAGACGTCGGGCAAGTGCAGGAGCTCGGGCGTCTTGCCGCTGTTGGAGATGAGGATGACTACGTCGCCCGGGTACAAGTTGCCGAGCTCGCCGTGCGTCCACTCGCTGCCGTGGATCCACTGCGACGGCACCGAGAGCGACGCGAGCGTGGACGCGAAGCGCCGGGCGACGATGCCCGACTTGCCGATGCCGCTGAGGTACACGCGGTTGCGGTTCTCGCAGCACTGGACGATGCGCGACACGAAGGCTTGGAACTGCGCCGCGTACTCGAGGTTCGTGAAGAGCCGGCGCATGTGCTACGACGAGATGAGTCATCGAGCAGACACGAATCTATCGCCTACCAGGAGCGCGTCGATATCGCGCGTCAGCGACGCGTTCGGGCCTTCGATTGCGCGCAGCACCGTCTCCTGGTCCGCCGAGAGGCGCTTCGGGACCGGATGGAACGCCAGCGGAATGAACTTTTGAACGCGGAAGAACGACTCGTCCGTCGGGAGCGCGCCGAGGGTCTCGCAGCACGCGGCCCGGGTGGCACCGGCGAGCTTGCCGATGCGCACGGCGCTGTCCGTGTCGTCGGGCATCCCCCAGTGATGGAAGCCGGCGATGAGGCCGCCGAAGAAGGCGTCTTCGGCACCCGCAGCGTCCGTCAAGGAGAGGTTCGACGGCAGTGGAATGACGGCCGAGAAGCTCTTGCCGCCGCCGAGCTTGTACGCGATGACGGCGCCTGCCGCGCCGTCCGTGATGGCCACAAACGGCACCTGGAACTTCTCGCGCATGCGGATCGCAATCTCGTCGGCGGTCGCGGACGGGTCGTTGGTGAGCTCTTTCGCAGCTTCCAACGTCGCCTTAACGACCGTGCTCTTGGCGATGCAGCGCTCGAGGGTCTCCCAGTCCCCGAGCTCGGCTTCATGGATCGCGACGGACGGAAGGAGCGCCACGTCGAGAAAGCGCATCGAGCCTACATGACATATATGAGTGTTTCTCGTAGTGCGTCGATTGCACGCACCAGCATCCATCGCGATGTCCAGCATCTCCTCCACCGAGGCCAGTGGTACTTGGTTGATCTCGAGCGAGACGGCCTTGGCCTTCTGGATCGGCTCGGAAAAGAACAGCTTCATGGCGTTCGAGGGCAGCTCCATCATGGAGCCAGGCGACACGATCGAGCACTTGTCGCCCGTCGAGCTCACAAACGTCTGGCTCACGGAGCTCTCAAACTCATCTTTCTGGACCATGTAGTCGGTGCTAATGTTGTGCTTGCGCATCGTTTCGCGGATCATGTCGCCGTACTTGTCCGCGCCCTAGTCACGCCGGCGTCACGCACTGATACGTCTTCCAGCCATTCCTACCTGCAGCGACAAGAGGCTCGAGTTGACGCCGAGCACTTGGACCCAGGCCGAGTGGTGCAGCGCGCCGCCCGTGACAATCTCCTGGGGCGCAATCTTTTTCTACATACATCCGAGAAGCTAAGCCTCCAGGGCCCATGGCAGCGTGGCGTACCGAGTTGAAGATGGTGGCGTGGGCGGCCGGGAGGCGCTTGACGTGGCTCACGACGTCGACGAGCGACGAGCCGCAGGAGAGGAGGTCGAAGGCGCTGGTCGAGTGCGACCGGCGCAGGACATGGTGCATCGAGGACGAAGGAGCGGGCCAGACCATGTCCATGAGCAGGTGAAATCGGATATGGCGCTGGCGACGAAGCCGTTGGAAGCCACGTTCATGCTGGGGACATGTTACAGTGTTGACCAACCGAGATTTAATGCCGTCGTTTTATTGAATTCATACCCTTTTACTTGTGATTTGTATCATTTGGAATTAAAGGCTGCCATATCTTGACATTAAAAGACGTGGTATGGCTGAAAACCTCCGTGGAACTCATTGGATTTGGCGATGGACGCGTGCGTTTGATTGGCTTAGCTCGGCGTCGATGAAGGCATATTACCCAATGAGAAGGCGAGATTACTCAACCGGCAGCGTGGCGGGTGATGAGGTTACACACCAGATTCGGTTGACTGGTTCGAGTGACGTGGATTGCCAGCGCAGCAGGTGGTCTTCAGCGAGCTTCGACCCGCCAGAGAAGGTCGCGACCGTGCGCCTTGCGTTCTGGTCACGCGCGTCCATTGGACCTCGTACGACGGCTGGTGAAGACAAGCCAGAGGATCACATCATCACTGCGTGGTGCAAAACAGGGAGGCGCACGAATGCGTAGTAACGTGACTGGAACTGCCCACAGGCCGAAAATCCTCCCAGTTTTGGGCGCCGACCTTTCTGGGCCGCCTTTTCCGACCGCGCACGCGTGGTCGTGCGCTGATAGGATTGGCCAAAACACGCATTCAGAGCCAATCCAAAGCAGCGTCATACAAAGGAGCTGTGTAATGGCGATGGGACTTTGCAGGGCTGCTACACAAGCACGCATGGTCGGGCCCGGTACCAACCACAAGGCGAAGCGAACGCACTGGGACGACGAGATCGTGGAGAGCGCGGCCGTCGGCGCCACGTGCTCGCAAGGTCTCTGGGTCGAGTGCGCGCTCTGCGCCGACAAGGCGGGCCAACCGGCGCGCATTGCAAGCGACAATCCGTTTGGCCTAAAAAAATGGAGGCGCCATGAAGCGAGCATGGTGCACCTGCGCCACCTCGGCGAACTGGAAGGCGACGTGTCGACGAATACGGTGGCGAGTCTCCTCGAGCTCTCAGCGGGTGGCATGCAGTGCCCAGGTATTTACAACGGCGAGGCCAAGCACCTGCGGCTGATGATGCAGTTTGGCGACATCAAGGACGACCGCATTGCGATCGTCGTTGACGACGAGCTCGCTGGCGCCTTCAGCCTCGAGTGCACCAAGGCGGCGCATGCCCGGCGCTTCCCGCGCAAGAAGTCAACCAAGCACCAGCTGAAGGGTGCGTGCGCGGCTTGCTTTACGCTCGCGGGCGACGTGTGCGACAGCTTTTGCAAGCGCGTCGACAAGATGGTGCGCGTCGAGCTCGTGCTGGACGCAATGCTGTCGGGCGAAACCAACGCCGCCGCGCGCAAGGCGATCATCGACTTTACAAAGAGCAATCAGAAGGCCAACCCGAACTGGAACCATCTCTTGGCAAAGACGAAAGCGTACAAGCAGTCCCTGTCTCGTCGCGATAGTCTGGTACGGAGCTAATGCCACGAGATGTCTTGGTCTCATTTGCACGCCATGCGAAGCCAACGCAGTGACCAAGTGCACAGCGCAGCAGGTCTAGACATGCTAGTTTGGAGATGGCAGCCAATCAGATGACGGCGATGCGATCCAAGCATTTTGGCCAATAGAATGACCCCATGTGATTGAGACGACGCTGAGAAAGCACTTTTCGGAAATGCTCCGGGTTTGAACTCCGGCTCGCTTTGCCGGAGCCAGCCCGAAAACAGACAGCGCGATGGAGAAGCAACTCCTGGTCCGACTCGAGCAAGCATGGAGCTCGTCGGACGTCGGCGCGTTCCTGGACGCGCCCAAGCTCACTGAGATCATGCCCCACTTCAGCCTCATGGAGCCGAGCGCGAAGGTCCGCCTCCTCATGGCGCTCCAGGTTGCCCAGCAGGAGCTCATGCGCCAGCACCTCTCGCGCGAGCGTCATTTGAACCCACAGGCTTTGGCAGGCGGCGTCGTGACCTCTGCGGGCCTGCCTATGCACCTTCTGAAGCAGATTTTGGCTCTTGCCGACTCGGACGCGGACGAATGGGTCAAAATTGGCTCCGGGCTCGTGCGCAAAATGCTCTTTCCGGCCGTCGGCACCGAGAGCGATTTCTTCAACGACTACATGGCGTCGACGCTCAAGCAGGTGCTTGAGAAGGTCGATGCGCACCGCGGTGCCGACCTCGCGATCGACGACTGGTTCTCCCACGACCTCGCGTACTTGAACGCCGACCACCCAAAGGTCGCGAAGGGCTTCAAGACCTCGAACGATCACTTTACAGTCCTCGAAGAAAGCAAAAAGACGGCCGAAGACAAGCCTGCTGTGTCGTCGCAAGCCTCACGCCAAGTAATGGCGAACCGGCGACCAGTGTCCGTCGCGACGGTGTCTGGCGCGCCAGCACCCAAGGCGCCCAAGCCCGCGGTCACGCCAACGTCCGCGATCAACTCGGGGCTCTCGAAGCGATCGCTGACAGATATGGGCTCAGAGATCCGTCGCCAAGCCGAGTCGGGCCGCTTCAAGCGCCAGCGCAACCGCATCTCAATGATCGACATTGACGAGGTCAAGCAAATCGAGTCCGAGAAGGCGCAGAAGGCCGAAGAACGAAAGCAGCAAGCGCGGCGTGCCAACAAAGCTGCGTCAAGCTCCGCGGCAGATGCCAACGCATCCGAGGCCGTGGGTGGTGAAGGCGGAGGCGACGGCGAGATCACTGGCGACGGCGAAGACGCCGCTGACGAGCAGCTCACGGAGACAGAGGTGCCAGACGTGGCGACGTACGAAGCCAGCAGCAGCCTCTCGGAGGTCGCCGAGGTCATGCAGAACTACCAAGACTACAACCAGCTCATGCAGTACGACATGTCGGGGAACGAGTCGTTTGTTGTGCAAGAAGGACTGCACCACTACGACCAGAACAACAGCCAAGGCGGCATGTACCAGCGGCAACAACAGGCACAACACCAAGGGCAACAGGCCCCGCCTTTCCCAGAGCCGATCTCGTATGGCCAGTACATTGACCCGGCGCAGCCAGGCTACAACAGCGGCGCCATGTCCAACTACGAAGAGGCTCGTGCAGCGTTGCTCCAAATGCAGCAAAGCGGCAACCCGAACAACGCCAACAGCAGCGACACGTACCAATACAACGGCGGCTTTATCGACTCGGCCAACTACTGGCGCTAGTCAAAGTGTAGTACAGTCTAAGAATCGAGTATATATCCTCAGGGAAGCGTAAATTTAAGGGGTGTATGGGCCTCGGCCTCGCCTACGCTACAATGAGCTGTGACAGAGTTCTCATACGCACCAACACGAACGAGCTCGTAGACCTGGCGCGGCTTGATGACGTCGAGACCGCGATCGCGAAGTCGCTCGTTCATTCTGACGCGAACGCCTTGGGCGTCGGCGATGTCGAGAACGGCGCTTTGACTCTCTACAACGTCAAGTCACAGAACGATTCGAGCAATGTGGTTGCTTGCCTTTGACGGTCTTCATGACGGCCATGAGCTCTTCGAGTTGCGCTTCGTACTTGGCTTGAAGCTCTACGTGCAACGTGTCATCGCGGTTGGACAGTTTGTGCGCAGCGAAATAATACCTTCGAGCTCGGCGGGCGTCTTCTCGGAGGCGTCGACAAGGCCGTAGCTGCGGGCTTCGCGCTCCTTCTTGATGCCTTCGATGTCGATGCCGATTTTGACCGACTTTTGCCGGCAGAGGTCGTCGACGTCCTTGCTGAACGAGGCCTTGACAAAGCCGAGGAGGATGTCGCACGTGACGTTCGTGTTGAACATCTTGAGCGGCATGTCGTCTACGCCACTCACTTCTGATAGAAAGGCCTTTCTGCGCAGCACGTGTACCAAAGCCGTACTTGATCCAGACAAACATCGCGCGATGGGCCGCGATCGGTTTCAGGCACCGATCCGGTTCACAGAACCGTTTGATTAAACCGGTTTGTACTGGTCAGGGTTAGGCGAGCCGTGTTGAACGTTCGGCGCGAATCTTTGGCTTTTTAAAAAAGCGTACCACGCGCTCCTTACATTTAGCAAGCTGAAAGGGACATGGGTGAATTAAAATATCCACTAGTCACTACGTGCGTCAGTCGCGCACCACCTCACATTGGGTGGCCAAGGCACAAATCGCCCGCCGATTGGCCAGTCCGTAAATCGACGAACCAATCGGGTCGCGAAGCGTCCCTTCGATTTTTTGAGTGGGATGCACTTTTGAATTTGCTCCAAGCTGCACAAGGTACCGTCATGCATGCGATGCCGTAGGAAGGGTAGCGAGAGACATAGACTTTGAGCTGCGGGGGGTGCCTGCGGAGTGTCGTCCCATGCTAACGCAGCATGACTATGGCGATCACTCCAGGGCTGAGATCATACCCTTTACACCTGATCCGGTTCGTACCGGCGGAGGGACAGCGGCTTTAAGAGAAGGTGATTTTGTTGATTAAACCAGCGAGGGGTGCTTCTGGAGTGTCGTCCCCCTAAGGTTACCTTAGGGGGTATGGCGACCATTCCAGGGCTGAGATTATACCCTTTCTACCTGATCCGGTTCGCACCGGCGGAGGGACTGCTGTGTACTTGAAGAGTGAGAGCTAATATGTATGTGTGCTCGCCCACAGATCCAACCCACGACGTACGTACTGTTCGTACCGCGTGGTGTGGGCTAACCGCAGTGATGTGTTGTGTGTTGCAGGACCATGGCCCCCAGCGCTCCGCTCAAGAAGACCACGTTCCTTCTCAACTGGTACGCCAACCCGTACCACACGCCGATCTTCGTCGCCAAGAAGCGCGGCTTTTACGAAGAAGAAGGCATCGACCTCGCCATCATGGAGACGACCAACCCGAGTGACGTGACCGAGATTGTCGGCTCGGGCGCCGCCGACATGGGTCTCAAGGCGATGATCCACATCCTCGCCGCCAAGGACCGTGGCATCAACATCACGTCCATGGGCGCGCTTCTCGACGAGCCGCCGACGGGCCTCATCTTCAAGGCCAGCCTCGGCATCACCAAGTTCACCGACATCGTCGGCAAGCGCGTCGGCTACATTGGCCACTTTGGCAAGATCATGATCGACGACTTGGCCAAGCAGGCCGGCCTCGCGCCCGACAGCTACACGACCGTGCGCGTCGGCATGAACGTGACGGACGCCATCATGCGCGGCGTCATCGACACGGGCATCGGCTTCACCAACTTCCAGCGCCTCGAGCTTGAAGAGCTCACGGGCGAGCCCGCTGGCATGCTGCGCATCGACGAGTGCAACGGTCTCGGCTGCTGCTGCTTCTGCTCCGTCATGTTTGTCGCGAGCGACGCGTACTTCCAGAACAACAAGGACACGGTCGCGGCCTTCATGCGCGCGACGCGCCGCGCCATGGACATTGTGATCGAGTACCCGGACGTCGCGTGGGAGGACATGTGCATCATGAACCCGCGCCTCCGCAGCACCAAGCGCATGGTCAACGTCGAGGTCGAGGTCGACGGCAAGAAGGCCACGGCGCGCGTCGAGACGGGCAGCGACGTCTACGAGAAGATCTACCAGCGCACGCTGCCGTACTTTTCGCGCACGCTCCTCAACGTCGAGCGCGACTGGGACAAGGTCGGCGACTTCTGCAAGTACCTCCACGTGCTCGAGAACGACGTCGACCAGCACACGGTCTACTCGAACGAGCTCGTGCCCGCCATGGGCAAGGCGTCCGTCGAGCCGCTCACGCCCGGCGGCGTCCTCGGCCTCGTCTCGCAGTAAAACGCTCCTAGGCGCCGCTTTTAACGCGATGAATCCAATTTTACCTCGTGTTGTGCCCATGCCATCCATGTACTACTGGTCTTTGTCTTCGCATCGCTTGGGTTGGCAGACGAGCCGCTTGCCGAGCCAAGGCCGAGGTGGATGGAAAGAGGATGCATTGGTATATCTATAAAAACCCAACTTGACGCTATCGCGCCCTCGCACCGTCATTCTTACAAGTTGCGTGGGTTCAGTCACTGTCCAGAAGTCTATTGGCCAATCCGAGGCCGCGAAACGCAGCTTGGAAAATCCCAACAATTGGTCACGACTCGGCGACGATGGGCAAGACCTCGGCAGACAACCGCGTACGTGGCTGCGCTTGGCGTCGCCGCGCTCATGGCTCGTAGGACATCTTCTACCGCAAGGCCAAGGAGGTCGGCTTCCGCGCCCGCTCGGCCTTCAAGCTCATGCAGCTCGACGACCAGTTCAACCTCTTCCAGAGTGCGTACTTTGTCTGCCTCCTCGTGCAACGTCTCTCTTATGCTTCCAGACGTGGAGCGCGCCGTCGACTTGTGCGCCGCACCTGGCAGCTGGAGCCAGGTGCTGAGCCGGAAGCTCTATGAAAACCGGTCGATCCCGAACATCGAGACCATCTCGCACTCGGACGCGGCCGAGCAGACGCAGATCCGCGTCGTGTCGGTGGACTTGCAAGAGATGGCGCCGATTCCCGGCGTCGCCACCATCCAGGGCGACATCACGTCGACCAAGACCGCGGAGCAGATCATCGCGTACTTTCACGGGCAAAAGTATCGATCTATCCATGCACGGCAGTCTCAGCGCGCCATGTGTGTAGGGCCGAGATCGTCGTGTGCGACGGTGCGCCGGACGTCACGGGTGTCCATGACATTGACGAATACGTCCAGTCGGAGCTCCTTCTCGCGGCGCTCAACATTACGACGTTCGTGCTCGCACCGGGCGGCAGCTTCGTCGCCAAGATCTTCCGCTGCAAGCACTACGAGTTCCTCGCGGCGCAGCTCAGCCTCTTCTTCGCCGAGGTGACGTGCGCCAAGCCGCAGTCGAGTCGCGCGTCCAGCAACGAGCACTTTGTTGTGTGCCGCGGCTTCCGGTTGCCGCCGGGCTACACGCCCGTGATGACGTCGCCGCTTCTGCCGCAGTACGGCCAGCCGGGCGAAATGCAGCGCGACCCCGAGCTCATCTCGTTCTTGGCGTGCGGCGACTTGAGCAGCTACGACGAAGCGTAGATGTTTGTTTACAAATAGAAACTCGACGGAATGGTTTTGCGTTGCCTTGCCAAGCAATCCGCAGTCACAAGGTGCCAAGTCGCAGTACACGTCGAGGTCGGGCGCAATATCTTTGCATTTCTTATTGCACTAAGGGAACGTGGGCATGAGCTCGACAGGCTTGCACGCCGGTGCTTCGCGAAAGTACTCGTGCTGGAGCGCATCGGCGGCCGAGATGCGCTGTTTTGGGTCGAGCGTCAAGAGCCGCTGCATCAAATCAAACCCGGCGTTCGAGAGCGCGCTCTGACCGTAGGTGAGGCTCGCGACCGGGAACTTCTCGCGCAGTACCGACCGCTTCGGACCCTTCCACTTGACGTTGGCGACGTTGGGGAGACTCGTAACACCCGGCCAGTTGTCTTCGGTGGGCGGCCCGAGGAGCTTAAATATTTGGTCGAGCTGGTCAATCTCGCCGCGCCCCATGAGGAGCGGCTTCATCAGAACGAGCTCTGCGAAGATGCACCCGACGGACCACATGTCCACGGCGGTCGAGTACGATGACGTGCCAAGGAGGAGCTCTGGCGCGCGGTACCACAACGTCACGACAAGCAGCGTGTAGTTGCGGATCGGCGATCCGTACTTTCTCGCCATGCCAAAGTCGCATACCTTGAGGACGCCGTCGTCGTAGAGCAAGTTGCTGCTCTTGAGGTCGCGGTGGATGTACCACTTGCCGTGCATGTAGGCCATGGCCGAGAGGAGCTGGCGCAGAAGCGTCTTGATCTCGGACTGCAGGAACGGGTGGTTCTCGGCCTTCTTCTTCTCAAGCACGTGCTTCAAGTCCTTGGTCGCGTAGTCCATGACCATGTAGATCTTGTCGGGTGTCGACCCGACCACCATCTCGCGCATGCGCACGATGTTCGGGTGGTTCAGTGCGAGGAGGATGTTGGTTTCCCGCAGCGCTGTCACCGGAAAGCCTTCCCGGCACATGTCCACGGTCATCTTGACCTGCTTGAGCGCCACGATGTCGCCTGTCGCCTTGTCCCGCGCCTTGGACACGACGCCGTACGTACCTTCGTCGATCTTGCCGATGCGCGCGTAGTTGTCGACGCCCCGGCAGCGCGGCCGGCCCTTGGTCGCCCGCGGACCAGCGTCCGGCGTTACAGCGTCGGCCGCTGGCGCCACGACGCTGGCCTTGGGCTCCTTGACGTCGACCTCGGTCTGGCGCCTGCTTCCTGCCCGGCGGTCGCTCTCGTCGTCCTCGTCGTCGCTGCTCCAGCGATTGCGCTTCATGATGGGCGGCTTAATCCTGTGGAATGCGATGCAATCCCACGATATAAAATCTAACAGGTTTTAAATACGGCATGTGAGTTGTATGCCGAATTTAGTGCCCTTAAAAACGGCATCATGAGTGGCATGGCCAGCGCCTCCGCCCAAGATTCTGCGAGCGTTATTGCGGACTCGCAAGACGTAAATCGTGTAGCGATGCATGACGCTTGATGCAGCAGCCACTTGAACTCAAAAGAGACCAGGTCCTGGACGAGACAGGAGTAGAAGTCGTGCACGTGACAGTGCAGACTCGTGCGTTGGGTGACATGGCTTTGCTTCACCGAGGTCGCTAGCGAGCTCTCTATGCACGAGAACGCATACCGACCGCAGCGAGCAATGCAGCTGCTGCGGCGCATGGTTCCATCGCTCCACACGATCAACGTAGCAAGCGATGGCAGCCTCGGTAGCGTCTCTGCCTCAGCACAACCGCGCGATCGGGATCTGAGCGCATGCGAACGGATCGGTCAAGTGATTGCGGTGAAAGGTGGTACGATTGGGATCTTCTGCATGCTTTCGCGGCGCGCAACCAGCTCTTATCGGAGCAAGTCACGCCCGTGGCTGTCCCTTGTCATAGCGACGAGGCTGCCAATCAAGGCGCGGGACGGAGACGCCGACAGGAATAATGGCCAATCCCGCGGCGTGGATCCTGCTGCGGCCAATCAGAGCGAGAGTTTTTGGAAAATGGCCCCCTTACGTGGCAGCCACGGCAGCGATGACAGGTGACCCGGCCACCCACTTGACCTTGCCGTTTGTATTGAACTTGAGACTTTCAACAAAGTGGCGCGGATGATGATGGCACCCGCGCCGCTGTTTACAAATCGCTCGTCACACTCCGCGCGGTTTGTTGCATATACACACGCGCGGAATAAAAAGCATCCCTCGTGGTACGTAAGTGTATGCAATAAAACAAACCGTTTCAATTCATTCTCAGAGGTTTCTCAGCCTCACGATCTCAGCAGTTGAACGCTCCATGCGGCGCAATATTAAAAGAAAGAGGTTGCGTCGACCCCGGCGGAAAGGCCCACTTGTCAATTTTTGAGACCTCTACAATTGCAATGGTGAAGACGGTCGCTGACGACGACATGAAGCTCTGTACGATCGCTAGCCGACGAGGCCGCCTCACGCCACTGCTACTATAGTGTGGACGCCGTCCAAAGAGCTGCTGGCCTCCTCCAACTGGACCAAGTTCACGGCCTTTGTCAACAAGAAGCATCGGTACGACGCCATCCATCCTTCGCCGCGCCGCTAACACTGCGATGGGCTCTAGCCTCAAGATCACGACGGTCGCCGAGCTCTGGCAGTGGTCGGTCGACTACATTTCGGACTTTTGGGCCGCGGTACACTGCACCGTCGCAACAACGTTCGACGTCTCATGCTGGCGCGTAGACGTGGGAGTACACGGGCATGATCGCGTCGACGCCGTACGCAAAGGTCATTGACGACGAGAAGAAGATGCCGGGCGCCAAGTTCTTTCCGGGCGCGCGCCTCAACTTTGCCGAGAACCTTTTGCGCTTCCGCGACGACCGGACTGCGATCGTGTTCAAGTCGGAGACGAGCAACACGCCGATCACGCTCACGTACAAGCAGCTCTACGCGCGCGTCGCGGCCTTGAGCCAGCGGCTGCGCGAGATGAAGGTCGTTGCTGGCGACCGTGTCGTCGGCTACATGCCCAACACGCCGGACGCGATCGTCGCGATGCTGGCGTCGACGAGGTGCGCTTGGCATGCCTGCATGCGGATTTCCTGATGGAATGGCTAGCGTCGGCGCGGTCTGGTCGAGCTGCTCGCCCGACTTTGGCAAGAACGGCGTCCTCGATCGCTTTGCGCAGATCACGCCCAAGGTCATGTTTACGACCGACGGGTACTTTTACAAGGGCAAGCGCATCGACACGATGCCGGGCCTGCGCGAGATCTCGCATGAGCTCCCGTCGCTCGAGCGTATCGTCGTCTTCCGCTACACGATCGCCGAGTCGTACGACCTCGATCTGCACAGCATCCCGCGCGCCGTGTACGCCGACAAGTTCATCGCCGAGCTCCAAGCGCCGGCGAAGACCACGATCGAGTTTGAGCAGCTGCCGTTCGACCACCCGGTCTACGTCATGTACTCGTCCGGCACCACGGGCCTCCCCAAGTGCATCGTGCAAGGCCCCGGCGTGCTCCTCAACCACCTCAAGGAGCACGTGCTGCACCTCAACATTTCGCGCGACGACGTCGTCTTCTACTACACGACGACGGGCTGGATGATGTGGAACTGGCTCGTGAGCGGCCTCGCCGTCGGCGCCACGGTCGTCCTCTTTGACGGCAACCCGCTGTACCCGTCGACGGCCGCGCTCTGGAAGTTTGCCGAGGTATGCTACATTGACCGTGTCTATTGCATAGTCTGACACGATGAGGATGGTGTAGGAAGTGGGCGTCACGGTCTTTGGCACGAGCGCGCGATACCTCGCAGCGGTCATGGACTCGCACTGCAAGCCCGGGAAGGAGTTTAACCTCTCGAAGCTCAAGATGATTGCGTCGACGGGGTCGCCGGCCAGCACCAACATCTTCCGCGTGCGTCAAGTGCATCTGTGTCTTCTTAGAGGTCTGATTTGTCTCTAGTTTGTCTACTCGGAGATCAAGAGCGACGTGCAGTTTGCGTCCATTTCCGGCGGCACGGACCTCAACGGCTGCTTTGCGCTCGGCTGCACGAACCTGCCCGTGTACAACGGCGAGCTCCAGTGCCGCGGCCTCGGCCTCGACGTGCACATCTTTAGCGACAACGGCGACAAGCTCTTGAAGGAGCAGGGCGAGCTCGTCTGCCTCATGCCGTTCCCGTCCATGCCGCTCTACTTTTACGGCGACACGGATGGTTCCAAGTACTTTGGCGCGTGTACGTTGCTTGCCATCCATCTCGGATCCGATCGATCTCATGTGGCGTAGATTTCGACGTGTTTCCCAACGTGTGGCGCCACGGCGACTTTGCCGAAATCACGGCCAACGACGGCATGGTGCTCTACGGGCGCTCGGACGCGACGCTCAACCCTGGCGGCGTCCGCATCGGCACGGCCGACATTTACAAGGTCGTCGAGCACATCAAGGACGTGGCCGACTGCGTCATCGTCGGCCAGGACTATGTGCTCGCGGACGGCACGCCGGACGTCAAGATCGTCCTCTTTGTCGTCATGGCCGACGGCCTCGAGCTCACCAAGGAGCTCCAGAAGAAGATTTGCAGCAAGATCCGCGCCGAGAACTCGCCGCGCCACGTCCCCGGCCTCATCGTCGCGTGCCCCGACATCCCGTACACCGTGAGCGGCAAGAAGGTCGAGATCGCCGTCAAGCGCATCCTCGGCGGCAAGCCCATCACGAACGCCAGCGCGCTCCGCAACCCCGAGTCGCTCGGCTGGTTTGAGGCGTACGCGGCCGACCACGCCAAGTAGTTTATAGACCAACCATGCATGCGTGTTTGATTTCTTAGCGTCGTCTTAGCCCAAAAGCTCGCGGAAGAGCGCGAAAATGTCGTCGCCGGTCGACCACGTGCGCACGTTGACGCTGACAGGCGACGCGGCGAGGCGCTTGGCGAGCTCGTACTCGGCGCGGGCCAGAGCATAGTCGTTCCTAGCGCAGCGATGAGGCGTCGACGAGTAAGGAAGGAGATGTGTACGAGGAGAGCTCGGACGTCGGGCAAAAGTCCCCGCCGCCATCGCCTAGAACCGATCAAGATGCGAGCGGCAGCATGGACGGTCGTCGTACCGATGTAGAGGATCTTGGTGTACGGCTTGGCTGCCTTGATCGTCCGCAAAATGGACCCTGCCCACCAATATCGAAAAATAGAAAAGGAGGCGGGCGACAGTACCCTTGCACATGTTGACGGGGCACTTGGGGCAGCCGTGGGGCGCGTCGGCCTTGGGATGGAACGGGTGCACGCGCAGGATGTTGCCGTCGAACGTCCCGGGGTTGGTAAACACGTGGCGCACAATGTCCTGCAAGCCGTGCAGCGCCAGCATGCTCTCGATGAACACCGTGTTGGCGTCGCTCACAATCATAACCTCGGCGCCTTGGGCGTGGGCGAAGCGCACCGCCTCGAGCATACCTAGGCCACGCACGCTGATCTAGATTCGCTGGTCGCATGAATACCAGGCTGGACGGGCACGCGCGCAATGGCCTCGATGAGCTCTTCGCGCGTCGTCGACGTCAATTGCCCAAGCGTTTGATCTACGCCCAGCATGAGCCCATGGCGCCGTCGATCGCAGGCGTCGGACCGACAGCGTCCGTCCACTGCACGCCGCTCGCCGTGAGCTGCTTGAGGTGGTCGAGCAGCGCAGGCTGGAGCTCCTTGAAGACGAACGTGTCCGAGTTGTCGTTGATCAAGCTCCTACGCTCGGCCGCATGAGGCCATCGACCTACAGCCCGTCCCACCAGTCGTAGTCGAAGACAACCAAGGCCATTTTGCTGTAGTAGAAGCGGGGAATTCAACGACTGCGGCGGTTCGGCCATCGATCTGAGCCAAGTGGGTGCATTCGTTTGCAGCAGGAAGGGGAGATTATCTTACAGCGCGCTGCACACGGTGGTTTTGAAACAGTAGAAATATTTATACCTGTAAATAAAATAAAATAATTGCTGGCTCTTTCCCTTTTGTACAGATATCGTCGGCGCCGCAGTCGCTCACTTGAATTGGGTAAAGAAGCTCAAGCGGGACGCGGAATCTTCGCGAAGGTCCGCGCCGCCGAGGCCGCCATTGTCCGAAGAGAGGAACCAGTCCGACGGCGACGACGTGTCGGTCGCGTCGCCGCTGCCGCCAATCGAGACCGCCGAGAAGTCCTTCCAGAGCTCGTCAGCCTGAAGCGAGAGGTCACGCTTCAGCGGCGACTTGAGCGACGAGCCAGCGGGCACAGTCGGCGGGAGGCCAACCTTGGGCGAGGAAGCGCCAACGGTCGGCGCAGGAGCCTCGTTGTCCGGGAACGACTGCGAAAACTTGAGAAGCACGCCAATCGCGTCTTGCAAGCCATTGTACTCGACGCTCTGGTCCAGGACGTTGCTCATCGACGGCGACTTTTTAGGCGGCCGATCGGGCTAGTCTTGGGCGCGTACGTCTGCTCGGATGGGCTGCGCAAGAACGTCGGCGTCGAAGCGACTTCGCCTGAGAGCCACGTCGGCGACGACTGGCCGTTGAGCATGCCCAGGTCCGAGTTGTACGACATGAGGCCATTGGCCGCGGGGAGGTCCGAGTTGTACTGGGCGTTGAGGAACGAGAGGTCGCCTTGAGACGTTGGGGAGATCTCGTTACGTGGGGACAAGCCACTCGACTTGTACATCGACCCGGAGCGGCCGACGGGTTCCTCTTCGTGGATGAAGCGGCAGCGGCTGCCATAGGGGCAGTGGCCCGAGCCCCAGTACGACTTGCACTTGGTGGTCTTGTACTTGGGGTGGCGGAGCACGTGGCGGAGCTCGGGCATGCCGTGGGCGAACTGGCACTTGGCACCGTAGCGGCAGCTGCCATACTCGGAGAAACGCTTGCAGAGCTCGGTCTTGTAGAGCGAGGGCTTGGCGTTGTTCTTGGGCGAGACGATCTGGCCCGAGAGGTCGTACTGGTCTTCGCCGTCGTCCAGTAGTGGCCGTGGGGCATGCCCATCGAGTGCGAGTGCTCGAGCGAGAGGCTGTAGGGCGGCGGCTGGTGGTTGGCGAGGTCCAGGTACTCGGCCTCGGAGTGGTGGCTGTTCATCATCCCCATCGAGAGCCGGCGCTGCGAGTGGTCCATGGCCGTCACCAACATGTTTCGATGTGCTTCTGGTAGGTTCAAATGCGGCGGACCCAAGGAGCGACTGCTTCTTGGGGCTTGCGGATTATGCGAAACAAGAGCAAATGAAAAAATGAACAATTACAAATCGGCATGCCTCTCCCGACGCGTTATTTAATTCCGCTTTTTGCCATCCGCATACAAAACCCAAGCTATTCGGCGTAGCTTCGGCGCGATTCTCGAAAGTATTCGCGCACCTCGTATTTTAATTTCCGGCCGTACGAAATAACTACCCTCCACCAATATTCTCGTCCAATCCGTACAATCCTTCATTTTTCGAATGCTACCCCGTACATCGTACATCCATACAAACACCGAATGAATCGGCCGTCCATGCACCGTACAGTGCGTACATTACCCAGCTGGGCCAGGCGTCGCCGGCCAAGACGCCCTCGGATTGGCTGCGGCCCAGGTGCTGGCTGTGCAATAAAAATGCAGTCCGTTCGGTCGGGTATTTTATTTGAAGGCCCCACTTTTTTATTCTGCGCCTTGGAAGCAGGCCCCGCATCGCATTGTATTGGATGGTATTTATTTATTTCGTTGTTTTAAAATGCGTCGGCCTGTCGCTTGACGTCGGGTCGAATCGGCGGTGAATTTTTTATGGCCCGTCGTCACTTTTTTTCGTATTTTAATGCAACCCGAGGTCTCCGCCAAAGTATCCAGCCGAACGCTTCGTGGCGCTGCATGATGTGGCTGCCTTGGCCAGCTGAAATGCGACATGCTGTCGAGGGCATTCGCCAGCCCGGCTTCGCCATGGACATGCGGCGCCCGTGGACCTGCGCACGAGTGTCTTCCGTGCTGGAAGCGACGAGGAGGCGACCCTCCACACACTGGACACGGCGGAAGCCTTGCCAGCCGCGCGTCTTAACCGTTTCAAAGCGTCCTGAGATAGCCACACAGTTTGTGGTACCGTATTCAGAGTGAGGCCGATGGGCTTTGAGATTGCCGTTGCCCATGTGCCGCTGCGCGGGACCACGCTGTGATGACACGGCTTGTTGAGGGCGCGTCGATTTCCCAGGCGACCGACTTTTCACTGCGCTCCCACGGCCCTTTGCAATGGAGGAAGAAGGCGGGAGAACCTTGCCAGCAGAGCGACTGATCCGTCGTTAGAAGCGCGGCGTACTGTCGCCGAACCTGATAAATGCGATGCCTTCAGCGAATGACGATACCTACTACATAAAGAGGGCCAGGGACAATGCGAGGCGGCGGCCGTTCACGGTACGTACTACTTTGCGATGCAGGGGCAAAGGGACCATTGCGCCGTCCTAAGGGCTGAGCGCAGGCCCAAGCGGCAACCTCGCTGACCCACGCTTCGGGAATCTTCCGCACCCAAGAATGCACGTCGACCGCCTCCTGCTTGAAGTTGGATCGAACGCACGACTATTACACAATTCACCGAGTGATCGGCTTTTCACACGCAAATACCACACGTGAAATTCGATGCCGAGAGTGCTGGTCGATTACGAGTGAAGGTACGATGACCGAGGCCAACCGGTTAAACGAACCGGCTGGCGGAGGAGTCACCGACCGCTGGCAAGCACCTAGCGCACCTCGCCCCTAGCGGTGTTGGCCTCTGCCCTCCCTCTTAGACGACGCTAACGACGTAGCAGCCTGCGCCATCGACCATGTACTGCAGCCATGAGCTACGTACGTAGTAGGACGTATGAGTCAGGCAGCAGCAGGCGGCGCCGTGGCAGGCCGTTTCCTCGTTCTCGAACCTTCGATCAACAACGTTCGAGCGAGAGGACGAGATGGTGTTATTATCGAGGGTTAGCACACGCAAGCGAAAGCCGTCGCGCGGTCGGGCCGCTCGCAGCACTGATCCGCGAAGGGACCTAAGTACAGGAATAGAATATATGAATGAGACGTAGCTTGGGCCCTTGGCGACAAGGAGGGGTACAAACCACCCCCTGCGCGCCCGCGCCGCTTATTCGTCCTTCTTATCGTCCTTGGCAGGCGACACACTGCGCTTGGCGTCCGGGCTGCGGCTGCGCTTGTTGTCGGGGCTGCGGCTGCGTTTGTTGTCCGGGCTGCGGCTGCGCTTGCCGCGGGGGCTGTTGCTACGGCTGCGGCTGCGACGGGGACTGCGGCTCTGGCGGCCACGAGGGCTGCGGCTGCGGCTACGGCGAGGGCTACGGCTGCGGCTACGACCTGCACGACCAGCTTCCTTAATACTGATCACAGAGGTACCCATCTTGCACTTGAACTCCGAGTTGTTCAACGTATCCAGCGCCCGGTTCAAGTCTTCCTTGTTGGAGAACTCAGCATAGCCACCACCGCCGCGCGAGTTGACCTTGGTGTAAATGACTTCACCCGCAGGACGCATGTGGTCCTTGAGGTCCTGCCACGACGCGCCGTCGGGCAAGTTGGACACATCGAGGGCGTACTTGCCGCTGCCAGGCAAGTTGCGGCCAAACTGGCTCGTGTTGCGGTCGCCACGGTCACGGTAGCCGCCCTTCGTGGGCTCGACGCGCAGGCGAGCGCCGTCAAAGCGGTAGCCGTCACGGCCGCGGATGGCGTCGTCGGCGTCGCGCTCGTCCTCAAACTCGACAAAGGCAAAGGCCGGCGGGCGGCTGGGCAGCTTGATGTCGATGTCCACGATGCGCCCGTACTTGTAGAAGAGGTCGTCGATCTCGCGCGTGCGCACGTCCATCGGAAGGTTCCCCACGTAGATGCGACCGCCCATGGTGCAGAGTCCAAGTTTCGAAATGTGTGGCATCAATGGCGCCCGGTTTCCAATTCGATATCCGGATCTCCGGATAATAGGACCCACCGACGCTGGCTAGACGCACGCAACTGCCTGCACATGAATGGCAGCTCCATAGCCATTGTCTCCGTTGAGCGCAGGGCTACCATCCTTCTGTGCGACGCAATGAGGCTAATTGGGCGTAAATCTCGCATGGGCTACCTCTTCCGTCGGTGTCAGCTTGCCAAGAATGGAAATGTTGGGTGTTTCAAGCCTATGAGGTCCGCACGCGTCGTTGGCACCGCCCTCGACCAAAGACACGGCCACGCAGCTGATCGCACGCAATTTGCCGGGCGTGAAAGGACCAGGAGCGGTGCAGCGCAGCACAGGCTCGTCGCGGGCCGAGGTCCTCGCAGCCTTAAGCAGTCGGTAGCCCGGGGTCCGACGAGCCGGCGACGCGCGCGACGAGCAAGCTGCGTGGTCTTTACCGCCGTGGGATACCTCTGATATTTGATGATCGCCATCATTGCTTTATAGAGTATTCCTGGCGCATTTCGCATTTCAGCGAGCGCCATGCAGCGAGTCTTGCGGCAGTCGCGGCAGTCGGGCACGCTCAACCTGACGTCCCGCGACCTGACGCATGTTCCGGCCGAAGTCCTCTTCCCGCTTAAGCATCTTGAGGCAGTAGGCTCCTGCTTCGTGCGATCTAAGCAGCTCATGCAGGCGTGTAGGACGAGAAACATTGGGAATGCATCGATCTGTACAAACTCGACCTGAGCTACAACCAGCTACGCAGTCTGCCCGAGGCCCTCCGCGAACTCGCAGGGCTAAAGTGGCTCAAGGTCAAGGACAACCAGCTCACACGGCTTCCGGCGTCGCTCGGGTCGCTCCAGTTGCTCGTCTACCTTGATGTGAGCGAGTACGCTGCCCGCCATGATGCACGAGGCAATATCGTTGCTCATGGCGGCATGTAGCAACCGACTCAATGACGTTCCCGAGTTTGTTGGCGACCTGCTTCTGCTGCGGGAGCTCTGCGTGACGAGCAACACGATCTCAACTTTGCCAAGCTCGCTGGGTCGCCTCGAGCACCTCGAGACCTTGCGCCTCGACAACAACCATCTCACGAGCCTGCCCGAGGCCATTGGTGCGCCTTTGCAGGCTGCGAGGTTGCATCTCAGCGTGACATGTAGGGCGCCTGACGAAGCTCCGTGTGCTGACTGCTCAAAGCAACCAGCTCGCGTCGCTGCCCTCGTCGTTTGCGAATCTCTCGAGCCTCTCGTCGTTGGACCTGAGCAAGAACAACTTGGGTGCGACGGTCGTCGTCCTTGATAAGATGGCGCAGCTCGAGTTCGTGGACCTCCGCAACAACGGGCTCTCGGCCTTTCCGTCGCTGCCGACGACGACGCGCCTGGACCACCTGCTTCTGGGCAACAACAAGCTCACGTCCATCGATAACGCGTCGCTCAGACGCGTCGCTTCGTCGCTCACGGTGCTCAACATCCACGACAACCAGCTCGCCGCGTTGTCGGCGGACCTCATGTCGCAGTTTGCAAAGCTCAAGACCCTCGACCTCTCCAACAACAACCTCTCCGACCTCCCTTACGGTATCGCCACCGTCGTGGCGTCCTAGTTCTTATGCGGACGTAGTGCTCGGACACCTTGGATCGCTCAACCACATCCTCGTCGAAGGCAACCCGCTTCGGTGCACGGCTCCCATGTCTTCTGTGTTGCTCATGGGGTCACGTAGGTCGATTCGGTTCTCGGTGCTGACGGGCGGCCACCAAGCGCTCAAGTCGTACCTGCGCGGTCGCGGGCCCGCGGCTGCTGCGGAGAGCAGCGTGGACGTCACCGAGTCGCTCTCGGAAGTGGACGCCGATCCGGCCGCCCGCAGTACGCGCGCAATGCCGGACGACTCGCTCTTGCACGCGTTTGAAGCCGGGACGTTGGACTTGACCAAGAAACAGTATGGTTCTTATTTTGATTTTGTTTTCGTTCAACCCACTGGTGCTAGGCTCGCGCACGTGCCCGTGATCGACGTCGACCACATCTGCGCGACGCTCGTCCACCTCAACCTGTCGCGCAACCTCCTCACAGAGCTGCCGGCGCACATGGGCAGCCTCATGGCGTTGCAGGTGCGCAAGAGTACTTCTGCTTCTTTCATGGCTCACACACGGACACAGACTTTGACAGCCGAGGAAAACTTGATCACGCGCATCGACCCGAGCATTGGTGCGCTCCCGCGACTGCAGTTTCTCCGGCTCAAGCGCAACCGGCTCAACGAGAAGGCCATCGCTGCCATGTTGTCGCCCGCGACCGAGGCCGTCTCGATGCTCAAGGTTACCATCTGCCTACCAACGGATAATCGTATCGAGTCGTTGTAGGAACTGGATCTGCGCAACAACGCGTTCACGCACGTACCGCATGTGGTCGTTGAGCTACCCGTCCTCGATACGCTGCTGCTTTCGTTCAACAAGATCACGACGCTCGACGGCGTTGCGTGGGCGCAAGCTCAGAAGCTCTCGGTCGTCGCCTTCTCCGACAACAAGGTACCGAGGCTATAGGAGCGCCGTTCTCGAACCGTTCTCTAGCTCACGTCGCTCGGGTCGATCCATGAAGCCAAGCACTTGACGTCGCTGAGCCTCGAGAACAACAACCTGTTGCATGTGCGAAACACATAGACTCTGGAGGAACTGGACTCTGACAACGGTATGTAGATCCCACCCGAGCTCGGTTTGTGCGAGCACCTCCGCGCCCTCGTCATCACGGGCAACCCCCAGCGCCGCATCCGGTTCACGATCCAGCAAAAGGGCTCAGACGCGGTACTGCAGTGTCTCCGCGACCAGCTCGGCGTGACCGCGCCCGTCCCTGTTGCGAATGCAGAAAACGTGCCGCCGCCCAACCGGGCTGTGAGTCAGCGCAACATAAGCCATCCTCGCCCCGCGGCCGGCCACGAATCTTCGGCGCCGGCGCCGCGCACCACGGGCCCGCGCACGAGCATCACGCCTCCGCAACGGACGCAGCATCTAGCGCCGGTCGCCCGGAGTAGCGTCGCGCCGACGGCCAAGCGCAAGCTCGACGCGGAGCCGGCCACGGACATGGCGCAGCTCCTGGCCAAGATCCACGAGCTCGAGGTTCAGGTCGAAGAGTGCTCGCTGAGCAACGCCAAGCGCTACGCAGTGAAGAAGGAGCTCGCGATGCTGCGCTCGCGCAAGATCCGCGAAGACCGCAAGGCCGCTTCGCACACCGCGTAACAATCGGACTCCCATGACCACCAGCAGGAGAACCAAGATGCCCATTTAAGATTGGAAATGGACCAATCACAGCACGCGGTGCCACTTGACTGGTCTTGAGTATGCTAGCGTATTATTCGCCAATCAATCCATCTTATTTTTGAGAAAGCGATGGCGGGCGACGAGTACAAGGTGGGCAGCATCGCCGCGTCCTTCGGCGCCGAGACGAGTGGCAAGAAGGCCAAGAAGGCGGCAGCGGCGCCGGCGCCGACGAACGCGCTCGCGTCCTTCTTCAGCACGAGCGAGAAGCTCTTCGCCAAGAAGCCCGAGCCGAGTACGACCCATCCTGCCAGCATGCGATGAGCTCATGCCACCGTGTAGAGGTCGTCGCGCAGGTCGTGGTCCCGGTAGTCAAGGCGGCCAAGGCGAAGGAGACGGCGGACGCGCCCAAGGCGCCCAAGGTCGTGCTCTTCGACGGCGAAGGCCCGAAGAAGGTCAAGAAGCCCAAGCACTCCAAGGTCAAGCCGGAAGCCAAGGTCGAGGTCGCGCCCAAGGAGGAGGAGGACGACGAGAAGGCGCCGCGCACGATCTTTGTCGGCAACGTCTCGCTCGAAGCGACGGCCGAAGAGCTCAAGAAGTTCTTTTCGTCCTGCGGCAAGGTCGAGTCGGCGCGCCTCCGGTCCGTGCCCGTCGCGGGTTGCGCTGTCGACCAGCACGGCAAGCAGAACCTCGTCAAGAAGGTGTGCGCCAACAAGAAGCTCTTTGTCGAGGGCCGCGACAACTGCAACGCGTACGTCGTGTTTGCGTCCGAAGACAGCATCGCGGCCGCCCTCGCGCTCAACGGCGCGGTACATCATATCCTCTCCATCCACGCTCTCTTCTTATACCTACGTGCATGCAGGACTTTCACGAGAAGAAGATCCGCGTCGACCGCAAGGTGCTCACGACGGACCCGAAGCGCACGGTGTTTGTCGGCAACATGGCGTTCACGGCGACGGAAGACGAGATCCGCAACCATTTCGAGTCCAACCTAGAGAAGGACGACGAAGACGAAGGCTCGGCGCTCGTCGAGTCGGTGCGCATCATCCGCGACAAGGACACCCACCTCGGCAAAGGCTTTGGCTACGTCCTCCTCAAGGACGTGACGACGGCCGCGAAGGCGCTCAAGCTTGACGGTTCCAAGATCGGCAAGCGCGAGCTCCGCGTTTCGGTCTGCGGCAAGCGCTTCAAGACGACGGCGACCGACAAGACGGCTCGGCCGTTCGAGGGCCGCCGCGCCAAACCCGCGCCCGGCGCCCAGATGCGCGTCATGAAGAAGCGCAAGCTGGACGGCGACAGCAGCAAGCCGGCCTTTGTCAAGAAGCCCAAGTTTGATGGCAAAAAGGCGGACGGCAAGAAGCCGGCCTTTACGAAGACGGACGGCAAGAAGCCGGCCTTTAAGAAGACGGACGGCAAGAAGCCGTTTGGCAAGTCCAAGCCGGTCGGGAAGAAGGGCGACAAGAAGTTTGCCAAGGGCGAGAAGAAGACGTTTGAGAAGCCGAAGAAGCCCAAGCACGCGGCACGGAAGGCCCGTCAGGCGCTCGAGGCGCAAATGGCCGCCGCCAAGTAAAGGAATTGCTAGTTGATATTAATAACATAGACAACATTCGTCAAACATTCGGGCGTCCGTTGATTTTACTGCAGCGACTCGTCGATGGATGACCAGATTCCGCGCCGGTACACGTACGACGTAGTTGGGCAGGAGCGTCTGGCAACAAGATCTTATTTGGATAACTTTTTTCAAAAGGTTGGGGCGCGCCCTCGGTCCGCGGCCGTATTGATGGACAAGTCTGTCCTCGGAAAGACAGACGACAAAGACCGGGATGATGTGATACCTGGATGTGATCACGCTGGCTTGGAATCAGACGGCGCCGATTGGCCAGTGCGCGGCGCATTGCGTTTTCATTGGCGCACACGGTCAGTTTGCCTTTGGCACGATGTCGCGCATGCTGACGACCAAGCAGCTCCAGTACGACATGGACGACGAGAGAGCCGCCGCGTCGTCGCCGAGAGCGGGCGAGCAGCGACGAAGGCGGCAGCGGCAGCGCGACGCCCAGCGCCGTCATCGCCAAGTCATCGCCGATGAGATCCAGGAGCTGCGCCAGACCGCCGCCTGGCTGCGAACGTCGCTCGCGAAAGCCAACGTGCGGCGCCCGTTGACGTGGAGAGAAGTGGCGCTCGCGCTGGCCGAGACGCGCAAAGAGAGTGAAGAGGAGTACAAGGCGCTCCAGCTCGACCTGCGCCGGTGGCAGCACCTCTCGTCCATCATGTTTCAGTGGGTGAAGCAGGCCAGCGAGGCTCCGGTGCGGCGAGATGGAATGCTTGTCAACCAACGTATTCGCATAGTGCTATCAGCTGCAAGAGCAGCGGAATTGGCGGCACCGGTCGCTCTTGTCGGACCCGAATGCGCGCAAGATGGGCTACGACTGGATCATGAACCAGATGTACTACAACCTCCCGCGCACCTTGGCCGAGACGGGACTTCCAGCGTCGACGGAAGCCTACTTTTCGTTTGATGTTGCCGACGTGGACGACCCGACGCAGACCGTCGTGGTCGTGAGCCAGTTTCCTGTGCCCGGGAGCTTTGAAGACACGAGCGACATCATGGAGAGCCGCTTCGACAGAGCCCACGCCCTCCAGGTCGATCTCCGATGCGAGGAGGATCTAACAAGTGTGCGCAGGTGCTCGAAGTCCCCGACAACGACACTCGCTACGTGCGCTTCGTGTACAAGCCCGAGTGGCAACAAAACACCATCATCCGAGTCGTCCGCGAGCCGTCGCGCCTTATCTTCCTCACGCAGTCGATCCAAGAAGACGACGTCCATGGAGGCGGGGGTGGCCTCACGCGCTACTGGTCGAGTTGGTATGCTCGGGTTCCTCCATGTATCTTGTATCAAAACATGCGTAGGTCCATCGTCGAGCGCGTCAGCAAGACGTGCACGCTGATCAAAAATCGGTACTCGAGCGCGGCCTGGGAGACGGACGCTGGATACGTCCCGCTGGAAGCCAACGCGTCCGTACAAGAGCTTATGCGGACGCACCCGACCAATTGGTTCCACAAGCACCGACAGTCGCGCTACGACGACTGGCGCCGAGGCTTTGAAGAAGATGTTGTCGACGTGAGCACTCGCCTGGCGACCATGCAGTAACTTGTCCATAATGCGTACTACATGTAGTACCATGGACCAGTCTCCGACAATCGTCGGTGTACATGTAGCAACGTCATGGCTGCATCCATCGGCTACGCCCAACTATTAGATGTGGGAAGCTATTCTAGTAAACGAGCTAGACTGAAGGCTCGTGTCTGTGTCAGTGTCTGTGTCGCCTTTTTAATGGTAAAGAAGCAGCTGGCGCATCCATTCAATGGGGTGGGACGCACAACGAAAGATTTCAAGAGTCTGTGGCTGGCAGCATATTATGCCCCCACCGTACGCCATCATCCAACCAGCTCATGCAACCCACTTGTCCTTCAGGTGTTTGATTGGCCAAAATGAGTTCTTATGTCATAGTGCTTGTTACGACCTTCATTCTCGACCAATCCCGTTGCGGCAAAATTCGAATCAGGTCGAAATTGCCCTTCCAGTTGGATCCAACGGGTGCATGGGTAGCGCATTATCTCGGCGACGCGGATGGATACAAGTGAGGCCTCCAGTCGCTCGTTGGTCTACTACTAGTTACGTCATCCACGGTGTTGACTGCGGTATGGGTCGTCTGCGCTGTCGCAACGGCGGTCGCCCACACGTCCAGCTGTGCTGCCAAGTGCAACTTGTTTTTGGTTTGTCCAAAGCCCACCGTTTGTAAACATTTTGCGACCGTCGATCGCGGATCTTTCGGCTGGTCATTTTTGGATTTGCCACCATGAAGTTTGCTTCCGCGGTCCTCCTCGGCCTTCTTAGCGCCGTCGTCGCCGAGCGCAAGACGTTCACGGCCTACACGCAGCCCATCACGCTCGAGCAAGGCGGCATCAGCAACGCCTTCCACGTGCTCAAGATCCCCAAGGGCCCTATCGCCGTGTACCGCTTCGCCGGCGACATTGTCGAGATCGCCGCCGACGGCACGGTCATCCCGACGCCGACGTACGATGCGTACCTGCACCACCACGTCGTGGGCTCGCGCCACCAGCGCTACGCCAACCAAGAAGGCAAGTGGACGCCCATGAAGCCCAAGGGCGCGTACCGCGGCGTCGGCTTTGGCGCGGGCACCGAGGCGCGCGGGACGCCCCAAGAGTTCCACTACCCGTACGCCTTCTTCACGACCGAGGGCGAGGACGAGTGGATCGCCAACGTCCACATCCTCAACACGCGGCAGATGTCGCCGGCGCAAGCGCACCGGTGCCTCGAGTGCCCGTGCACGGCCGAGGACGACTTCTCCAACGGAACCATCAACGGCGTCGAGAACCCGCACGAATGCAGCCCCCAATTGCTCCACGACAACAACACGGTGTGCAACTTTGAGACGTACACGGGCGGCCTCTGGTGCTGCAACACGGGCGAGTTTTGTCTCGAGAAGCACGAGCTGCCAGCGCCGGCGCCGCCGACGTCGACCTACTACATGCGCTACACGATCGACTACGACGACATTGAGCCCGAGAACAAGGAGCTGTACCTCGCGGGCTGCTGCGATGCGTCCGGCGACCTTCTCCACCACGGCGCGGTCGAGTACGACGTGCCCCAGTGCAACCCGGCAGAGAACCCGGGGTGCGTGTACACCATCTCGGCGCGCCAGCACGTGGGCACGGGCAACGTGGTCTTTGACCTCGGCGAGGACTACACGCTCGACGACCGTGAAGTCGAGCTCGTCTACGCCGTCGGGCACCAGCACCGCGCCGGCCTCGGCATCCACCTCTACAACGACACGACCGACGAGCACATTTGCTCGTCGCTGCCAACCTACGGCAACGGCACCGTCGCCGGCAACGAGAACGGCTACGTCATCGCGATGAGCACGTGCACGTTCGACCCGCCGCTCCGCATGCGCACCACCGACGTCCTCCGCATCGTCGCGTCCTACGACAGCACGATCGCGCACACGGGCGTCATGAGTCTCTGGTACCTCGCGATCGCCGACGTGCCCAAGGAGACGACGACCAAGGTGCTGGCGCCGGCGGCGTCCACCGACGGCAACAGCTGGGGCTATGTCGTCGGCGGGCTTGTCGCCGTGGCGGTTGCGGCAACGGCGGCGGTCGTGTACCGCCGTCACACGCGCCAAGGCTACGCGCAGGTCGAAGGCGATCTGACGCCCGCGACGCTCTGATCGTTCAGAGTTGATAATGTATGCTCGGTGGATTTTGAATTGGGTTTTAAACGTGATTTTACATGAGTGTGCTAGTCGATACTGGTGTAGAACTCGTTCGTACGATGGCGGGAGTGGTGACGGTAGATCGTTATCACTGATAGCCCTGCCACCAGCCACACACAAACGAGCTCGGTGCTGCCAAGGCGCGCCGACGACGTAGCGCCAAGGTCCGTCGACCGAAGCGCTGCGCTGTGTTGGTTGACGTGTTCAGGCGGAGCTCTCGTTGGCGTCGGGCTTGGCAAGACGACTTCTACACAACGACGTGGTGTGGTATAGACGAAGAGCGTGAGGGCGTACTCCAAGCAGGCGCGATCGTCGTCGTGAATGGAGCGACAGGTTCTGCCGCGGTCAGGTCTAAGTTCTGAGCTGCGCCGCTGTCTGTACTGCCGGATTTCCCGAGCAGAGTCGATGCGGTCGAGGGCAATGGTGGTGGTGTCGGGAACGCGAGCACGATGGCTACGGTGACTGAGACATCGGCCTTCCGGGTGGACCGCTACATACGAGGACGGTCGTCGTTGGCCCTCTCCCACGCGGGGTTGTGGGCGACGACGGCCACCAGCAAGAGCACGAGGGACGCGCGACGCTGCATGGACGGCGCTCAGTTTGCACTGCAGTCGGTCGAGTGTAATGATCCGAATGGGTGTCTGTTTTTCACAAGTTGAAGTTGCTTGGATTCCGCCCGACCTGTAGTACACCGCCAACTTAGAGTCGTTTGGAAGGGAGGTGGCCCATCGATCGTGGTGGAGCTGACCCGCCTTGTCGGCTGCAACTGAGCTCCTGGCTCCAGTTGCGTCTTTGCAATGCACTGCACTTGGTTACATGGCGGGTCACACGTACCCTAGCCCTCCCCGACCGTCCGCACGCGAGAAGAAAAAGGTGGCGACGGGCCTGGTTGGTCTTATTATTATGCAAGGGAATGGGTAGTATGGAACGTGTAGAGATCAGTTGATAATGTCGTACGCGTCGTGGCGAGCATGGCGGCTGATAAAGCGGCGGAGGACGACGCCGGCCACAACCACCATGAGGAGCCCGAGGCAAGCGAGCGTCGACGTCGACAACGACGTGACGGGCGAGAACGATGCCGACTGCGCCATGATGGTGTCGTCCGTCCCGTTGCCCGTCGGCACCGGTGTTGCGCCTACCGGTACACATCTCTTTAGATTTCTCAGCCGGCGCTTCATATCGGCGTACGGGGTGTGACCGGCGGCCGATGTGTCGTCGGCGCCAGTGTCGGAGGTTCGGCAGTAGTCGGTGTCGGGCTGGCCAAAACCATTTCTACTTGCCGAGTTGGCCATGGTCCTGCTGCATTCATACGACGGTACCCGTCGTCGGCTCTGGTTTCTTGGTGGTCGACTCGGGCGTATCGGTGGTTGGTTTAGGCGTCGGGGCGTTGACTAAGATCTCTACAACAAAATAAGCGATGGCGCGCGAAAGATCTGTGGTTGACCGGCCGTCGTGGATGCCGGCGTTGTCGATGCATCGGCCGTTGTCTCGGGGGACGGCGTCGGCAGCGGTCTTCCTTCGCCACCTGTGACGTCCAACGTATCGGGGACGGTCGGGTGCGCCTTGGCAGCGTCCGAGAAGGGTCGGATGCCCCAAATGGACCCGCCGTACGCTGGCGTTTGGCTCCAGACAAGGTCTTCTTGACTCACATCCGGGACGACAAACGTGCAGTCGGACTCGATGCCGAGGTTGTTGGTGCCGCGGACGATCTTGAAGAAGCCGTTCTCGCCCCAGTACGAGCCCCACGAGTTGCGAATGTGCCAGAATTTCACACCGTCCTCCTCGCCGTAGCCGACAATCTCGACGTCGTGGTCGACGTCCATAAAGCCCGTCGTGTCGTTGAAGATGCCGGCCGAGTAGTTGTACGAGAAGCCGTCGCTGCAGGCGATGCCGCACGTGATCGGACCGTTCTGGAGCTCCTTCAGCATCGCGTGCTCGCCCTTGATATGGCCAAACGACGCGGCGCGGTACCGGACCATCTTGGTGACCGGAAAGCACTGCGCCACCTTGGGGCTCTCGGGCGTGTACATGCAGCTAATAGCAGTGGGTATAAGTATTCTTAGGACCGAGCAATGGCATGGACGTACTTCATGCAGTAGCCCTCGGGCGGGCACGTGCCGTTGGTCCACGTGTACTTGGCGTAGTCGGTCGCATTGTACGGGAGGCAAGTCTCGTCCGGAAGGCCGTAGTCGGCCATGAAGCGCCACACATCAATGCCTTCGCCGCCGTCACAACCGTTGGAGATGTTGTGCCCCGGCGCGCAGTTGAGAAAGCTCTGGCGCCCGAGCATGACGTCGGCGCCGGTGAAGCCTTTCTTGGCGTGCATGATCTTGATGCGGTCCTGCGCCTGCGAGAGCGCGCCGTGGAGGTAACACGACCCGCAGTACTTCGGAATGTGCTGGTTCCACGACGGCCCGCACACCCCTTGCTCGCACCAGTCGAACGCCGTCGGGAGAACGTTGTCGATTTCGTGGCGCTGCGCCGGCGTCACCTCGGGCGGCGTGTACTCGGGGTGGTGCGGGTGCCAGTGCTCCCGGCCGTGCATCGTGCGGTGGCAGCACCTCTCTCTCTCGTGGCGTTCGTGCTTGGCGACGTGGTGGTGGTGCTTGGAAGCGACGCCACTGAGCAGCGCCGCCGATAGCACAAGCAGCGCAGACTTCATCCGAGACGACAAAACCGGGAATGCCCGGCCTTTCTAGCGGGCGCCAATGGAACATTAGCCGCGTCGGTTGCGACGTCTTCGAAGCCGTTCGGTCGGTGGACCAACCGACGCGGTGCCGAGGCGTCGTGGCGCGATCCGGATAAAACTGAGTCACCCGCGATGAGTCATTTCGCGGGCGACCAATCAGACGCCGCCGACGACGGCGCGACATCCGCCGCGACGGGGATTCCAGCCAATCAGCGGCAAGTTGCACTTTCGCGGTGCACCGCTCAGTTCTGAATTGACGACAAACCGGAAGAAGAAGACATGGATTTCGCGCACCTCCTGCCGCCGACGTGGAAGAAGCACGTGGCCCTCTGGCTCGAAGACGACATTCCGTCGTACGACGTGGGCGGCTTCGTCGTCGGCGGTACGTCACCCGCCATGCCACGCGTGCTCATGGTCACGAGTAGAGGCCGAGCACGTCGCCTTCCTCCTCGGCAAGTCCGATGGCATCGTCGCGGGCGTTCCGTTCTTCACTGGTGCGTGAGAAGCGTGCGACACGAGAAGCTTATGGTCTGCGTAGCTGTGTTTGAGGCCGTCGACTGCAAGGTCGAGTGGACCATGCCCGAAGGCTCTGTCATCACGCCGTCGGCTGTCCCGTCGGGCAAGATTGTCGTCGCCAAGGTGACTGGCGCGGTCCGCAACATCCTCCTCGGCGAGCGCACGGCGCTCAACATCATCACGCGCGCCAGTGGTATCGCCACGCAGGCCCACGCGGCGGTGAAGGCTGCGCGCGACCTCGGCTGGCAAGGCCATGTCGCCGGCACGCGCAAGACAACGCCCGGCTTCCGCATCGTCGAAAAGTACGCGCTCCTCGTCGCGGGGGCGAGCACGCATCGGCACGATCTGAGCCAAATGGTCATGCTCAAGGGTCGACTTGGTTTTGCTGGAGCGTTTGACGATGTGTAGACAACCACGTGTGGGCCTCGGGCTCCATCACCAAGGCGGTCACCAAGGCCAAGGCGGCGGCCGGCTTCTCGATGAAGATCGAAGTCGAGTGCCGCAAGATCGAAGAGGCGATCGAGGCGGCGACGGCCGGCGCGGACATTGTGATGCTCGACAACTTTGAGCCGCCGCAGCTCAAGGAGGTGGCCGCCAAGCTCAAGCAGCAATTCCCGCACCTTCTCATCGAGGCGAGCGGCGGCATCACGAGCGCAACGATGCCCCAGTACCTCTCGCCGCACGTCGACATTGTCAGCCAGGGCAAGTTGACCCAAGGTTCGCATTCGATGCACCAACAATTGTCTTATATGAGAGGGATTAGGGTACGGCTTTCTGGACTTTTCGCTCAAGATCCAAAAGAGCGAGGGCGTCTTGCAGCAATAAGATGGGACGCAAACACGATCTGGCTTTTGATATCTTGGAACACGCTACGCGATGTGGGCGAGCCATGCGTCGGGCACTTTAGTGGACGCATCGTACTGCAGGCGGCCGACCCAGACACCGACTTCTTTCCGGAGAGCGGCGGCCAGCGGGCTCGGCAGCCACGTCACTGCGTCCAGCACCTGCGTGAGCGCCGATTTGGTGCGTCCTAGAAACGCACCGTTGGCTCCTGCTAACCTCGTGGCGTGTACGCACCGTCGTTCGACACTGGGCGGCTGGAGCTGGAGAATGTACTGCATACATTGGATGCACTCGAGGAGCGTCACGGGGTGCGCCATGAGCGCGACGCTGAGTAGCTGCACGGTCACGAGGGCGTGGCGTACGACGTCTTCTCTACGCACGAGGTGGCATGAGCGGCTGCCTGCCAAGCAAGAGGCGACCGATGGGCCTGCATCCACTCCATAAAGGTGTCGAGGGTGACGAGCGCGCGTGAGACGTCGTGCAGGTAGCGACGAGCGCCGTAGACGAGCGCGAGCGTCTCGATGGCAGCGTCACTGGAGACCGCGCTCGAGCACGCATCGCGCAGACGTGCCGGCCGCTCGGCGAAGAAGAGCCACGTCTATGAACGGGCGTTGAGGACGCAAACACACACCGCGAGGTACCTCAGCAGCGGACGTCGGCGGTGGCTGCTTGTCGAGAACGCTCCGAACCGCAACGGGCAATGCAGTGTATAGCGCGTGTATGAGTTGCTGGGCTCGCACGGTTGGATAGGCCTCGAGGCGACTAGCTGCAACGTTGGAATGGCATGCCTTCACGAAGCAGCTACCTCGCGACGAAGCGGCGCGCGACCAAGTACATTGCAGTCGAGTACGTCGCTGCATACGACGACGGCGCGCTGGAAAACACAAGGTTATGCATCGAGCGAAACGGATCGCGGTGCGCTTCAACGAGCCATCGCTCGAGCTACAAGAGCGCCTGTCGTACGCGTCAAGAAGAAGGACTTGTCGTGACGACCTGGTGCTGCCACAGCCGTGGCCAGCGCGCCCAGAGCTGCCATTGAACGTCGATCGCCACATCGCGCATGTCTTGCTGCAAGCGAGCTTCAAAGGACGCGGCGAGGCGCGACAGAGCAGGTTGCAGCGCCACGAGCGGGGCAACCTCGAGAAAGAGATGACGTGGCGCGGTCTCGAGCAAGTCCTGGACTTGCTGCAGCGCAGCAGCCGGTAGCGGCGCCGACGCGCTGCGCAAGACGCTAACCATCGTCTCTTGGATGACGCGCTGCTGGAGCGGAAGCGATGGGCGTAGGACCATTGGCGCGCGAGCGACGCTCTGCGTGAGGTTGGGCTTGGCGTACACGGTCAGCGTATCGAGCACCGTGGTCCGCGCCCAGTCGCGAGCGCCGCAGTCGTCGTCGACGAGCGCTGCACGGCACACTGTGAGAATGGCCGCGTCCCGTGCCGGCGACTGGAGCTGCGCGACCAGCGCCTCCATCTCGTCCAGCGTTGGCATTGCCGCAATCTTCCGGATGGTCCGGATACGAAGGCCGCGCCCGACAACAGAGTGGACGTCATTGGTTCATTACTGCACAACTTGTCTATCTATTGAAGGACATATTCGTACTCGTTCCACGTCCCGAGCTCGTTGACGATGGTCTCAAGGAACGTCCAGCCGTACTGTCGTAGGAGCTGGTTCATGCGCGCGTTCGACTCCCACGTCGCCGCCGTGATCCGATGGAGGCCAATCGACTTGGCCCAGACCATGGTTGCGTCGTGCATCTCGCGGCAGTAGCCCTTGCCTTGGGCCGTCTCGGAGAGAATGACGCCCCACTCGCCCTCGCCCGTGGCTACGTTCATGACGCGAAAGCCGGTCGTACCAACAACCGCGCCCGAGCTCGTTTCGATGACGTCCAAGAAGGCGCCTTCGCAGCTGGCCATCATGCTTCGGTGCGACGACCGCCGGCTCGCCCACGCGTCGTCCGAGAGGTTGCAGAGAAACGGAATGTATCGCATGTTGGCTTCCTGCGCAAAGATCGCGCGCACGGCGTCGTCCAGATGCGGCGCCGGCGCGAGGTACGTCAAGCGCGCCGACGTCGGCAGCGTCGAAAACCCCATATATGCGAAAAGAATGGAAATGACCTCCTTGGCTCGAGTACGCTGCAGCTGTTTGCACAAGCTGGCCTAGCCCTACGCGGTGGATGTCGCACGCCTGCGTCGTGACCACCTTTCTTTTCTACCAACTCGAGTACTTCCATCGTAACGTTGCTTCGAGATGCCATCTTGGCCTTCCTCGCAGCGTTGCCGCAGGCGGTCTCGCAATCGGACCCAGATGTCGTACTAGTAGACGATGCAAGGGGCGACTCCCCATGTCGGGACGCTGTCTAGTGTGGCCTTCCTTCGAGGACCTCCTTTATGGTCACTTCCAGTGTGTCGATCACGAGTCTCTCCCGTCCCATGTCAGCACATGGCCGGCGTATGCTTGGTTGTGCCATTGCCGCCCGGTCCCGATCGCAATACATTTCTGCAGTCAGTGGTCGTGCCACTGAAACTCAAATCAACGCTTCGATTGAGTTGAGCTGCATTTTTTCGATTCACATACAAATCGATAGATAGTTGTGTGCGGTTAAAAAAAGAGCGTCGCACCAGGTGGCCACTCTCTGGCTCATACGCCTGTGTCAATCGGCCGACAGCTCATTTCGCTAGACCCGATGTTGCCGACGACGACGTCGGGCCGCAGCCTCCTCAATGAGGCCCTCTCGCCGACGGGCCGGCGCGTCCTCAACGAGTTCTTCCAGGCCAACGCGGGCGCCAAGGACACGACCAAGCCGCGGAGCATCGATCTGCAGTCGCTACCGCTCTTGACCGAGGTCTTTGTCAAGTCCCGCGCCGCCCTCGACGTGCTGCAGCTGCGCGCCGACCGCCACGACATCATCCTCGTCACCAATGTGCTGCAGAAGAAGGCGAACGCTGTCGACGTCCTCGACTTGCGCAACATGGGCCTCATCCGGCGGGACGACGTGCTTGTCAGCATCAACACGGCGCCCGTCGCGGACGTGGCGGCGGCGTACGCAGCGCTGAAGGAGCTGCCACTGCCGATCACGCTCGTCTTCTCGCGGTCGCTCGTGCGCAAGAACACGCTCGGCGAGTACAGCGTTGAGGACATCATGCGCCACGTCGAACACAACCAGAGCCGGCTCCTCGAAAAGTACGACGCCCACGACGCAGCCGTGATGCTGAGCATGATGGTGCGCTTCACGGGCCTCCAAGGCTCGTACACGCTCCTTCGCGAGTTCATCATGGACGCAGAGAACCTCCTTGTGCCCAAGCCGTGTGCCGTCCTGCCGCCCAACGCCTTTGATGTCATCCGGCAGTACGTGCAGGTGATCCACGAGTACATGGGCAGCGAAGACGACGCGCGCAAGAAGCGCTGGTACGACGACAAGAGCAGTCGCTCGAGGCGCATCGAGTCGATGCAGAAACAGCTCAAGGTCCTCGACGCCAAGCTGGACGCGTCGACGCTGGCGCTGGCCGCGTCGCCCGAGCTCCAGGCCACCCGCGCCGGCGCCGACTACGCCGAGCTGCGGAACCTCGTCGAAAACCTCCGGGCCGACGTCGAGCGCTCCAAGCAGCTGCACTACCTCCCGGCTGTCGAAGGCTTTACGCTGCGGTTTGGCACGGGCGGCGTCTACGTTGGCGTCGGGTACGTAGCACGTTTTCCTCGTAATTAGTATCAAGGTATCAACTCGGACTAGGGACGTGTGGATGGCATCGTACCAGACGTCGTTCTCGATCGAGACCCAGCGCGCCGCGCCGCATGTGGTCTTGCGCCTCACACCCCTCTCCGACACCGGTCTCCAAATCCGCGCGACCAACTTCAAAGTGTATTCGGAGGGCCGGATCCCGACCTTCCACTGCGACGAGCTCAACATTGAGGCGCTCTTCACGGCCTCGATCCCGCTCGTCTTCGACAACCTCACGGGCTGGCGCGTCCACAAGGACGACCTCGACGTGAGCTTCAACAGCCTCAAGTACTACGAGCGCCAAGCCAACTCGTCTGTGCGCGGGAAGGCCAACGACAGCGTCCTCAAGCACTTCCTCAACCGCGTGCTACCGTCGGTGGTCGAAGAGGCAGCCGTCAACTTCTTTAGCTCTGAAATGGGCGTCCTCTTCAAGGAAGGCCGTGCCAAGGTGCGGCTCACGGGCGACTTGCGTCTCGAGGGCCGCCCGCTCTCCGTCTTTGACGCCTCGCTGAGCGCAACCGACGACGCGCACGCGGACGAGGCCCGGGCGCTTCTGTCGCTGACGCCGGCGCAGGGCGACGCCCTCTACAAACTCTACAAGGTGTTTGTGCTCACGCCGGCGGCGACGCTCAAGCAAAAGATCTTCTCGAGCGACGCGGCACTCAGTTACCTCTCGATGCGCGAGCTCATCGAGTACGTGCAGCGGCTGCGGCGACAGCCCAACGTCCGGCACCTCCTCGCCGCGTGCTGGCAGACGGCGATCCGCCTCCTTGGTCCAACTGACGAGGTCGACTTTTTGAGCCTCCTCGAGACGGTCGGCGAGATCGAATCGTACCCGGTCGACGTCTCGCTTGGGCTTCATAGCACCAATATCCGTGTCGACCTCTGCGAAGGCGCGGCCGCCGCCTACGCGTCGATCGAGCGCCAACTGCGGCAGAAGCTCTCGTCGCGTCCTGAGATGAAGACGCAGATCGAAGCCGAGATCACGACGCTCGAAGAGGGCTACAACAGCGTGAACCTGCTGCTGTCCAAGGTCGCGAGCCGCGTCGACGAAGTCGCGCTGCTACTCTCCGGCGGCCTTCCCGCGGGTTTCGACAGCGACCTCTCGTTCGAAGCGACCGAAGTCACGTGCAAGGGGCCATGGCAGGCCGCAGTGCCGGTGCCGCTCACCGACCCGGAAGCGGCGTTCGAGGCGCGCGTGACGGCGCCGACGCGAACCGTCGTCAAGGCCGACGACGGCGACCTCCTTGTGAGCCAATTTGTGGCCAGCGACGACGGCGGCGAGCACGAGATCCAGGTGCGCGTTCAAGACGCAGCGTTCCAGGTCCTCGTCCAAGCGCCCGACAATGGGGAAGGTAGCGCCTCTTCCTCGTCCTTCTTCGTGCCACTCACGTTGGCCCTCAACACAGCTTCGCCGACGCCGACGCTGTCGCTTGCGATGGGCGAGAACGCCAAGTGCGCGGTCCAGCTCAAGCGCCTCGCGTTCTGCAGCCCCATGTGGCCCGTGCTGCGGTACTTGCACGCCGAAGCCCTCGGCGACGCGATTTCTGGCAAGTCGGACTTGCTCCTCGCCTATGTGAGCTCGCCCTTCTTCGCGTTCTCGCTGCGCTTCTTCACATCGCTCCAAGTGACGCCCGAGCACATGTACTGGACGCTCAACTCGGCGTCGCTCTCCGAGTCCAACGTGAGCTTTGTCACGCACCGCATCTGCCTCGCGCAGCTCCTCCGCGACTTCGGCGCGCTCGAGTGGGGCCAGGTGCACGGCCTCGAGAACGACGAAGACGTTCTGCGCAAGGCCAAAGCCCGCGCCGCCTCGCGCATGGCGCCGCTCAAGCGCCACGACTCGATCCAGCCGAGCCGCAACAAGAAGCGGACGCTCACGTCGCAAAAGAGCTTTCTCGGCGACGAGGACCCGCGGGTGCAGAACATGTTCCAAGTGGCACCGGACGGCGCGGCGCTGCCTCCCGTGCACGAAGAAGAGCCGACGATGTACGAGTCGCTTGAGGACGACCCGTACTACTTTTAAGCACTCAAAAGTTGCCACGTCTTGGTCGCGATGGAGACAGGCAACAAGGGATTGGGTAGTATATTCTTCATCTAGTATCTCTGGGGCGAAGAGCGTTTACAAGAGCGCGCAGTCGACGAGTTTAATCTCCGTGAGCGGCTTGCCCTTGACGCAGTACACATTTTCTACCTTTCGCACCACGTCCATGCCCTCGACGACCTTGCCAAAGGCCACGTTGCGGCCGTTCAAGTGCGGCATCGGCGCCAATGTGATAAAGAACTGCGACCCGTTCGAGTTGACGCCGGCGTTGGCCATGCCGAGGACGCCGGCCTCCGTGAAGCGCAGCGCAAAGTTCTCGTCCGCGAACGTGCCACCTGCCGCCGACTGGGCCCCCGTGCCGTTGCCCGCGACAATGTCGCCGCCCGTGATGAACTGGTTCTTCTGGACGGCGTGGATCGGCGTGCCCTTGTAGCCGCTCTCCGCCAGCTGCAAAAAGTTGGCTGCCGTCGCCGGCACAATGTCCTTGGCGACCTCGACGACGACCTTCTCGGGCTCCGTGTTGCCAATCTGCACGCTGAAGGCCACGCGCGGGCGCGGGGCCTCGGGCGCCGGGACAGCGTAGTCGTAGCTCTTGGCCGCGGCCTTGGGCGCGTTCATCTTCTCGAGCGCGCGGTGGTACCAGCCCCAGCCGCGGGCGCCGGCGCGGAGCGGCGCGATGCTTCCGAGCACTTGACGACGCATGATGCTCCTCGATTTGCTATCTGACGACTGGACAAGAGATGAAATCGAGCACCGGGCGCTGATTGGCGAAGACTTTTGGCCAATCACACGCGCGTATCTTGCGTCGATGCGTTAAACGCGTTAAAGAGCGCCAAAAGCGTTACAAAAATGTGTCAGTGCAGCACGACGCAGTATGCAGTCAGCTTGCAGTCGATGTAGCAACGGGCAGAAGAGCGACTTTGAGGTGCCGATGGCAACTGACGAGTGGCGCAGGCCGAGCTGCTGCAACCGTATTACATGTTTCTGGATTGCACATGCATGGCGCTGCTGCCAAACCGAAACACAGAGGCTTGCGTAGGCCCACGACCTATCGATGACGCTTGGTGGTGTCGTGGCTACGGTCTACAGTCTTCGCCGATGTGGAAGGGACAGCTCAAGAGGCTCAAGAAGCCTTACTGCCAACAGCCAGCAACCAGCTGCCTCCATCCCGCGTCGGAGCCGTCGTCTTCAAGCCCCGATTCCACAGCAGCAAACGGCGCGGACCAGTAGAGTGCTGATGCGATTGCAGTGACACAGGAGGAAGAGGTGATGCCGCAGTGATAGTACGTACTGCTAGCCAAGCCGTTGTTTGCCCAAGCCGTTTCAAATGGCCGAAACAGAAAAACGCGTTTATAACGAGTGGAAGCCATTTATCTGCATCTTTGTATACTGACGGCAGCAAATCCCGATTTTATTATGTGCGACAGAAATGGCGCCAGGCTTGCCGAGAACACCTAGGACCCCCCGTGCTACGTTTTGTACCTACCCCATACAAAGTATAAGGTGTGCGAGGGCCGTACAAAAACCGTAGGTAGGGGACCCCCTCGCACGTGCCATTCCCATCATCCAAGAAGGCAGCGGTCATCATAATCCGACAAGCGCCAGCATGGACGAGTCCAAGCGCAGCCCATCCGCCGGCCACAGCAGCAAGGTCCTCGAGTTCAACGACGATCCGTCGCCGGCCAGCCGCCACGAGAACGTCCTCTTCGAAGACGACGAGGATGACGAGGACGAGGTAGCACCCGTGGCCCAAGCGCCCCGCGTCAACTTTGCGCCGGCGCCGACGACGTATGCAGCCGCGCACCACCCACCGTCGTCGTCGTCGTCTTCGGCCTCGACCTTTAGCTCGTCGAGCTCGTCGAGCGGCCGGAGCGCGACGACGATGATTGCGATGCTCCAAAAGCACGGCTACAACCTCGAGGACCCGGACGCGGCGGAGGGCGCGTCCATCTCGCTCAACTCGGCGAGCATCCTCCACCTTCGCGAGCGCAAGAACAACCAGACGGCGTTCCACATTGCGGCCAAGAAGGGCCACGTCGACGTGCTCAAGGCGCTCATGAAGCTGCCGCGCGCCGAGGAGTATGTCAACGTCCCGGACAAGATGGGCAACACGCCGCTGCACTTTGTTGCGTCCAAGGACAAGGCAGAACTCCAAGAACAGCTTGGCGAGCTTCTCCTCAACATGGGCGCCAACCTGCACGCGATGAACGTCCGCGGGCAGACGCCGCTCGAGGTCCACATCGTCACGGCGCGCGCGGATACGACGACCTTTGTGCGCCTCATTTCGTTCCGGGGCATGAACCTCAACACGCTCGTGAACGGGACGACGTATTTGCACATGGCCATGGAGCGCGGGTACATTGAGATGGCGTGCGCGCTCGTCAAGGCCGGCGCCAGCGTCAACCTCCCGGACCACAACGGCGTCATGGTCTCGGACACGGTGAACCGACAGACGCTCATCAAGATGATCCGCTGCATGCGCGAGGGCACGCAGGCGCCGCCGCCGGATGTCCCGCGCGTCTCGTGCAAGCTGTGCAAGAACCCCAAGGGTCTTCTCGACTCGATGCGCGACTGCACGCTCTGCGGCCGCACAGCGTGCCGCAACTGCTCCAAGAAGCTCTCGGAGTTTAAAGAGTTTAAAGACCCCGAGGAAGCGCGGCGCGAGAAGATCGACAAGGAAGCGCTCGCAGCACGCTACTGCCACACGTGCGTCACGGTGCTCCAGCTGCGCGAGAAGCGGCTCGCCGACAAGAAGCGCTTCAACGACAGTCTCATGGGCATGAACCGTGTCTAACAACCAGTCGCAGGAAGCATATATCGTCGAGCTCTACATGCATCTTATCGCGTCTTATTGCGTGGGGCCTTCGCGGGCGAGCGCGAGTTGGTACTTTTCGTTGATCTCGACGCAGCTCTTGTCGTACGGGTACGAGTAGTCGACGAACGAGCCTAGACACGGAATGCTGCAACGTGGAAGAGGCGGCTCATGTCGTACCGAGGACGCCAAGGATCGCGAACGGGTACAGGCTGCGCTTGTACATGCTGATGGGCATGCCGCCGAGGACGCCGCCAACGCAAAACTACAAGTCATCTCTCACGCGCAGATCGTCGTCTGCTAGCGACGTACGGTGGTTTGGCGCTGGACCATGCAGCCCTGCAGCGCCGCTCGCAGCTCCTTGGCCGTCGGCTCCGTCTCGGTCATCTTGCGCCTTCAGAAATGGCCACCGACCTGCGGTCTCCGTATACAACATCCGGATAACCTGCTCGGCACGATAGCTCGGTGCATTGAGTCCTGCTCCAGTGCACGCCAGCTCGGTACTTCGAGCCGCAACCGATCCGCGCCGGCACTGCTAACGGCAGCGCAGCAGCAGTAAGCTTGCCAAAGCCTCGGTGGCTCGCTCTGCGGGAGGTCCTCGCCTGCGGCCTGCGGACGCAGCCTTGGCACGGCGGGCAACTTGAAAGTCACATCGATGGGGCAGTCGGTTGCCGTGCTGCAGCAGGCACGTCATCGAACTCGCGCACGACGTAGTTACATGTAAATGAAGTCCATTGGATTGTCGCCGTCGCCGGACGCTGCTTATGTGTTGACCGAGTAGCGGTGGCCGCACTTTTTACACTCGTAAAAGACGGTTTGGCCTTCATCGGCGGACCGCAGCTGCATCGTGTAAAACTCCATCTGCGGGTTGTTGCACTTGGGGCAGGGCTCTTCGACCGTCGCGCGCGCGGGGCCCGTCACTTCTTGCGACACGATCGCGTTCTTGACCCACTTGGGCTCGGGCCGGTCCTCGCTGAACGTGACCGTGCACAGCGTCGGCAAGTCTAGGCAGCATGCAGTGGATGAGAATGCAGTGCAAGCAGCGGTGCTACCTTGGTACTGGCAGGTGTAGCCGCAGGACGAGCAGACAATGTTGTTGGTCTCCGGCAGGTCGAGGATCGTGCCGCAGTGCGGACAGAAGGACGGACCGCCGGCCGTCGCGCGCTTGGCAAAGAACTGGTCCATCGAGCTTTATAGCGAGTGAGCGAGCCCACAGGGACGCGATTATCCGGATGCTGCGCTGACCAGTCATAGCGCGATACTATCCGGACGCCACCTTTTGCCACCTTTAACGTTGGCGCCGTTTTGGCGTCTCGAAGGATCGCAGTGCGAGGAACAGCACGCAGCAAGGCCACACACGCCACGCTGCGACCGTGGCCATGTGCAGCCACTGCCCGAGAAGACGATGTAGTCATAGAGAAGAATGTGGTCAATGTTATGCACCAGCACTGAGATCTTAGTCCTGGAAGGCCGCAGAAACGCGTCGTCGTTCATTGACCGAGAAGACGACGAAGAAGCGGAAGCGGGACGCCTTCTTCATCCGCTAGAAAGAACCAGCCAAGAGGCATCGCGCTGGCGCCTTGCATAGGCAGAGCAGATTCGGTAACAGGCGAATCTGGCGCTAAAAATGCAGACAGGCGCGTCGCCATTTTGAAACGCAGTGCGGTACCTGCGGATGGCGGTCCGCGACACTATGTACCTAGGATCAAGCGTCACCGTGTCATCCAGGAGCGTCGGCAGCGAGACGCGTCGAGTAAACCAACACCTTCTCGTCGCTTCGAGTCGAGGGACGCCCTTCGTTTTCTTGTTTCAAATCATCCGGATAAAATGAAACAAGCCAATCAGGAGTGGCGATTGTGCATGGGCGTAGCAAGTGCAAAGTGGCATTCTCGAATTTTCAGCCGACGATGGCCTCGACGATGCCAAAGCGCGTGCGCAAGTCCTCGGACGTCGCTGTCTACGGCGAGTACGCCGACTCGGTGCCCGAGATGGACGACTGGACGACGGCGCCGCATACGCTCACGGTCGGCTTCATCACGCTGATCTTCTTCCTCTACAACATCTTCCAAGACAACGACCCGAACGCCAGCGCGCTCGACGACCTCAAGCGCGGTATCTACTTTGCCTGCCTCTTCTTCCTCGTCTACTGCGTGCTGCAGCTGCGCGACGGCCACTTTCTTCGGCCGCATCCGGCGATCTGGCGCCTCATTACCGGCATCTTCATTCTCTACGAGATGCTGCTCATCGTGCTGCTCTTCCTCAAGACGGACGACGCGCGCGCCTTCATGAAGCACTTTGACCCGAAGCTCGGCGTCAAGCTGCCCGAGACGGGGTACGCAGACGACTGCCGCCTCTACGTGCCGGAGGCCGAAGACCCGTTCAAGAACCTCCGCGCGACCATCATGGACCGCTTCGTTGTCATGCACTTTCTTGGCTGGGTCGTCGGCGCGCTCATGATTCGCTCGTACAACGTATGCTGGGCGATCTCGATCCTCTTTGAGTTCTACGAGCTCACGTTTGCGCACTGGCTCAAGAACTTCAACGAGTGCTGGTGGGACCAAGTGTTCCTTGACGTGCTCCTCTGCAACGCGGCGGGCATCTGGATCGGCATGCGCATCTGCCGCTTCTTTGAGATGAAGAACTACAACTGGGTTGGCATCCGCACGATCCCAACGGTCTCTGGGAAGGCCCAGCGCATGATGGCGCAGTTCACGCCAGTCACGTGGCTCTCGTACGACTGGAAGATGTTCCGGTCCGCCTCGCGCTTCTGGCAGGTCATGGGCATGGTCATCACGCTCTCGGTCATGATGCTCAACTCGTTCTTCCTCAAGACCGTCCTCTGGGTGCCAGCGTCCAGCTACCTCAACGTCGTCCGCCTCTCGATCTGGTACTCGGCCGGCAGCTACGCGATCGCCGAGTACTACATTTTCATGACGTACTCGGGCCCGGACGTTGTGACGCCCGCCAAGAAGCTCGGCCCCCGCGCCTGGCTCGGCTTTGGCGTCGTCATCTCGGAGGTCTGCCTCATCCTCAAGCACGGCACGGGCATGTTCACCGAGCCGTTCCCGACGACCGTCAAGATTGCGTGGCTTGTCGCTGGTCTTCTTCTCACGGTAGGCTCGACCATCTACTTTGTCTGCGTCCACCGCGCCCGCGACGCCGCCAAGAAGCAGCAGTAGTAGTACCCACCAGCTAATAACAACAACCCTTGATCTTGCATCGCTCCAGCAGAAAAGACGGCGCCAAGTGGTTTTAAAACCGAGTTTGGTATCCGGAGGGACCTGAACAGACGAGGAGTTACTCGGTTGCAATCGGTTGGGCGGCGCCGACGACGCATGCTTCTTGACCTCCTTCTTCCTTCTTCTACTCCGAGCAACGAAGCATGGGCCAAGTACACGCGACAGGCGGCGACGGCGAGAAGGCGCGACGCCTGGACGCGCGCTGGGGCCGCGTGACGCTCGAGCAGCTCGGCGACGAGACCTTCCTCACCAAGCAGTATCGGCGGTCGGGCTTTGCCGCGACGTACAACCAGTACCAGCGCCATCGCATGACTCTGCTTTTGGCCAAGCCCGACGACGACACCGACGCCGAGACAAACGAGCGAGACGAGATGGCGCTGGGCGACGCCGTCATGGCCGTCGTGGACACGGACCCGACGCTCCTCGCCCAGTTTAGCATCCACCGCCTCCGCGACATCCTCGTGCGAAGCTGCGAGGTCGTCGATCCCTTCGTGACCAAGCTCGAGCTGCAAAAGTTCATTCTGCGCTGTGCGCACGAAGCGCTCGCGTCGCATGCCGCCCCTCGCGCCGAGACGACCAAGGAGACCAATGCGGCCGCTTCCAGTAGCGCCAAGGCCCGGAGTAGTGTGCCTCACGACGCTCTCCTCGGTGTCCACGTCTTCCTCTCGCTCGTCGCCAGCCTCCACGAGCCCGACATGCGCGAGGCCCGCGCCCAGCTCCTCCTGGACATGGTGCCACTGGTGCAAAAGTTGTCGCCCCTCGCCCTCGCGCCGACACCACCCGGGAAAGGCCGCGTTCGCACCGAGTCGCCCGACGCCCTTCTCGTCATTGACCGTCTCCAGCGCTTCCTCCTCGACATGTGTGCCGAGGCGAGCGACGTGAGCAGCGTCGCGATGCAATTGCTGTTGCAACTCGCCATCGCGCGGGGCTCCGTGAGCACCTTCTTGCTTGCGATCCGTGTCTTGCTGTGCGCGACGGACGCCGCCAGCGACGTCAAGAAGGTCGAGTTGCTACCGGACGAGAGCGTGCTCGACGACGAGCTTGGGGCCATCGATATGAAAGCGCTCCGAAAGCTGCCGCGCGTCGGCCCGCTCCTCCGGGACGCGGACGAGATTGTCATGTCGGCGCAGCTAAAAAGAAGGCCAAGAGCGTGAGCCCCGTGCACCCGGTCTCGGGGCCCACGTCGTCGAGCCCGAGTCCCAAGAAGAACAACGTCCGCGACAAGCCGGTGAAAGCCGACGTGAGCCTCGCCCCTGACCGAGCCGGTTTCAGTCGCTCGACATCGAGGCGATCGTGTCGGTACTGCGCGCCGCGACGCCGCGCGAGTTGACCGACGCCGGCGTCGCGATTGACGACGAGGACGAGCGCGAGGTATGGAGCTGCGGCCAAAACTCGTACGGCGAGCTCTCCCACGGCGACACCAACCCGCGAAGAGCGTTCGAGCGCGTGGAGGCGCTGCAAGGCAAAGGCATCGTGCAAGTCTGCGCGGGTAACGAGCACACGGTCGCCTTGAGCAGCGACGGCACCGTGTTCACCTGCGGCTACAACGACAACGGACAGTGCGGCCAGGGCACGACGACGCGCGTCGCCGCCGTGACGGCCATCACCAAACTCGACGTTGGTTTCGAGCACGGCGTGAGTCAGATCCACGCGTACAACGGATGCGAACACACGGTGATCGTCAACACCGAGGGCGCGGCCGCTGCGTTTGGGTACAACTACCGCGGCCAGCTCGGCCTTGGGTCCACGACGAGCGAGAGCGTGCCCAAGGTGCTGCGAGGCTTGGACCCGACAAAACGCGTCAAGCTCGTCTCCTGCAGCTACTACCACACGCTCCTCAGCGTCGACGGTGATGCCGTGTACGCCTTTGGACGCAACGACTATGGGCAGCTCGGGCACAACGATACGATGGACCGCCGGTCGCCGGCGCTCGTCGACGCGCTCGCAAACGTCCCGCTAAGCTCGGTCGCGTGCGGGCAGTACCACACCATGGTCGTCACGACGTCCGGTGTGATCCTCGCCTTTGGGAAGAACGACTACGGCCAACTCGGTGTCGACGGCATCGAGAACCAGCTGGTGCCGATGGTGGTCAAGAGCGGCCTCGAGCGCTTCGTGTGCACGGAGGTGCGCTGCGGCTACTACCACACGATCGCGCTCTGCGCCGGTGGCACGTCTACGGATTCGGCCGCAACGACTATGGACAGCTCGGCATCGGCGAGGCCGCCAACGCGCAGCAGCGGATCGCGGTTCCGACGCTCGTGCCCGACCTCGAGGGCAAGGACATCGTCCGCATCGCCTGCGGCTGCTACCACACGCTCGCGGTGGCCGACAACGGCATGATGTACGCGTTTGGCCGCAACAACCATGGGCAACTCGGGACCGGCGACACGAGCGAGCGACTCGTGCCAACCCCTGTCGACGCCTTTGTGGGCAAGCGCATCGCGATGGTGGCGGCTGGCTTTTACCACACGGTTGTGCTCACAGGTGGTCGAGATGCAACCGAGATACCGCCAACGGAATCGACGCTCGAGACAACCGACAACAGCGCATTCACACCCGAGGCGGTGCTGGCCGACATGGCGGCGTTCGTCGCGCCGGGGAAGCCGAAACCAACGCCGCGCACCGCGTCGCAGCCCCTTCGCGTTCTCGTGGACCCGTCGTTTGACATCGATCCCGAAGACGAAGAGGCCGAGGCGTCGCTCGTCGCGCCCGAGGGTCCACCGCCGACGGCCGCGTTCGGCCACGTGCAAACTGCCGTGTGCCTCCTCGCCCACCTGGATCGACTCTCGCGCGCGTTTGTGCCACGGCGACAGTTGTACCCCTCGCTCGCGGGACCAAAACCAAAGGAAGGCGCGGCGGGGCGCTTTGAAACCTACTGCGTCGACGTCCATAGCTCGACGTTTCTCGCGGTTGCCGACATCATCACGCGCGGGTGTTCCGGGCGCGACGGCGAGGCAGCGCAGACCCAGGTCTACATCCTGCTGGCGTCGCTTCGGGTGCTGCAAGCCAACGTGACGCAGCTCGTGCGCTGCGGGCTCGGGAAGCGCGTCGTCGCGGCGCAACCTCCCGTCGAGAAGGAACCCGAAGTAGACGCCCTCCGAAGCGCGCTACACCGCGTGCACGTGGTGCTGGTTTCGCTCATCGATGTGCCAAAAGGCTTGCGCGACGGCGACAACCACGCGGGCGTCGTCGACGGCAAGAACCAGCTCGTGACGGCCGCCGTTGAAACCTTGCTCATCGGCTTCGAGCTCTTCTACCCGTGCCAGTGCACGCAGACGTCGGTGATCTTTTCGGTTCTAAAAGACATGGCGCCGGCCCTTGTGGCTACTGGGTGTGCGTGTGGTGCCGGAGCGCCGCCTCCGATCCCACGCAACCGCAAGGTCGTGCTCGAGCCACTCCTCCGGCGCATGGCCGACGACGCGATCCTCGCGCAGTTCATACCGCAGTCGCCGGAAACGGGGACAGAGAGCTTGGAAAGTCTGGCCAACGTCGTCATCGAACGAATTGGGCTGCAGACAATGGCGCTCCTTGCCACGTCGGAGAAGGACGAGCTTCGCAGCGCCGACGCTGCCTTCCGCCCGTACGTGGTGCTTCTGAACGCCATGCAGAAGCAGCTCGCGAGCTGGGCCGCCAGCGTCGAGTCGTGGACGCGGCCAACCTCCGACATGCCCGTGCTCGACAGCGTGTTTTGCCTGACGCCGGACGCCGCCGGAGGTCTTCCCCGCGCCTGGCGCTGCTACGTTGAGTTTAGCACCACGGTCTTTGCCCACTGTACGACGGCCATCAAAACCGTGAGCGTCCAGACCAAGGTGCGCGGCGACGTCCTCGACCTCCTCCGCGTCTCGATGGTCGGCACCGTCTTGCCGGCGCTCGCCACCACGCTCTTACTCCTCTCGGACCGACCTCTCTTTGCCATTGCGCTACTGACACCGCTCCTGGACCTTCTCCGCCTCGTCGATGGGTTGAACGCCCGCGTCGCTGCGGTGCGCGAGTCCGAGCGCCACTACATGGAGGCGCTTTGGCTGTACCAGCAGCCGCAGCCGCTGGCGACGGCGTCGTTGGACCTCGTGCACAACTTGCATTGGCTGCTCGCGCTCGAGAAGCTCCTCGCGCAGGTGGCGAGTACGATGACGCACACGCTCTTGATCGGCGACAGCGCGGCGACGACGCCGACGTTGGCCGACACGACCCTCGCGTGGCTGAGAAGCCCCCTCTTTGCCGACGGGTTCGAGTCGCACGTGTTCGCTACGCTCGCCGAGCACGGACGGGCGGTGCGCCACGCACCGATGGCCGCTTCGACGATGACACTGCCGCTGCCGCCACCGGGCGTCTGTGATCGGCTCCGACTGCTGGTTCAGATGCAAGACGGCGAGCACGAGCGACCGAGAGCGTTCTGCGCGTGGATACGAGCCGCGTACTCCCGCATCGACGCGAGCTACCGTTTCCTCCTCAAAGCGTCCCACGCCCTTGACGAGCGGCTCGAAAATGCCTTCTTCGCAGTCCTCCTCAAACGGCACGACCTGACGGGGCGATGCTGAGCTCTGGGCGGCGCGGTTGGAATTGGCGGCCGCGCCCCCGCGACGCCTCCTCGACCAGTGGCACTTTGTGGCCGACCTCTCGCGCGGATTCGCCCAGCTCAAGAACGCGCTGCTCAACCAGGAGGGAGTATCGTCGCTCGATGGCGTTACGAGCCTTCGAAGTCGCTTGCTGACAGCAACGCAGTTTCCGTTTACTCTGGCAAGCGACGCCGACGACGACGCGACCGTCGTAATCATGCCGTGGGACCCACCGACGACGACGACAACGACGTCCGAGACAGCTTTTTTGGCCCGGCACCCGCAGTCGCGCTGGCGCCGGGTTCGCTCGTTGTTGCACACGATCGTCCGTTGGAAACAACTGCTTCGTCCACGAGGCGACGGCGTCGGAAAGGCTGCGATTCGGTTTTTGCTCTCGGACGTCGACCTCTGCGGCCTGCAGCGCGCTCTCTTCGACCGGTGTCGTCGCGCGGCCTACCGAGCGCGGGGCATCGACGCCGTCGCAACGCTGCTATCGCACATCACACTGCAAAGCATCATTGTCGACGTCTATGCGACCGTCGGGCGCAGTCTCCGCGGGCCCCTCCACGGCCGCATCCTCGTCTGCCTTGAAGGTGTCGGTGCATTCTACGAGGGCCTCGTGCGCGCAGCGTTTGGGCAGCTCCTCTCGCGCATCACGTCGGCGCTATCGAGCCACTCGTTTGAGGACGACCACGTGTTTCGAACGCCTCTGCTGCTGGCGCTACTGCAGTGCTGGACGATCGCGATTGAGCCGACGGCGTACGACCTCGTGGCGCATCTCGAGCTCGTGCCGACGCTGCATCGACTTCGGCGCGCGGCGACGGCAGCGCAGAAGCTCGCCAAACCTGACGTCCTCTGCCTTCTTCGCAAAAGCGACGACGCGCTCTGGGCAGCGATGCGGTATGTCTTCGCCTCGTTTGCGGCCCGGGCGACTGACCACGGAGTGCTTCAAACGCCCAAGCGCCCACTTCTCGCGCGCTGCTTTCATGTGCTCCAGAAGGAAGCCGAGTTGAGCTTGGCCACGATGGTTCCGGCGTTCAAACCGGAGAACGACCTCGTCGTCGTTGTGGCTGCCGCCGACGACGACAAGGTGGTCAAGCGAAGCCATGACTTGATCACGTTGCCGGTCCAGTTTGGCGGCCTCGAACATGGCGTTGCCACCGACTTGACACCGCTCTTGCCGATGGTGCCCGACTGCAACGACTTTAGTGCGACGTTTTGGATCTTTGTTGACGGTGCCAAAGCCAGCGCGGTCGCCAAGCAGTTTGTGTTTGCGCGCACGAACCGACGAGACGTTGCTCCGTACTGCGTGCTGTACGAAGCCAACGACGGCGACGACGACGGCAGCGAGTATGTGGTCGAAATCGGTGTCGTCGCCGGCGACAGCCATGACCGCCTCCAAGCCATCGAGACGGCGTCGTCCAAAACGCCGCTCCTGCCCAATCAGTGGTACCACGTCGGTATCGTGCTCGAAGGCCCAAAGCTGCGGCTCTTCATCAATGGTGCGCTGGAGATCCAAAAGGTGCTCTCGTCGGCGGTATCGCTCGTCGGCGCCGGCAGCGTCTGCGTTGGCAAAGCAACGTCGTCCGTCGCCGACATGCTGAGCGTCCACACGGGGCTGCAAGGCACGCTGGCGCAGGTGCGCGTACACAGCCGGGCGCTCTCGGGCATTCATCTGCACATTCTATTCGACCAAGGCCCGCCGCCTCTGTACACGGAGACGGACCACGGGTGCTATCAGATCGGAGCGTTGCTTCAGCTCTTGGCGCAGAGCAGCGAAGGCGCCGTCGAGCTTCTCACGCCGCGCTGGCTGCGCGTCGTGCTGTGGATGCTTCGCGGCGGGACCTACCGCGTCCAGCAGCAGGCGCTGCGCCTCTTTGCAAAGCTTCTGCCGCGCGTGCCACCAGTGTCCTTGCCGCTCGACCAGTTCTTTGTCGCCGACGGCGGGGCACTCGTGCCGTACTTTTTGCGCATCGTCGGGTTTGGCCTCTGGCGCTTCCATGCTGTGCCCGGCGCCGGCACCAAGCTCGGCGTTGACTTTCCGCTCAACCTCGCCGCGCATTCGCTGAGCTTCCTCGAGTACACCGGCGACAACTGCTTGACGACCGAGACAGAGCGCAGTCAGCATCTGGCCATGGAAACGTGCCGCCTCCTCACGACGCTCGCCGCCGACGTCAAGTGGGCGGATGCCGTTGCCGAGCATCTCGCGTCGGCGCTGGATGTTATGATGCGCCGGAGCCGCGAGCCCGCGGCTGCCGGCGTCACGGTTGTCGGGAAAGCGCGTCTCGCGGCCGACGCCCTCGACATCGCCGCGGGTCTCGGCGCGCTCGCTGTGCTTGGTGGCGCCATTGACACGGTGCGCATCGGCGCCGTCATGGAGCTCAGCCACGGACGGGACCTCGGAACCGTCGTCGCGTTCGACCCCTCCCAGACGTTTGCCCAGCTTGTGCTGCAGAAGATTGCAACGGTCACCGACCCCGTGACGACGCATGCGTCCTGGAGCGCCAGTGTCCACGCGGCACCCTTGAATATGGACACGTGGAAGATCCTGCGCCTCAACATCGACGAGCTCGCGGTCGCGTCGCCTGACACCGAGCTATCGGCGCCGTTGCGCGCACTCCTGCTCCACGTGGCATCGTCCATATTCAACGACGGCTCGAGCACGTCGTTGTGGCGTCAGAGCCACGCGCGTGCGCTCAAGGCCTTGGCCGTGGCCGTGCGGTTCCCAGAGACGGCAGCCGAGCTTCTGCGGGCGCACCCGTCGCTCTTCCAGAGCCTATTGAGTCTAGCGGTTCAGAGCGACGGGTCCTCGGTGTTTATTACACTGGCCGAGGCCGAGCTCAAAGCTGTGTTGCTGCGACGACGGCAGTATGAGCTCTCGGCGGCGGCGGTCGAGTCGACGACGATAGCGACGGCCCGACGAGCGGACACGTCCCGCGACCGGCCACCGACAGTCGTCGGGAAAGGGTCGGAAGATGGCCTTGGCGACGACGAAGCAGACGACGAGGACGACGAAGACGACGAGCGCAACGTAGAGGACGACGAAGAAGAGGACGAAGATGAGGACGACGAGGAGGAGGACGATCCCGACGTCCGCACCGAGCTTGTGGAGGAGCTCTCACTTATGGGGTTTCCAGAAGATTGGTGCGTCATGGCGCTCAAGCACACGAGCAACGACATCCTCTCGGCGTCGGCGTGGATCGTCGACAACCTCGACTACTTCAACTCGCTCCAAGCCGCCAAGGACAAGGAAGACCGGGAAAAGACGCGCAATTGGACATGAACGAAGAGGAGGACGACGTGGGGTCGCCTGACGCGTCATCATCGTCGTCGTCCAGTGCAGTCGTCTCGTCAACGCTTCTCGATGACGCGTTTGCGGACAAGGAGACGGGCCGCAAGGTGTTTGGTGAAATCTACTTTCCGTTTGAAGAAGGCGGGTTCCTCTCCAACTGTAGCCACCTTTTTCTCGACGCCAAGCTCGGGAATGCGTCACCGCCCCTCAACACCCTCGAGAGCATTCTGCGCTTCCAGCAAGAGCTCCGCGCGTGGAGCACCACCGACGTGCTTGTCGCGGCCGCGACCGCCGAGGCGTCGCTGAGCATCCTCTACGCGCGCCAGATTGTGGCCACCGCGCTCTCCCATGTCGCATGGCTACCGACGAGCGACCTTGGGATTCTGCTTCGCTTCTCCAAGACCGTTCTGTTTCGAGGACCGCAGGTCGTCTTGCGGCAGGTGGACGCCGGTGTACGCTCAACGTTTGCGCCGGACCGCGTCGTCGCCGGGCTTGTCACTGACGCCCTGCAACGGCATCCAGCGACGTTTGGCGCGCTGCTGTGCGACGCGATAGCGACGGAGCTCCTTCGCGCCTCCGAAGTTCGTTTTGAAGGATACCTCTGGACGCAGCGAGACGTGCACCTCGGCGACGTCGCTGCCTTGCACGAGCCCAGCATCGAGTTTGCGGCGTGGCTCCTCGACCGTCTCTTTGCGCAGCCGACGCGTTTTCAGGCCTATTTGGAGACGACACCGTCGCCGGCCGACACGTTGCAGACATTGGTGCGGCGTCTCCTGCCGTGCTTGGCGAGCTCCAACTTGGCACTCAAGCTCGTCGTGTTCCGATGTCTCACACTCTTGCTTGGCCACACGTCGTTTCCAGACGGCGCTGTGAAAGCGGCGCTCTGTGCAGCACCGCCTCTGCACGTCGACTGCCTCCTCCTCGCGGCCCGACGCCGGCATTTGCGCGAAATTGCGCAGAACCGGCTGTACTTTTCGCCGTATTTACAAGGCCTCTTGGAGCTTATTCGCGTCGTGCAGCCGCTCAGTGCTGGGTCACCCTTGTGCCTGCAGCTGGTCGCTGCCACGGAGACGTCCGTGACCGTCGCGTGGCCATCGGTGCTCGACGATTCCGACTCGTTTGTGGTTGAAGCCATCGACGCCGACGGCAACTACACCGAATGGTACTCGGGCCAAGACCTCCAGTACACGCGCGTCGGCTTGCGTCCGCAGACGTCGTACGGTTGCCGACTGCGCCGCGGTGGTGCGTCGGCCAACACGGTCGTCGCCACCAAGCCGGCGCGTGACACGACCGCCGAGTCGGTGCCGTTTACGCTGGACAAGAAAAAGTGCCGGAGCAGCGCGCTCACGTTCGGAGACGACGGGCTCGGCGTCGCGTACAGCGGCAACGAGGCGTGGCGCATGGTGCTCGGCTCGGAAGGATTTGTCGTCGGACGGCACAAGTGGCAGATCAAGATCGACAAGTCGTCGTCTGCCTACCTCTTCCTCGGTGTTGCGTCCAAGCGCGCGAACCTCGAGTCCTTCCTCGGGGCGGACGAGCACAGCTGGGGCTTCATCGGGGACGGCGCGCTCTACTACCAGCGCAACCGCCTCAAGACGTACGGCGACACGTTCGGCGAAGGCGACGTCATCGGGCTGGACCTCGACTGCGACCTCGGGACGCTCTCGTACTCGAAGAACGGCGTCGACCTCGGTGTCGCATTTGACAATGTCGTTGGCGAGCTCTTTCCCGCCGTCGCGTTCTACTCGCGCCACCAAAAGATCTCGCTCGTCGCCAACGGGTTCGAGTGCAGCGTCGGCCTGACACTCCACGGCTCCCCGAAGGATGCGACAATCGACGAGTACCTTGACGTCTGCGCGCTCATGGACTGCATGCAGCAGAGTGCTGCGCTGCCGCCGCCTCTTCTGCTGCGGGCGTACGACGCCTACACGCAGTGGTGCAACGAGACACGCGCTCGGTGCATGACGCGCGCCGGCTACGACCTGCTCTTTGACGTCTCGGACGCCACGTGCGCTCCGTTCGGTTTCAAGGCGCACGACCGAGTCAAGACACCACGAGGCAACGGCACGGTCGTCGGGGTAGCGGATGGTCGGCTCTGGATCGAGACCGAGGCCGAGGCGGGCTGCTGGTTCTACCACCCGAGCAAGGTGCGCCCGCGTCAAATCAACGTGCAGTCGGCGAGTGACCCGCCGTCGATAACGGTTGCCAAGGCGCAGCCCGCCATCAGCCTCGATGCGTTTGCATCCTGCGCCGACTGCCACCACTGGAGTGTGGCCAAAGACGCAGCGCTGATTGCGACGCTGAACGGCGTCTGCGGTCTCGGTGGCCCGAGCCCTTGGAACATGTCGGTGGAGAAGGTTACCGATGTGTTTCGAGGCGAGGCCACGTCCGAGGCGGAGCTAAGGCGCATCGTCTGCCGCGTCGCGCTGCTCAAGCTCTTCAACCACGACATCTCTCGCACGATCGGGTTTTTTGACTTGAGCTGGCACTACTTTGGGCCGCGCCAGAGCTTCCAGAACGCGTCGCTGCTCGCCGCAACCAAAGGCAGTCTCTTTGTCTCGCTCAAACTGGCGCTGCTCGACACGCTCCTCGAGAAGACGCTGACGCACCCGAAGAAAGCCGAAGACGACTACGACTACCCTGAAGACCTCCCGCAGCTGGTGGTCAACCGCCCGAAAGCGGCGGTAGCACATTTCAAATCCGACCTCGAGACGCTGGTCGGCCAGAGTCTGTTTGGTCAAGCGTTCGACGAGCTCCACTTTCTCGACAACAAAGTGCTGCGCATGGTACCGTCCCCCACTCATATATATCGGTATATCAACGAGGTTAGGTGTACTCGCATCCGATGGACGACGGCCAGCTGCGCACGTTCAAAGTGAAATTCGAAGGCGAAGGCGCCGACGACTATGGTGGACCGTACCGCGAGTTCTTCTCCCAGTTTGTCTCGGAGCTCCAGTCCATCAAACCCGGTGCGTTGTGCGTTTGGTGTCAGCCCTTTACTATCTGGCGTAGACTCGGCCGACTCGACCGATGGACTCCAATGCATCCTTCCGTTCCTGATGCCGTGTCCCAACTGGCGCAATGGCGTTGGCTCGCACCGCGAGCGCTTCGTCTTGAACCCGTCCCTGCTTCGCTACGATGCCAAGTGGAACAAGGGCTCGACGACGCACCCCGTCGACAACACGACGCTCTTCGCGGAAATGTACCATTTTCTCGGGCAAATTCTGGGCATCATCCTCCGCACCAAAGTGCTCGTGCGTATCGACTTTGCCACCAGCATCTGGAAACGGCTCGTGGGGTCGCCCGTCGACGCGTCCGACCTCGCCGCCATCGACGCGCCTGCGTATGCGCTTCTCGAGCAGCTCAAGGCGCTTCTGGCGCAGCATGCGATCGAGCCCGAGGTCGCCGAGGCGACGCTCGACGCGCTGGACCTGACATTCACAACCAACCTCTCGGACGGTTCCATGGTCAACCTCACACCCGACGGCGGTGACCGACAAGTCACGTGGGCGAACCTGCCCGAGTACATGGAACGCGTCCTCGAGACACGTCTGCACGAGAGTGACCGCGCGATCGACGCGATCAAGCAAGGCTTGTGCACGATCGTACCAGCCAACGCCGTCGCACTCTTCTCGCCCGACGAGCTCGAGGTGCGCATCTGCGGCCGCGCCGAGATTGACGTCGATTTGCTCATGGCGCACACCGAGTACGACGAAGACGTGAGCGCGGACGACGCGTTCGTGCAGCGCTTCTGGCGCGTGCTCCACGGGTTTAGCCAGGACGATCGATGCGCCTTCCTCCGCTTCGTCTCGGCGCGGTCGCGACTGCCCATGGACCAGCACGGGTTCACGCAAAAGTTCAAGATCCAGGCGGCGTCGGGCGAGGGCATGACGCAGAACCCGGACGACTCGCTGCCCAAGTCCCACACGTGCTTTTTTGCGCTGCTTCTGCCCAAGTACTCGACCGACGACGTGTGCCGCAAGCAGTTTCTGTACGCGATCCACAACTGCCTCGAGATGGACGGCGACTTCCGCCTCGCCGACACGGAGATGACGGGCTGGAACGACGTGCATCCGAACGACGCGCTGCGCATTTGAGTTGGTGCGAGCTAGAGTAGAGTAGAGTAGGTGTACATTGTTGATATAACCGGGTGGCCATTCGTGTCCTACGTCGCAGTAACCACAAAAGCCAGGCGCTTGTGTCAGCTCGAGGACTCGGAGAGATGTGTCGTCGACTCCAGTATCCGGTAGACGGAGCCACGGATCCTGGTGTCCAAGCTGGCGCAGCGCGGACCCTTGGTCACAACGAGGTCACCTCACAGATCATTGCCACAGATACGTGCATGCGTACTGAGTTACTTAACGTTGTCTGTACATGCATCGATCGATGTATGCTCGGTGAGCATTGGAGTTTTGTGCCTCTTATTACTGCAGTCCTAGGAGACAGCAAGTGGGTCTGGGCAACATGAAGCTGCCCGGCGGTTCAATCGCAACGGTCCATTCACGGCGCGCTTCGATCCCGCGATACCGTTCATGTCCACTTCAATAATAGACGTCCCTTGGGCGTGTCGCAGTCCCAGACCGCGTCCGTGCGTCAGTCATTTCCCGCGTCATTCCGCAACGTGCGCAATGACAATAACAATAGCGCGTCCTTGGAGCGAGGCGCAGAGTGCCATGGCCGTGCTGACCCAACCGCACCTGATGCAGTGCATCTTTGCGTACCAGCCAAGCGCTCTCTCGATGGCGCTCGCCTTGACCTTCCGGCGGTTAAAGGCAGCGCTGGCGCAGAATCCAGCCCTCGTCGTTGCCGACGGTGCGCCTTTCCGGGGCTACGTCTTGTGCAAGCTCGTCGAAGCTGAGCACACACAGCTGGCCCTCGAGCTCTTGCGCTGCTTTCCAGCGCCGTACGAGCTTCGGCTACCGGCCATCCCCGACCCCAGCGTCTACGCCATTGACAACGCAGTGCGCACGCAGAACGTTGAGTTGCTCCGCCGGCTTCTCGAACGTGGCTTTGGCAAATCGTCCACAGCCGCCATGGACACGGCGGCCGCCAACGGCAGCATGATTGCGCTGCAGCTGTTGCACGAGTACCGCTCCGACGGCTGCACCAAGGCCGCTTTCAAGGCCGCTTCAAAGCGTCGACATATCCACGTCCTGGCGTTCCTCCGCCGCCACCGACCGCTGGACGAGAACGTGCGGCCACAGCGACCTGGCAGTTTTCTGCCACCGGAGCTCGCCAGAGCCGTGGGGTCGTCGAGCATGATGCCTCAAACGTCCGACACGACGCAAGCGTTGTGTGTCGTGCAGTAGCAATAGTCGTGGTTCATGTAGCATCTCCAAGAGTAAGACTAAGAATAGGCTAAGAAATAGCGCCGCTTGATATCAAGAGTGCATGTAAACCGATCCTTGAAAGGAATGTATGTTTGACACACATCTCAAATGTCCCAGCGTGCGATGAATGACTTTATCGCTGCCGTGGACATAACAAATGGCTAGTACTCGCCTTGAACGCGGGCGTTGGTCGGGTCGAAGACGCACTTGGTGTGCAGCGTCGCGGGCACGCGTCGCTCGTTGAGCGTCTCGATCTCGTAGACGCCGTCCTTGACAAACTGGGGCGTGACGACGGCGCCGTCAGGGTGCTGGATGTATCCGTAGCCAACGCTCTTGCCGACGGTGTGGCCGAACGCGCACCGGCGCACAAACCCGACGCACGCGCCGTCGCGCCAAATGGCTTCGTTGCCCTTGAGCGGAATGTGCTCGTTGGGCGTGAGGCAGATGAGCTTCTTGGTGACCCCGTTTGCTTTCTGCGCCGCAAGGACGTCACGCCCGCTAAAGGCCTTGTCAAGCTTGCACGTAAAGAGCATGCCGGCCTCGACCGGCGTATCGTCGCTCCGGAGATCCTCGTGCCAGTGCTTGTAGCCCTTCTCGACACTCAGCGCGTCCATCGCCAAGTACCCGGCGTTGCGGATGCCGAGGGCCTCGCCGGTCGTCCAGAGCGCGTCGTACACAGCGTCGCAAGCGTCTTTTGGGATGTGCAGCTCGTACCCGAGCTCGCCCACGAACGTCAGCCGAAGCATGCGAAAGGTATGCCCGGCAATCGTCACCAATCGGTGCGTCGAGAACGGAAACGCGTCGTTCGAGAGGTCGTCGCCTGTGAGCTTCTCGAGGAGCGGGCGACTCAGCGGCCCCTGGACGCTAAGGACACCAAAGTCGTCGGTAAAGTCTTCCAGCGACGTCTTGGGAAAGCGCCGCAAGAGCGAAGCAATCCACGCATAGTCGTGGGTGGCCGACGCGCCGCCGGCCGTGATGTAGAACGTCGTCGCATCCACTTGGCTGACCGTGAGGTCGCACTCGGTGCCGCCAACGTCGTTGCACATGAGCGTATACACGGTCGAGCCCGGGCCTTTCATCTTGTTGGTGCAAATGTACTCGATCGCCGCCGGTGCGTCGTCGCCCGACAAGACAAACTTGCCAAAGTAGCTCTGGTCGAAGAGCACGACGTTCTCGCGGCAGGCGCGGGCCTCGGCGCCGACAATGTCGTGGCTCCCGGGCCACCCAAACGTGTTGTCGGCTTCGATCGCACGCAAGTACGGGTCGTCCGCGTGCGGCGTATGGTTGTAGTTGCCGTAGTAGGTGTAGGGCTTGACGGCCACGTCGCCTTGGCTGTGGACGTCGGCAAAGTACCCCGGGCGCTCGTAGCCGTGGCGCGTCTGGAACACGCAGTTGGCGGCCTTGAGCTTGGCGTGGAAGGGCGTGAGCCGGATGTTGCGCCCGCCGAGCGGCTCGTCGTGCGGGAAGACGATCGAGTAGTTCTTAGCGTACGCTTCGTGGGACCGCTCCCGGTTCCAGGCTTTGTGGCCGAGCATGCTTGGGTGGTAGCGCTGAATGTCGTACGAGAACATGTCGATGGTCGGGCGACCGGCCGTGACCCAGTGCGCGAGCTGCTGCCCGGCGCCACCCGCCAGCATGATACCCGCCGAGTTGAAGCCGCAGCCAAGGAAGAAGCCTCGGACGCCCGGCATCTCGCCGAGAAGCGCCTTGTGGTCGGGCGTGAACGACTCGGGCCCGCACACGGTCGAGCGCACGCCGGTAGCTTCGATGATCGGAACGCGGTTCACGGCGCCGTTGATGTGCGTCGAGAAGACGTCCCAGTCCAAGTCAAAGAGCGAGAAGGCAAACTCATTCTGGACCTTCTCCCAGAAGATCGGGTTGGGCTCGTAGCCGCCGACTTGGAGGACGTCGCCCTAGGTCGTGTGCTATCGAAAGAAGAGGAGATGAGGTGGGATGTACCTGGAGCTTGAGGTACACGGAGGCGTCGTGGTCCCGGACGTTGGGCATGTTTTGAATGCCCTCGATGCGCTCCGTGACGACGTACGCGTGGTGCATGGCGCAGAGCGGAATGTCCTTCCCCACCATCTTGGCAATGTAGTTGGACCAGACGCCGGCGGCGTTGACGACACGCTTGGTGCGGATGACGTGGCCGCCACCGAGCTGGACGCCGACGACCTGCGTCTCGTCCTTGCCGGCGGCCTCGGTGAGGATCGCCTCGACGGGCGTCTTTTCGAAAATCTTGGCGCCGTGGAGCTTGGCGCCTTTGGCCAAGGCCGCGACCCAGCTCGAGGGGTCGATGGTTCCGTCGCCCGGCGAGTAGAGCGTGCCCTTGAGGTCCGAGACGTTCATGAGCGGGTAGAGCGCTTTCGTGTCGGCCGGCGACAGCACCTCGGCGTGGATGTCAAAGTACTTGCCGAGCGTCGCGAGCCGCTGGTACTCGGAGAGGCGCTCCGCGTTGGCAGCAATGAAGAGACCACCGTTCTCGACCCAGCCCGTCGAGACGCCGGTCTCGGCCTCGAGCGACTTGGCCAAGTGGCGCGTGTGGTTGATCTATTACAGCGTTGCACATGAGTCGACGTGGTGCGAGTCGAGGCGGACGCACGAGCTGGATGTCAATGTCGCTGGGCCGGAGCCGCCAGAGAAGGCCAGCGCTGTGCCACGTCGTGCCCGCCGTGAGCTGGTCCTTCTCGACGAGCACGGCGTCGACGCCCATTTGGCTCAAGTGGTACAAGGTCGACGCGCCGATGGAGCCGCCGCCAATGACAACGACGTCCGCGGATGACGGGAGTCCGTCGGTGGGCGCCGCCGTCGAGAACGGACGCGACCACGAGGCCAGCGATGGGCGCCGGGCGTGCTTCTGGAGGTACCGGCGCATGGGAAAATGGGCTTCGGGGATGACCATCGGCGAAAGATCTTTCAGAAAGGCGCACTTAGCGCGGAACTTCAACCAGCAAGTCAGCATGAATTCGCTTAGATAAGCTCGAAAAGAGCCATTTTAAATCGCTGTCTCTGGTATACCCGCGACAAGCGAGATGGCGTCGAGCAACCAATGTGCGTTGCGCGGAGCTACGTACTGCATCAGAGTGTTTTGCTGGGCAGCGTCGTAACGTCGGTCATGTGTGCGTGCTGCTGGCGCCACTATTTCGAATCAACCGCGCTCGACGCACTTTTTAAGGTAATGTCGACGCGTCTAGCGGCGCTCGATGTCATTGGCTGAAATTTAGTTGGAATTTCGAATGTTGAAGCGAGTGGCTCCGCTTTTGACCGGCGCCCAGCGCCGCTTTGCGAGCATCGACACGGGCTGGCCGATCCGCAAGGTCATCGAGAACCACAGCGCGCGCGGCAAGTACGAGGTCGTCAAGGACCTCGAGGTCGGCCTCGTGCTCGTGGCGTCCGAGGTCAAGAGCATCCGCGACGGCAACTGCGATATCTCGGCCGCCTTTGCCGCGGAGTACGCCGGCGAGCTCTACCTGCATCAAATGTACATTCCCGGTACGACCATAGGCGTGACGAGGCACGTCGACGAACCGTCTAATGCAATAGTCTGGCGACATGGCATCATCGGGCGCCACGAGACGTACCGCGAGCGCAAGATCCTCGCGCATCGGCACGAGATCAAGCGCATCATCGAGTTTGCTCGGCAGCCCAACGCGCATTTGGTATGGAGGCATCGGTCATCCTCGTGTATTGACTCACGGCGAATTCCAGGTACCTCTGCGCGTGCACTTGGGCACGACCAACTGGATCAAGATTCAACTGGGCCTCTGCACCAAGAAGAAGGGCCCCGACACACGCAAGCGCGAAGACGAGCGCGATGTGAAGCAGCAGATTCGCCGCGCGCTGAAAAGCGACGACTACTAACTAGACTTGATTTCCTTCGGCGACGTACATGCACCCTAGCACCCCACACGCCCAGCGACGCACTTGGTTGCCTGTGATCTGGCCTTTGCAACCGGCATGGTCAGTCGCCGCTTCGACGCGCGTGCGAGGCTGAGCGCGTGCGTCACGATGGACACTGCGGTGTTACGTGGCACGCCGACCGTACAGTACGGCAATTTAACCCAGTAAACATACCTGTCGACGACGTATGGTTGCGCTGGTCCATGTGGCTCAAGGAGGTGCCAATCGTGTCCACCTCGCGTCGTCTACGCAGCTCTGGGCCACGACGACGGCCTCACCAAGGGCTTGCCCATCCTGTCGTGTCCTGCCTGCGATATGCGTCACACGGTCCAGGTACCAAAATCGGGCCAATCAACGCGCATGAGTGGTAGGATTTCAGCCAATCCCTTGCGATGCTTCGGTCTGCAAAAAATCCATTTCGGATACCGGATACTGGCGAATCGGCGGCGAGCATGCGAACCATCTCTGCCGGCTATCCGGATAATCGAACTCTGTCGTTTGGACCGTTTTTCGGTGGTCGTATGACACAACGGACTCTCGCGTTACCTTCGCGGTCGAGGCCAGCAGCAGTAGCATGACGAGCGTGCGGAGTGACCGCAGCTACCTCCGCCCGAGCGAGTCGCACTACCGGGCATCTGAAGCAGAGAACGATCGGCGGCCCATCATCAGCGACGTCAACGACGTGAGCCTCCTCGCCGAGCCCTCGGTGCGGGCCAAGAACACGATGTGGAAGCTCGGCCAGCGCATCACGTACTCGGCCGAGGCGCGCTTCTTCACGTTCCTCGGCCAGCTGCTTGACCGCGAGCAGAGCGTCATGGACCCGCGCCTGCCCGGCTTCAATGCCAACAACGCATCGTTCTTGACGCCGCTGCCGGACGCCAACAACAGCCAGCGCATCCAGCGCCACCCGACGCTCTACAACGCGCACAACGCCGTGCACTTGCCACCGCTGCCGCCTCTCGACTTTGCGCCCACCAAGTACCGCAAGCGCCCGCGCAGCATGAGCTTGACCAACTACCACCGGTGGTCGCACGACTTTCCATCGATCCGCCCGGGCATGTCGGTGCGCGTCGTCCGCGCCGAGCGCACCCACGACGGCGTCGCACAGTACGTCATCAACGTCGTCGATCTGCACACAAAGGTGCTCTGGGTCGTCCGGAAGCGCTTCCGGGACCTCTACCGCTTCCGGAAGGAGGTCAAAGCGCTTTGCCGCGCCAGCCCGTACGGCGACCAGCTCAAGTACCTCTTTGACATTCCGTTTCCGACGCGCAGCGTCGTGGCGAAGGCGCCCGAGATGATCCTCCGCCGGCGGCTGGTCCTCGATACCTTTCTGCGCAACATTGCGTCGCTGAACCCCGACACGCCGTTGCACGTGGCGGTCCTCGGAAGCTCCAAACCGAGCTCTGCACGATCGAGTTTATCCGGCGCCTCGGGGCCATCGACCCGTACGAAGACCCGACCGACCTCGAGCTCAAGTGGCTCGCGTTCGACTTGTTTCGGAACCTCAACAGCTGCTGCACGATCGAGGGCGACACGTGCCAGCGCTTCGTGCACGTCTTCCGGAACCGTGTCGCCGTCGTCCAGGCCTGCGTCGTCGCGATTGCCGTCGACCACAAGAAGCTGGCACGTGACGCGCTCCGGGACCTCCGCCGCGTCACGACGCAGATCGAAAAGTACGTGCTCGACACGCTCGAGCCGCAGTACCGGCGCACGATTGCAGCCGCACTGAGCGACTCGCACACGATCGAAGCTGTCGACGACGCGATCGAGGAGATTGTGCACGTGACGGTCGAGGACGCGGTCATGGTGCCGCTCCAGGAGCAGATCCAGTACCTCGTGCAGCTCACGATCGACCACGCGCTCGAGGCGACCGTGACGCAGACCATGGAGCACAAGCTGTTTGGCAAGTCGCAGACGTTTTTCGGAATTCCTGAGTCGCTCCAATCGGACTCGAACTGGGGCAAGGCCTGCTACCACTTGAGCATGATGGAGGAGCGCATGCTGCCGTGCGAGAAGCTCAAGGAGCTCGTGCTCTCGGCCGGCGAGATCTTCCGCGCGTGCCAGGAAAAGGGTTTTGCGTACACGGAGAGCATGTCGGCCATGAACGCGGACGACTTTCTGCCGATTCATATTTACGTGGTCGTGCACTCGGGGCTCCAGCGGCCGTACTTTGCCAAGGAATTCCTCGGCGCCATGATCCACCCGTCCAAAATGCTGGGCGAAACCGGGTACTTCCTCACCATGTTTGAAGCCGCGCTCAAGTACGTGACCGAGAGCATGTCGGATCCGTAGTCGCTCGCGGAATCGGTAGCCTTTAACCGAGTAATGCAAACGGCAATGCCACGCTCCGCAATCGCACGCGCTCGTGCAGTGGCTCGTGCGACGCGAGTCTGATAGATTGATACTTTGATACATATAGGAATGCATATCGACGAGGACCCCACTCAAGTCATCAACACCGAGACGAAATGCACACGGAGTGCTGGCCATGTTTCTTTACAAGACCAAGACAAGACGGTTTTTAGAGTCATCTTAGAGCTGGGCCATCCACTCCTGCAGCGCGTCACCGGCCGACTCGTACCGGCGCGTCGTGTCCTTGAGCTGGTGCATGTAGTAGATCCCGAGGTAGAACTCGTCAAAGACCATGCGGGACGCGGCGGTGCTGCCGCGGACCGCCTTGCGAAACATGAGCTCGCCGTCGGTGCGGCACGACTCCTTGTCGAGACCCGCAATCTCGGTGAGGAAGCGGCAAAACTTGGCGACCGTGAGGCTGATGCGACCGTCGTCGCCAGCGTCGCCACCGGTCGCAAAGTAATCAAAGAGCGGCCAGAGGACCGTCTCGACGTCGGTGCCGACGTAAATGGGCTTTTGGCGCCGGCCGCCGACCTGGAATCGGCCCCAGTCGACGTCGTACCACGCTTTTTGCAGCTTCTCGCGCACCGACATGGGTGTTTGGCACACCGCGTACGAGTGCAAGACGCACGCGCCAAACACCTGGATGAACCCGGGGAGCGTCAGCACCTTTTCGTTGTGCTGCGTCACGACCCCAAACGCCTCGGCGACAACTTCCGACGTAAACGCACTCGGTACGAGCTTGAGGTCTTGAAAACACTGGAGCGCGCCTTGAAGGTGCATCGCAACAGCGTGCGGCTGCGTCGCGGCCAACGTCGCCTGCAGTTGTCGTTCGAGGGGCCTCCAGTGCGGCGCTGGCGCCGGCGTAGGCGAGTTTAGGTGATGCGTTGCATACTTGACGAAGAGGGCCACCAGCGGGCGCTCGTAGGCCAAGATGAGGTCGCCCACCTGCGGCAAATCGTACCTACGTCCATCGTGAGAGTCGACCAATTTATATGTGCGCGTGTTTGACCAGGCGATGCTCGGGTCGGTCGGCGGGAGGTCGATTTGGGGCACGGCCTCGCTGGGGTACGCGTGCTTGAGACTGGCTTTCTCGAGGACTGCGCGCTCGACGACGGCGGTCTCGTGTTCGAGGACGGCGAGGAGCTTTTCTTGGTTTTGTAAAATGTCATCGCTGAGCTTGTTCTGCCGCGCCCACGACGGCTCGGGATTCTCATCCGGTGCCAGCAAGTGCCGCCAAAAGCCGTCAAGGTGGGCTTGCAGTGCCGGGTCGGCCGCCTCGTTTCGCATCGCCTCTAAATAGTCGTGGAGACCATTGACAAACGCTGGCAGCGTCAGCGGGGCCGCCGAAAAGTAGCTTCCGAGTGGCGCGAGGACGTCGAGGGTGTCGGTGACGGCGCCCGCCGGTGCGAGCGTCGACTGCACGAGCTCGTAGCAGCTGCCGAGTGACATCCGCGGCGTCCAGCCGTCGTTCGTGGGTGCGTCGGCATGAATGCCGAAGAGCTGCGTGAGCCGATCGACGACGAGGTCCTTACCGAGCTGTACGAGGCTGTGCGGAAGCGCCCACGCCGCGTCGACGGTGCACAGTGCCGTGAGATGCGTCGCGAGCGACGCATTTGCAGCTTCGATTTCCGCCACGCGCGCCTCTTCCCGAAGGAGCTTCTTGGAGAGTGCCTCGACTGCGATACGTGTGTCATGCGTGACGAACTGGTACCGCTCGACGTCCGCCAGTAGCACCTTGTTGTACTGGTCGAGGGACTTGGCAAACTTGGTCTGGTCGTCAAGGGCGGCCTCGAGCGTGGTGACCCGGGCGTCGAGCCACTTGGTGGCTTTTGACAGCGTAGCTGCTGCCCGCCACTGGAGCAACCAGCGGCGAATGCCGGTCGCCCGATCGATCTGACGCATAACGTACGCCACAAACCCATGCTTTGCTGAGCTGGAGCTCGCCCCGAAGCTGCGTCAAGACATCGGTTGCTCGGTCAACCGGTGCTCAAGCTGCCGCGTCGACTCTTCGATCTTGGCCTTTTGCCGAGAGAGCGCAAAGACGCACTCCTTCGCTTCGTGGAGCTCTTGCACTTGAGCCGACGCTGTCGCGATGGCCGACTGCAGCACATCGCCCTGCGTCGCGCCCCGCCACGTGGTCAGCGCCCGCCGGGTCGAGTCGAGGCCGCGCAGTTGCATCCACCGATCGAGTCGGCGCAATGCGTGGCGGCGATGGCGGTTCCGGACCGTAACGTGGTGGCTTTCCGCCCGCCACCGCCGAAACGACATATCCAGGGTCTGCATCCGCCACTTTGTGGAGTGCGCTTCCATAAGGAGAAGCATGCACTGCAGCGACGTCTCACGGGCGTGGCGTCGGTACTCCTTGACCATTGTCGTCGCCATGGCCGCGCGGTGCTCGCCGGCCTGGAGCTGTCCCGAACTGCGTAGACAGTGCAGGCCTCGGTCCATGCTGTGCCGCTTCTCTGCGTGGGCCAAGAGGATCATGGCCATCTTGTTGGTTGCGAGTCCCATGCGCGCTTGCCGCCGACGTACCGCCGTCACCAAATGCGCAAACGCCCGTCGGAGCACCGAGGTCGTAGCATGGTCCAAGATGCGGCGAAGCGCCCGCGTTTGTAGTTGGCGCCGCTGCTTGGTCCAGTGCGCTTGGGCCTGCAGCAGCTGCGATTGGCTCGCCTCCATCGCCGCCGCCGAGTCCTGGATTGCTCCGACGCTACTTTCGAGCGCCTGAATGTACGCGCGCAGCTGCGTCTCGTTGGCCGCGTGTGCGGCGACCGACTCTTCAAGATGGGCCACTTTGGTTGCATACGCGGCGTTGGCCAAGTGCGCGGCTTCGAGCTCGGCCTTGAGCGTCTTGGTCTCCCCCAAGTAGGACGCAAAGGACGCGAGCTTGAGGTCGATCGTGTGCAGGAGAGTCTCGCCCTTGCGCGGTTCGTGGACGATGTGGGCCGTCGGCAGCGACACGCGCTTCACCGGCGCGATGCTCATCGCCGCGACGCTGCCGTTGGCATGCAGCGTGTGCCAAAGCGCTTGGCGTTGCGACTCACCGAGGCTCTTGTGCTGCTCCGGCACGGACGAGAGGCTCTTCCGGACGTATCGGGGCTTGGTCTCGTCGACCTCGTGGACCGTCGCTAGCACGCCCTTCTGTGACACGAGATGGTCCCACTCGTGCTCGCCGTCGTCAGTGACACTGACGGTCGTGACGGCGTCGCCGGGCGGCAGGTCGCGGACGCTTGGCAGCGTCGTGTAGCGCGCGGCAGTAGCTGTAGGTTGCACTGGCGGTGGCGGCGCCAACGTCGGTTCCGCTATCGCCGGAGGCATCGGCGGCTTGGCGGGCGGTAGCGACGCGAACGGGTTGCCAGCGTCTGCCACCAGTGTTGGTGCGGCGACCGGTGCTGCTGCAACTGGAGGCACCCGCCATTCGTCGTTCGAGGCCAAGATGCTCCGCTCCGGTGTCTTGACGACCGCCTTCGGCGCTGGCTCCGAGAAGAAGAGGTCGTCGAACGCAGCGTCAAAGTCCACGTCGCCGTCGTCGTCCGTGCTCATCGCCGCGACCTTTCGCAACTGGTCGGTTCCGCCGCATTTTATTCCATTTGCATACAAATTCCAAGATACCAACGGCGTATATTGTTTTGAAATTACGCTATCGTCGGCGACCACTGCCGGTTTCAGGTTCAGGCAACCAAACACCGCGCCAAAACCACGCAGACGACGGCGACCGCCGACGACCCGACGCTCGATGCCGTCGACGGCGGAGCCGTTGTCGCCTTGGACGGCGGTGTCTTTGTGCTACCGCCGGGCGCAGTCGTCGCGTTACCTGGCATCGTCGTACCATTGCCAGGCGCCAGCGTCGTTGCCTGCATCGTCGTTGTCGGCGACACGGTCGTCACTGGCGTCGTCGTGACAGGCAGTGTCGTCGTCATGGGCGTCGCTGTCTGGCTCACGTTGCTCGTGCTCGTACCGTTGTCCGACGGCGTGCGAACGAGACTCGCCGGAACGAGCATGCCGGGTGCGTCCAGTGTCGACGAAGCGTTGATCGCCGACGGCGCGCTGCAGCGAAAGGCCACGTACGGCGACGCCTTGGCCCGCACGCAGCACTGGCGCACCGAGAGCTGACCGCCTGCGTTGTACGCGTGCAGAACGTACACGAGGCCGTCGCAGCAGCCCTCGATGAGCGGGTCGTAGCACTTGGCGCGACCTTGGTTGCCACAGAGCATCCCTTCCTGGCAGCTTACGACCATCCCAGCAAACACAGCGTGGAGGTAGATGACGCTCAGAAGAGCAAAGGCATGGAGCGAGGCTGGCATGGAAGCGAACAGTTGAAGAATGAGGTTTGTGATTGAGGATCTTGATTGTGCCGTTGCTATTTGTGTGCGTGCTGAGGCCGTTGGACGAGCACATTCCAGCTCAACGCCCACATACGAGCTGGTCGTGTCTGCTGATGTTGCTTGGGTCTATACCCGTCAACCGAGTCCTTATTGCTTCTTACTGTTAGTCGATTGGAGGTGATGTGTACCCTCTGGCAGTTTCATTGTTGCACTAGAACAGTCTTTTGACGCTCAACCAAGAGACCCAAACCAAGAGAATCTCAACGCTCAAAGCAAACCGCTTCAACATGTACATAAGTTGGGTATACCTCATTTCGTTCGACTTATGTTGGATTCGGACCTTGATCAAAGAACGAAGAGGGTTTGGTGGTGTAAGATTAGGGATTAGTTGAATGTAAAGAGTGTGTTTGACAATGAATGAGTTTATGGAATTGAAGAGGGGATGATTTGTGAATGTTGAGAGTAGTTTGAGAAGAGGTTTGCCTGCGCTGCGTCGATTTTCCGTACAAGTGTACCTGTGCTCGGGGCGTCAGCCAATCAAACGTCGTTTTCGATGTTTGATTGGCAAATCAAACGCGCGCAGGAAGCTCAGCAGAGTCCGATTTGCATGACGCTCGCTATACAAGGTGAGCGCGTTGCCAAAGCTGCGTCAGAAGCTGCGGTCACGGAAGTGTATCAACATTTCAGAGAGAATATCAATTCAAGAGTGTCAACCAAGCGTGCTCGTATCAATTGCTACAACGACAATTAGCGCCACGGATGGCGCAGTAGAGCGTGGGCAGCCAGTGCGAGCGCGGTGTCGTGCCACGTGTTGATTTTTCCCACGGGAAATTCGTAAATCTCGACAAAGGCGGGCGCTTTGCGCTGCGTGAGCGGGTGGTTGTAGATGAGCGCCCGCTGCTCCGCGGCGGCGTTGGGAAATCGCTGATCGTTCTTGCGCGCTTCGCGTAGGAAGAACCGAGCGAACGCTTGGGCCGCCAAAATCGCATTGTCGCTGTGGTCAATCGCCTCGTAGGGCGAGCCGTTGACACGCATGCCATACTCGTACGCGTGCTTTTCCGGGTGGAACTGCACCCCGTAGATCGGGTACTTCTGGCTCTCGATGGCCGCCACGTACTCGACGCCAGCGCGGTCGACCGAGGTTGCTAGGACGTGAAAGGCGGACGTGAGCGCCGGCGTTGATGCGAACCGGGTCGTTGTGATGCCTTTCCGGTGGTTGTTCATCGTCAGCGGTCGCGTCGCCAGTGCCGCGAAGGCACTCGGCTGGAACGAGAAGACGCGACTCGTCGCAGCCGCCGGCGTGTAGTGGAGCGTCGACGAGAGGTTCATTGCGTTCAGGTCGGTATTGAGAATGCCGGTCGACGAGGTGAGTTGCACGAGCCACTCGAAGCCAAGGCACGTGCCCCAGATGGGAAAGTACGTGCCTTGATCGTTCGCCGCAAGTGCGAGCGCGTAGACGCGGGCGGCTTGGTCGTTGACTGGTGCTGCGCCACCCGGGAAAAGCACGCCGTTGACGCTACTAAGAAGCGCGTCGATCGTGTCGTTGGAGGCCGAGTACGGAATAGGCACGACGCGGCCACCGGCGCTTTCGATCCACTTGACGTAGGACGCAGCGATGTAGTCGACGTCGCGGCCGTAGAATGGCTGCGTCATGACACCAATGATTGGGCGCATGGTGGCGCCCGTCCATGGCACGAGGGCTGCAAGGAGCCACAGCAAGAGCAGCATCGTCGTCGTTCTTGGCAACCGCTCAAGTGCGACGACATATCACCAGTATTAACGCGATGCCATTGGTGCGTCAAAAACAAAGAAGGTCATTTCCGCCAATCAGATCGATTGCCAACCATGCAGTCAATCGGGCAGCGCGAGAGGTAGCTGGCCGGTAATTCCGCTGCGCACATCTCGACTGGAAGAACTGTGTATGGAATCGAATCGATCTGCTATTTGCCGGATCAAGCGCAGTCCCCCAGAGACCGGCGCCTCCGGAGAGCTGCTGTCGAGTCGAGTTCGCAGTACCACTAGCTCTGCGCCCACTCCCGGCCCATGTCGCTCGTCGCCAACTTGAATGTCAACGTCAAACCAAACGACAGCAATATCCGGATATATTTTCCCTGCACAAGGAGGGAGCACTCATCGCAGCAGCCGCCTTTTCGAAGTTACAAGAGGCTACTGGCTACGGCGCTGAGGTGTGTTCGAAGCTGCCAGAGTTAACACACTCATACAGCTGCTTGACCCTATTCCTTGGACATTGCGCTCGTCAGCACTTGTGCAAGCATACACGACATAGAAACCCCACCGCTCCGAGGTTCAGTGCTCGCTGGTGATGCCACGTTTGTTGACACAGTTCAATGCCTTGGCCAATCAAATGCAGGTGGGTCCGACATATTAGCCAATCCAATGCAGTTCAACAAATCAGCGAGCGTAACATGCTTCGGGACCATTCCAGGGATCGTCGATGTTCGAGGTGAGCGCGCTGACGCCGGGACCGCTGCTGTTCCAGTCATGGACGCCCGTCATCGTCTCAATCGATGGCCAGAGCGTGCGCGTCGACTACGGCGCCTCGCACAAGTCGTTCGATGCCACCGGTTGCGCTGCCCATGCCATCGACCCGCCTTTCCTCGTCGAGATTGCCTTTTCCAACAAGAAGAAACTTCTGCTTGACATTGGATCAAGGTCGCTCCGGACGCAGCTCATTGAGCTACTGACCGCTACGGCAACGTCGACCGCCTCCACGGACACCGCCGATAGCGTCCATGATCAGCTACTCAGCGTTGCCACCGCCATCACCGACCGCGCCGCCGTTGCCAAGAAGTCGGACCTTCGACCGTGTAACGTCTCAGTCGCTGATGTCCACGCCCACCTGTGCGGCCTCAAGGATGTCTATGACCACGTAGCAGGACTCCCGTCGCCCCTGGCCCTCTACGACTGGCTGCTTGACACGGAAGCCGCCTACGTCGATCGTCACCGGGACCTGCACGGGTTCACACGCCCTGACGTGTACGCCCACACTGTGTACCAGCAAGATCCGCCGAGCTACGCGCTCGGGACAACGTCGTCGGCGCACCGTCCAGACGTCAACTCGTACGTCGGCGTCTGCTCGTACTGCAAGACAGAGTACGACCGCGCGCTCCTCCCGGTGATCTACGTCACGGACGGTGCGTGGCCGTGTCCGACCTGCCACGAGGCAATCACAGCCGACGTCTACTTCAAGAACCGCTTCGACACGAGGGCGTTCGATGAGCCACTGCACCGAGTCCTCGCGCCATGTCCCACGCGGCGCTGCCCCGGTCGCTTTACGCGATCTGAGATGCAGCGTCTCCACCTCTTTGACGAACCCGCTATCTGCGCCGCCTGCAAACGCTCCGCCTTGTACGAGACGTACCAGATCGCAACCCTCGTCCGCGAGCACCCGTCGATCCGCTACCAGAGCGTCCGCAACGCCGACGGCACGTACATCAGCCTCATGCCCACGCAACGAGAGATGCCGGTTGACGGACTCTGGTCGACCTACCTCCATGAGCTCCACGCTTCTCTGCACGCGCGACGCCACGGCCGTGCAAAGCCGCGACTGCAGATGTTCGAGGTGAGCACGTACATGGTCGAGCTCGAGAGAGCCGTCGCCATGATCCGAGCCCACGACAACGGCGCGTTTCCCATCGACCTTGTCCGCGCCATGCACCGCGACCTGCGCTTCGTCGCCAAGATCGGCCCCATGACACGCTACTGGTCACACCCGATCGTCGTCGCCGCCGCCATCCGCCGCTACGAGCAGTTCATGCACCTCTCCAAGACCCACAAGCATCTCGTCCCGACGCTCGATATCGCGCTTCTCTGGCGCGTGCACATGACGCAGCACGTGGCCTACTGCGCCTACTCGCGCGCGATCGCCAAGAAGGTGTTGTTGCCGCAATGGAATAGTTACGACGACGCGGCGTACGTCAAGACGTGTGTGGCGTGGACCAAGGCGTACCGGGAGCCGTACTCGTCGTACGTGCCGACAGGGACGTCGGTGGCGGCGATGATGAAGAAGGGTGCGTCGGTGGCGGTGGGCGCGTCACGGTTTGTCGGTGTCGACGAGCGTCTGCGCGCGTGCGACGTCATATCACCCGAGAACGACGACAACAACAAGAGCCGCAGCGCGTTGAACGACCAGGCCGCAGCGACGCTCGGCTCCGTTGTGACGGATGATACTGGAATCGACGCGCAGTGGCTTGCCTTGCTTGAAATCGGCTCGACAGCATGAGAGCTGGCCGCGCATATTGGAACGCATTTGTTGTAGTACGACAGTCGCTGTCCAATACTTCCGTGCACGTATGCGACAGTCTTCCTGCATTGAGCTTACAGCCAGTACTGCTGTGTTGATTCACGTGAGGAAACGTCATATCTATCCAACTATCGAACTATCAATATATCTACCTTCCTTTCTATCTAATACGACAGACAGAGGAAAAACACGCGATCTCATTTCACAAGCAAATCTCATTTGGTACAGTGCAATATACAGTATCAATGTATCAATATAGCATAATTGAAATGTGCTTTCCTGCTTGCATGGTCCATGCAAGTGTTCCGATGTCCATGCAGCATGGACATCAAGTGGAAAGAAATCAGCTCAAAATCCTCGCATACGAAGCACTGCGCCCATTGCATGCACGGGAAATTGCATTTGCTGGACATGGGCTCGCGTGCGCCTCCGGCGCAGATCCTTTGGTTGCGCTCGGCCGCCGTCACATCCATTGAGCACATGGACGTCGCTGAGACCTACCACCTTGTCAACGTCGTATCAACGCTGGTATCAACGCCTGCGCTCATGGCCTGCGCTCCGAGTTTGGCAGAGAAGGGACGACACGCGACACGTGGTTCAAGACCGAGGCTTTCTGTTGCGGTTGTTGGAGCAGTGAGCGGCGCCATTCTCAAACTCAAATGGCCAAATGGATTCAAATCAGAGCAGATACCGATACTCCAACTCCACATCGCACATGTTCAACAAAAGCGACCTTGGACCGTGCGTGCCATTCTTCCAATAGCAACCATGTACTACCAAGTCAACGCGTGCGTCAAGGGACCGCTTCCGTTTCAGCCGTGGGTACCCGTCGTCCTCTCGCTCGACGGCCAGCGCCTCTCCGTCGATCACAGGGATACCACCACCAAGGCTTTTGACACGGTCGGGTGCTCGGCCACGGCCACCGACGCGCCCTTTGTCGTTCGGGTTCAATTTCGCAACGGCAAGAAGCTAGTCCTTGACGTGGGCTCGCACGGACTCCAGGCGCAGCTCATTCAGCAGCTGATGACACCGTCAGCCCACAATAACGCCGGCAGCGTCTATGACCAGCTCGTGCGCGTCGCCACCGCCATCAACGACCGCGCGCCACTCGCCAAGAAGTCGGACCTTCCGCCGAGCGGCATCTCGGTCGCCGATGTCCAAGCCCACCTTTGCGGTCTCAAAATTGTCTATGACCACGTAGCAGGACTCCCGTCGCCACTCGCGCTCTACGACTGGCTTCTGGACACAGAAGCTGCCTACGTGTATTGCCACCGGGACTTGCACGGCGCGGCGCACCCCGAAGTATACGCGCACTGCGTGTACCAGCAAGACCCGCTGAGCTACGCGCTCGGGACAACGTCATCCGAGGAGCGCCCGGATGCGACTACGTACGTTGGTGTCTGCGCGTACTGCAGAACCGAGTTTGATGCGGGCACCTTACAGTGGCTACACACGGAGCGTGGTGCGATGCTCTGCACCGCGTGCGACCACGCGCAACGACTCGACGCGTACTTCAAAAACCAGTTTGGATCCACGGCCTACGACATGCCGCTGCGTCTCATTCTTGCCGCGTGCCCCAACCGCCGGTGTACGGGGCGCTTTAGTCTCGCCGACATGCGGCGCATGCACGAGCTCGAGGAGAGCGTCGCGTGCCCCGGGTGCCGCAATCTTGTGACCTACGAGACATACCAGATCGCTACGTTTCTCCGCGAGCACCCAACGATCACGTGCAGCCAAGTGGGTCTCCCGAAACGAACCTACACGACGCGGATTCCGCCCGTGCGGGCGCATGAAGGCGTCGGCAATCGCATCTTGACCGAACCAAAGCTGCCCGTCGACGGTCGCTGGTCGACGTACCTTGCCACCATGCTTGTCAACGTTCAGGTGTACGTCCGAGCAAGCGCAGTGCATGACGACGCAGCCATCTGGCTCTTCCGCGAAGAAATTGACAAGGCCGTCGATATGATCCGAGCCCACGACAACGGCGCGTTTCCCATCGACCTCGTCCGCGCCATGCACCGCGACCTGCGCTTCGTCGCCAAGATCGGCCCCATGACACACTACTGGTCCAACCCAACCGTCGTCGCCGCCGCCATCCGCCGCTACGAGCAGTTCATGCACCTCTCCAAGACCCACAAGCATCTCGTCCCGACCCTCGATATTGCGCTTCTCTGGCGCGTGCACATGACGCAGCACGTGGCCTACTGCGCCTACTCGCGTGCGATCGCCAAGAAGGTGCTGTCGCCGCAATGGAATAGCTACGACGACGCGGCGTACGTCAAGACGTGTGTGGCGTGGACCAAGGCGTACCGGGAGCCGTACTCGTCGTATGTGCCGACGGGGACGTCGGTGGCGGCGATGATGAAGAAGGGTGCGTCGGTGGCGGTGGGTGCGTCACGGTTTGTCGGTGTCGACGAGCGTCTGCGCGCGTGCGACGTCGTGGCTGATGGTGTGACCCCCGAGGACGACGGCGACGACGATTCAAATGACACGGGAAAGTTGACGAGCTGCGATACATTGATGCTAGGGGTGCTCGGGACACCGGTGATCGACGACCGCGTTGGTGCTTTGCCTTTGAATCTTTCGTAGTTTAATCGATCAAATTGCTGTCGCGTTCGGAGTTCCTGAAGCTCACTCTGAGCCAAGACCCAATGCCAGTCCGCCAAGTAATCAGTGGAGCTGGCCCGTGTCCTGGATTGCAACCAAGCTCTCCTAGAACTTGGCGTTCCATGAGCCGGGCGATGCGAACAAACTCTCGCGCGCGGAACGCGCCAGCGGTTTCTAGCCATGATAGGCACCTCGTCGAAGATCAGGACTAGCGACATGGCCCAATCTTCTCGACGGCGTCCTTGCCAACGGTCGCCGAGCGAGCGCCGATCTCGCCCGACACTTCTTTCCCAGCCGAGACCCTTCCGACCTTCCGACAGCAAATGCCATTCGTCCGCAGTTTGCATTTGCCTCTTGGATCACCATGCACCGCGGGCAGTGGCTGCTTCTCGCGCTCTCGCACTGCGCGGCGGCGGCGTGGACCGACGTCGTCTGGTCCGGCATCAACATTGCGGGCAACGTCACGATTCCGTCGGGCACCCGCGTCACGCTGCGCAACAGCAACACGATCACCGGCGAGCTCAACGTTGCTGCCGGCGCGCTCCTCACCGTGGACCCGGCCGCCAACGCGTACCTTCAGGTGGGCAACCTCGAGATCAACGGCGCCTTCTCGATCGGGTCAGAGGCGACGCCGTATGCGAATACGGCCACGATTGCACTCGGCTGCGCGCCCGGGGTCTACCCCCCAGCCAACGAGCGCCGAAATGGCATCCTCGTCCGCCGCGGTGGCTCCATTGCGCTCTATGGGCAGAAAGGGCAGTCGTACCCGTGGACGCTCTTGACGGCCACAGCGTCGGCGGGCGCGACGTGCATTTACGTCGTCGATCCTGTCGACTGGGTTGTTGGTGACGTCATTGTCATTGCCACGACGGACTATGACCCGCGCTTCTCCGAGAGACGGACGCTGGTTGGGTTTGGTGCCGATGGCTGTCTCCGGCTCGATATGCCGTTGGTCTACAACCACTTTGGTGAGATCACGGAAGGCATCGACGAGCGCGCTGAAGTGGGGCTGCTATCACGCAGCATCCGTTTTCGAGGCTGCACCGGGCTTCAGGTCGGCGGCCAGAACATTGGCGGCCACGTTATGGTAGGATCCTTCTTCCACTGCATAAGAGCTTATGATGGCACCTAGATCACCAACGGATTTGCCGCAGCGCAGATCGTTGGCGTCGAGATCTCGGCGTTTGGCCAAGGGGACATCGTCGGGCGGTACCCTATCCACTTCCACCTCTGCGGCGCCGCGCCACCCGGGACGATTCTGCGCGCCAACTCGATTCGAGACTCGTTCATGCGGGCCGTGACGATCCACGGCACCCAAAACGTTCGCGTCCAAAGCAACGTCGCGTTCAACACATCGGGGCACGCCATGTTCCTCGAAGACGGCGCCGAGTTCAACAACGTCTTTGACGCGAACCTCGTCGTGCTCGTGCGGGAGAAGCTCGACGGCCCCTTTCGCCTCGGGTCAGACGACCGCTTTGGCCTCAGCGCCTTTTGGATCACGAACGCCGACAACGTGTTCACCAACAATGCTGTCGCTGGCGTCGAAGGCAGCGGGTTCTGGATCCACACGCGGCTCCTTGCCAAGAACCCGAGCTACGCCACCGGCTTGTACAATTCGATCGTGCCCTTCAAGACGCCGCTCAAGCTCTGCACCGGCAACCACGTGCACTCGGTCTGGAATGCATTTCGCATCGACAGCGCCGACTTTGACGGCGGGGACAAGCCGCTCGTGAACGCCGGTGGAGCGTTCTCGCAAGGGTACAGTCCGACGTCCGTCACGGTCATCTCCGACTTTACCGTCCATCACTCGCGCCAAGGCGGGTGGTTTCGCATCTTTGAGATCGTCCTCGACAATTGGAAGCTCGGCGACGTCCGCGAAGGTACGACCGCTGCTGCGACCGACGACATTTTATGATGCTGGCGTAGGCGTTCAGTTTTTAACGACGGGCAACACGCCGACAGCGCCTGTGAACGGCACGCTGCGCAACTCGCTGTTCGTCGGCAACACGGCCAATCGCGGCAACCTCATCGCGACCGAGTGGCAGAGCGTCGCGTTCCTCGAAGGCCGGTCCGAGAGCGCGTTCATGCTCACGGACCTCATCAAGATCGGTGTCTTGCTCTACGACGGCCCGCACTTTTTGGAAAACGTCGTCTTCCGCAACTACTACTCGCAGTCGTGCATGGGCGTCATCAACCCCGCGATCGGCGCCCGGGCGTTCAACACGTTTATGATGGCGACGACGACGTCGATCGTCAACTGCTCGTTCCCCAACACAGCGTACCCTGTCTACATCCTCGATCGGCAGAGCGACGGCGGGTTCACGACTGTCATCCAAGATGCGTCCGGGTCCATCTCGGGTAGGCACTAATCCTCAGCCGAGGGCACTCATGCGCGCGTAGGTCAACCGGGGGCGATGATTTTGCCCGACTGGGCTCTCTATTACACGCAGCAGTGCCGTCGCAGCCCGTCGTACGGTCTCGCGTGCCCCCATCGCTACAACAACTTTGAGATCGTCCAGGTCGACACGGATGGCGTGAATCTTGCCAAGTACGGCAACCTGCTCGTGGCGCGCATGGACCGTGACGCGAGCTTGACGTCGCCGCCGACGCTTTCATTTGCGGGACAGTACATCCCCGACGCCGGCGGGTACCTCTACCACCCGTCGCTCTCGGTCGGCGCCACGTACATCGTCAACTTTTTGACGCGAACGCCTCCAATCCTCCGCTTCAACCTCGTCAACGGATTTGCTGGCGACGTCCACACGATCGCCGTGTGCTACCCCATCGGGGCGAGGATCACGCGGGTCGTCGACGGCCGCGGCGTGGCGCTCAGTGCGATGCCAACCGCGACGGCGACCTCCTGTACCAACTGCTTCTTCTTTGATGCTGCCCGCGCGCTGCTCGTCTTCCGCCTCCAGCAGACCCAAGCGCGATCGGACGCAACCATGGCGTGTCCGGCGTCGGGCTGTTCTAGTGTCGTCATCACCGCGACGTTGCCGCCGACGGGCACCGGCGTCTCGGACGTCAGCATGCGCGCGTACCCGCTGTGGGCCAATTCACTTGTCAACAGTGCGTGGGCGAGAACGACGTTCACATCACGCGCCGTCGAGACGAGTGCGGTGGCCAGCAACTCGGTGGTCGACACCAACTGGTGCAGCTTCAACGACCCGTGCTTGAACACCGTGGACGCCGGCAACGTACATCAAGGGATTCTTGCCTACGCCCTCTCGCCGTGCAACGGCTTGGGCTGCTACAGCGCCACGTGTCGCTACTGCAAGCTCCCGACGAGTCCATCGTCGCAGCCGTTCGTACCGTGTCCGTTCAAGAGCAGTGTGCCATTGCCTACGACGGCGACCCCGAAGCCAACGCCGCGACCGACGACACCGGCGCCAACGACCATGCCAGTGACCCAGTGCTCGGCGCTCTTTCCGGCGGAAACAACAACCCTTGGTATCTCGGCTCAAGTCGACACGACGTGCCCCGGGTCTCTCTTGGCTGGCTGCATTGGCTCGACGCAGTGTCGGTTCTGCGCCACAGCGTGGACACCGCAGTCCGCCGGCTTTGCGCCGTGCACTGGCATGACGACTTATGTTCCGCCGACGGTAACGCCCAGGACAAGTGCGCCGACGACACCCGTTCAAACGACCACACGCCCAACCTTAACGACGGCGCCGATTCGAACACTTGCACCGACGCGAACACTTGCACCGACGCGAACACTTGCACCGACGCGAACACTGGCACCAACGACGGTGGCACCGACATCTGCAGTCTGCAGCGTGTCGCCCGGCGACTACCAGATCGGTCTTGACGTCATCGCAGATGCTTCGTGCATCACCCAAGGCGGTCTCGGATGCATCCCGAGCTCTGGGTGCCGCTTCTGTGCGCGGGTTTCCACCATCCCGCCGTCTGTGTACGTGCCATGTCCTCCGTCGTCCATGGTCGCTCTCGCCTCCAATGGCAACGACGCTGCGATTCAAGTCGTTGCCGGCAGTCTTCCGACGGTAGCCATCCTGGCCGTGGCGCTCACCGCCCTCGCCGTCGCATTACTCGTGTTTGCGCATGCGCGTCGGGCCCAGCGTGAGGCGCTGACGACACCGTCTGTGCTACTACCTACGGAGCCTACTGAGGCCTAATCTGAATACATGTACATTTTCTCTCACAACACAACAACAAGGACCTCGCCAAGGGCAGTAGTCGGTGTTTGTCGTACTTACCAAAAGCTAAACGCGCGCCGGTCGGCGTTGTCGTCGATGGCCTCGGACCCGAGAAAGACATCTCTCGAACTCTCAAACGGGAACTTGGTGCCGCCAAGACTCGCGAGGTCGGCGCCGTCGTCAAAGAACCGGTGCGACGACAGGCGCGACGTCGGCGCTTTCGATCCGATGAAGCCCGGGGCTTTGCCCGTAAAGTACGACGATCCAAAGAGCGAGAGCGGGGCCTGGAAGGCGCTTCCAGAGTCGTCGGGCGGGCCGAGCGCCCACATGTCGTTCTCTGCCAGCTCTGTCTCGAGCGAAGCAATCATGCGTTGCTGCTCCTGCAGCTGCGAGTACGTCAACGACACTGACGTCGGGTCGGCGTCGGCGGCGCTAAAACCCGGCGGTGCCCGCACACGCGACGCCGTCGCCACCGGTTGGGCCACTGGTGGTAGCGACACCGGTGGCAGCGCCACGTGATCAAAGATCTCGGAGATGTAGTCGTCGAGCTGCTCCTTGTCGTCGGGCATAGGCGTCGGGCAGTCGACAGCGACGAGTTCAGAGTCATCGACGTCGCTGGTGGCGTCGCCGTCACTCGATCCAGACACGTCCTCGCTTGTGCGTGTGGAAATATCATCGTCAATGGCCGTCGACGTCTCATCGTCACTCGTTGCTTCTGCGCCAGCGTCGTCGGAGACCGATTGCAACACCGGCGGTGTTTCATCCAAATCGACTGGAGGCTTCGCGGTAGGCGATGACTTGTCGACATCAGTGGCAACGGGGTAAGGCCTGTCGAGTGCTTGACCTTGACCTTGATCTTCGGCATCCCTCGGAGCATCGGGCTCCAAGAGAGGCGGTAGGTCCAGAGGCTCGGGAGTCGCGATGTCGTTCGTCGGCAGAGTCGCGACGGGACATGCCAGAGATATTTCCATTTCGGGTGCCACGACGTCTATATCGACCACGACGAGTTTGTCGACGCTCTCCCCGGCCATTGGAGGCCCCCGAGCTGCTGGGATCGCCATCGCATTCTTTATGGCGACGGTTGTCGTCGTCGCCGGCTCGTCCACGCGCTGTTTCTGGGCCGCCTTTTTCTTTTTCGGTAGTTTGTGCACTGCTTTGGGCAGGTCGTAGAATTCAATGGTGGTCGCTTGGAGGCACGAGACTTGCAAAAGGCGCTTGGCGTCGTCGGCGGCCTTGGCTTCCTTCTCGCGCAGCAGCTTGCGCTTCTCGAGAAGCTTGTTGACCGCCGGGCGTCTAAGAACGGTAAAGGCCCAGCTAGCGTCCACATCGGCTTCAATCGATTCCATGTCAGCGATCAAGACGTCGGGCAGGTCGGTCGACGTCTCACGGTTGCCATCGGCCGTGTCTTCGTCCGTTGCAACATCGAGCCGCTCGTAGCCGAAGCGGTCATCCATCGGGCACTGCTTCGTGTCGGCCACAATGACGTCGCCCGTGTAGTATAGCATTTGACCGACGACGAGAGCAAAGCAGAGCCAGATGGCACACTTGGCCACGAGCACGTACCAGGCGGTGCCGCCGCGTTCAAGGCAGGCCGCCACGTCCGTCACCAAGCCTTGCAGCTGAAGCTCGAGTGGCCCCGACGACGTCATGACGGTGACGACGGCATGTTCTTGTGTGTAGTAGCAGCTTGGCGTATACGTTACGTTCAATTGCAGCGCCGTCGACGGGTGCAGCACTCGCACGCTTGGCAACGGCTCGATGCAAAAGCCCGTGGTACCGTCGCCGCAGATGCAGTCGGGGCACGAGGCACTGAGAACGGAGAGTGGCAACTCGCCGGCGTTGGAGACGACGACGGCGCCGACGGCTGCGTTATGAAAGCGGAGCGTCTCGATGCCGTCAACGCTCGTTGCGTCGAGAACAGCCTTGCCCCGGCCTCCGAGACCGCGGACCACGATCGGCTCAATGTGGCTCAACGAGTTGCGCAAGTAGATGCGCCCGACGTACTCCTTGACGAGGTCGGGCGCGAACCGGATCGGGCCGAGCTGGCACACCTCCCCCGGCGCCAGCACGTGCTTCTCGGTCGCGTCGGGACTCAGCATAAAGTTCAAGGTTGACGCTTCGCGGTTGTGCCACGCAGCCACGCACTTGTCGTCATCGGCATGGCTCGCACAAAAGAAGACGTCGTTGCTTGCGTCCTTCTCGATGACGAGCCCGACGTCGATCGTGACGTTGGACGGATTATGGACCTGGAGAAACGCGCTGGAAACGTTGCCGAGGTGCGTCACGGGAAAGACAAGCGTGCCGTCCGAGAGCTTGGGCCGCGCCATGGGCATGCGCACGAGCATCGGCGCAATGTGCACGAGGTCCGTGTCGAGCTGCACTTTCATCTCGACGATCGTCTGGCCCGACGTCTGCAGCTGCGCGAACCGCTGGACGCGATCCCGGTACGCGTCCAAGTCGGTTCGCGTCACGAGCTGTCCGAACGTCGAGAGTGGCGGCGCTTTGTACCCAATGGTCTGTGGCACCATGCAGTCAGCGAACCGGTCGCGGTTGCTGCACGCGAGCGCATATGCTGGCGACACGATGAGCTTGGCCACTTCCGTCGTCGCGTGCGGCTGCAAAATTGAGCTGCCCGATATGATTTGCATGCGGCGGTCCGAGACGCGGATGCCGGACACCGCCACGGGGTGCGCAAACGTACTCGTGTACAAAAGCGAGATCTCTTCGGCCTTGCCGGGGTACAGCATCGGGAGCCGGACTTTGGGGCGCGCCGGTACAATCGTCCCATCGACCGCCGTGTAGGTCACATGAATATGAAGCGTCTCGGTTCGCGTCACTATCGAAAGGGCCACGCCGTCCATGCGACCGCCGGCCACCGGACGGACACGCAGCGCCAAGGACGCCACATAGCCTGGTGCGATTGTCAGAAGCGGCTGGGCTTGGACCGGCATGTTGAGCTGCACCCTACAATCGGGCGTCAGTCGAGACACGCATGGAGCATGTGTACTTGGCCATGTGCGCGCTCATCGCGTCAACGTGCGCCTGACTACCGTAGGCAGGATGCCGGCGCATCCAGTCGTTACCGGCATCCGCGACCGACGGGGCGACCGCCATCGATGGCAGCAGTCGGTCGAGCGAGTACCGAATCGTGTCCGTGTACATGTGCAGCTGGGTTACATCGATCGCGTCGGCGTTGATATTGGTCAAGTTGAGCGTCTCTTGTCGATGTGTCGCAGTGGAAATGTTGCCGAGGTCCCACACGAGCGTCCGGTTGCTCGTCGTTTCCATCGACGCATCGACAAGGCCCTTGGCCGTGTCGACAACCAGACACCGTGGCACCGACGCCACCGAGAGCACGTGCTTCGTGCCGTTCGTCTGCACCCGCAATGCCACTTCGTCCACATGCAAAACTTGACGGCGATCGCACTCGAGAATGACATCCGGCCACCGACCGCCCGGCGTCACCGTCGTGTCATTCGGCCATCGTGCGACGGTACACGTCGCGCCACGCACCGATGCGTCGTCGACGTCGACGTCGACCAGTCGCAGCGGCACGTCAAACTGGTTGCGAAGCGTCACGACGTGCTTGGACGGCGACGAGGCGACCGCCGTGTATGTCAGCGCGCCGTGGAGTCGCCGCGCTTGGTACACGAGCGAAATCTCGGGCGTCGTCGAGATGTTGGTGTGTAGCGTGAGCGCGCCGGTGACCAAGCCAGCGATAGGCGACTGGTATGTGAGGATCATGGCGTTCTTGACGCGCGTGTAGGGCGCGATGACATGGGATCCTTGGATGATAACGGAATGTGCGGGTCCGCGACGCGGAGACTCACGCCTTGCACGAGCACGGGCACGGCGGCCGTGTTGAAAAGGTCCAGCGCGATATGGTGCCGCTAGAACGTCGACAGTTGAGATCGGACAGTATCGCGTGCAATGTACCTCGTCGTCGGACGTCAAGCAGCCAAAGTCCAAGAGATGCACGTCCACATGGAGACCGCCAGGCAGCACAGTGAGGTCCACGGGCAACAGCAGATTGTCGACGCTCGTCTCGATGCGCACAAAGGCGTTAAAGTTGCCAGCGACGCCGGAGGCGAAAGAAAGTCGCATGATCTCCTTGGTCGAATGGGGCGGAATCTCCCACTGCCCCGCGCTGTCCGAGTCCGTCGGTGGTAGCACGAGGTGCAGAAAGCCCTCGGTCGTAAACACCTCGTTGACGCGGAGCACCTATTTCAGAGCATGAGACCGGACTCGTACGTACTCGCAGCAAGCAAGAAACCTCGTCGTACGGGTTGAAGAGCAGGAGCGACGGCTCGTAGCGCTGGCCGGGCGGTACGATCGCGACGTGCACGTGGCTCTCGTACGCGTTCAGGCGGCCAGTGCCCTGCACCGTATATTCGATGATACCCCGCGACGTGTGCAGGTGCACGGTCGCTCGGGTTGTGCCGGCCTCGCGGGGTAAGAAGAGCAGGTGCATCGAAGTTGAGCCCCCGGGTTTGATGACCATCGGAAAGAAGACGTCGGCAAACAGAAAGGCCTTGTCCGGGACCTCGGCGTTGGTGATGATGAGCGCATCGTCGTCGTCTTCGTAGTCGTCGGCGCCGCCAAAGTAGCTTATCTCGAGCGTCCGCATCGATGGAATGCCCGTCTTGGTGACGCCAAAGTCGACCCACGACGGCGCGAGGCGGACGACCGCGTCGCCAAAGGTCACGTCCCGCTCGCCCTTGGTCTTACTGCCATCCATCGCGCCTATCAGTGTTGGCTCGAGGTGCACGCGCGAGTCCATCTGGCTGAGGCCACGACTGCCCGCGACGCGAAATGGCGGCTCTGGCACGACCGCGGGCGATTTGTACAGCACGCCGCCGAGCCAGACCTCGACCTTTTGGCTCTGTGGTCGAGGCTTGGGCAGTGCGTTCTCCGCTTCGTAGGCCTTTACGGAGGCGTACAGCTCGTCGTAGTCCAAGTGGCCCAGACGCAGGTCGTCGTCGGTCCCGAGCAGCACCGCGTCGTCGGTCGTCATGGGCGCCGCTCGCTGGAAGTCGCCCATCGGCATGTCAAGCATGGCACCAACCGAGCGCAGTGGCATGCACAGCATTAAGAGAAGCATGAGCGTCCACCCGCGCCCGGGTCTCCATGCGCCAGCTCGTTGCTCCATCGACGTGGAACAATTTCTCAATGCCACGGAAACTCGGGCAGATCTTTCGACAATAATATAATAATATTTTGCATCGCAAAGTGGCATACAAACACCAAGTATAAAGACCTGCACCCCAATGTATACACAAATAGTGTGACCTCTGGATAAAAAGCGCTTTGTAATATCACTGCTCGGTTGAAAGCGGGCCCCAATCTCGTGCCAAGCTGTCCACCCGACGCACGGTCTCGAGACCATCGCAAGTGCTTCTGGACATTTGGTGATACTTATGGTCGTCACTGTGTTCTCTTCTAGTGTCGTGGAGGCAGTTTGCTCTTGCCTGTTGCTGGATATTTTTCGTTAGATGGAGCACGCGTCGCTTTTACAACCTGCTACTGACTACAACAGCGACGGAAAAGCATCGCTTCAGCTAGCCAGGAGCCGTGCGTTCCAGTACAGAAATGTATGCATTGTATCGGTCGACTGAAGCAGTGACCGTGACGGGCTGCCTATAAAAAAGCGAATTGCTCAGAATTGCTTTTTTTCTGCGTGTCAACGCCGTCAGCCCTTTCCAACCAAGCAGCTCATCAAAGCGGCGATATATCCATCAATCATGCGCACCTTGAGCTTGCTGGCGTAGGCCCGGAAGGTCGCTTCCACCTGTGGTCTTTAAGCCAGAACGAGGTGCTCGATCGCTTTGTTGTTGACGAACGCAGTCCAACGGACGTCCCAACAAGATCGGTTTTACCCGAGTAATATAGTCGACTGCAATCCGTTGCCCTGCATTTTCAATCAAGGTCGTCGTGTCTGCGCCCAAGGGTACATACTTTACGTACAGAGTGCCCTTGCTGCACGGCGCGTTGCAGGGCTTCAACGTACACTATATCGTTATCGAATCGAACGCACACTAATTACCTGGCTTCGAATTTCCCACCAATCACAACTCGCACCATGGACGATGCTGTGCTGCCCGTTGACGCGGTGTCACCCGAGGTCCTCGCCGAGTACACGTACCGAGCCAACGCGCAGTTGCCGCCGGCGGACGCGCAGGAGTACCTCTGGCGGGTGCGGCATGAGGCGGCGGCGCTGCCCGACGTCACAGCGGTGGCCATCGCGTCGCTGCCACCGCCCGCGCCAACGACAATCCACGACATCTTCCTCCCCGACCTGCCGCCTTTCCCAGCCGACCGCGGGCTCTCGGCCGCGCGGGCCATGGAGATCACATCCGACTTTGCCGACGTCCGACAGTACCTCGTGCATGTCGAGACGAGCTATGGGATTCCGCGTACGATGGCCGTGCCCAAGCTAGGAGACGAAGATGGATGGCGCAAGGTCTTTGCCTCGACGCCACCGCATGTGCGCACCTTGGTGCAAATGGACCAGATCATGACGCGCCGGCTGCTGCACACGATGCTCCATTGGCTCGAGGACGATGATGGTGACGTCCCCGCGCTGTCACGGCTGCGCGCTGTGTGGCTCTACGCGCTCCTGGCCCGCCTCGACAAGCCGCTCCTCGCCGACATGGATGCGTGCGTCCGAGACATCTTTCGGTGGTGCTGGCGTGCGCGCAGCCTCGCCCCGTCGACCGCGAACGTTGACGCGCTCAACGCCGTGCTGTGCATCTGCGGCTTTTTGGCCAAGGCGAGGCGCCGTGATGAGTCAGTCGTCGGTTGGATAGGAGCAGTGCCCCACACGTGGAATCTCGACTGTGGACTTTGCCCGTGCATTGTACTACAGCGGATTAAGCAGTGTACACGCCCTACGCGTTGTAAGAGCAATAAAACAAAAGCACTGCTCTATAGAAGCGACGACCAGATCGTCCAAGTGGGCGCAACTGAAGGTCGTTGCAGCCACGACCGCGACAGCCCATTGCCGTCCGATGATTTCCACAAGGGCAAAGAAGGGGCTCGTACGTGTTTGCTGTCGAGTACTATGGTTGGAAGAGGATGGACAGGCATGGGTTGAAATCGAAGCTACTGGTGCGAGCTCGAATGGGAGCCTGATCCGAGGTCGGCGGATCGCGCCTGGAGACGCCGCCGATCGAGGCGACGCGCCCTGCCTCATGATTACACTCAACAAGTAGCTTTCTCGGCGATGAATATGCAGTCGTCCCACGTTATGAGCAGGCGCTGCGACGACGCGGCCGCCGCCCGCGCTCTCATTGGATCGCACAAAGTCTTCTCAACTCGGCGTAATACGTAGCGTGTCGTCCATCGACTAGCACCTGCGCCATGTACTGCCTGACCGTATTAGTGTACATGTACCGGTACTGTACGATCGATGCCTGGATCTCTTTCACCTTTGACCGCCACATGGGCGGCTTCAAGAACGCAGCAGCTGGGGTGCGACATGAACAGAATAATCTGCATCCAAGAAGGCAGCAAGATCGGCAATTCGGCGCAGTGCAACGTTGGCGGGGCGGGAGGGATCAGGCGTCGCACAGACGCGATGGAAGCCATCAGTTGTTGGGACCCTCGTCCGCCCTTCGTCACGGCTTGACGCGTCTTCCTGCGTCCGAATGTACCGCGGTTCATCTTGGGTTCGTCCTGCCCATAATGGCACAGCCAAGCACCGTAGTTTGCCATGTGGCAACTTGGTCGTTTAGTATCGTATACACCACGTGCTCGTATGCACGACGCCCCGAAATCGCTCACTAATAACAACGACCAACACCTGATGAGCGCTGGCCTCTTCTCACATGGCTCCTGCTTCACTTTCGTGAGCTTCCGGCTCGTCTAGGCCAGCCATTCTCATGTCGTCTTCTAAGATCGCCAAAACCTTATTCCATCGCTCCTCCCTCGCCTCCCACGACGCCACGTTTGCCCAATCATTAGCTAATTTTCGAATCGGCGGGGCGACGCGCGGGGACGAGAGACACGATCCTTGTTGTCAATGAGGCTGCTGCTCATTGGTTGCGGCAACATGTCCCAAGGCACGGCAAAACCTCCGCCTACAGCCGCGTGAACTAATGGCGAGCTTCCATCAATTGTCGACGCAAAGCCGCGTTGAATTGTCGCTTCAACCCGCAGAGACGTCAGTGCTACTCGGTAGCGCACCAGAAAGTAAGCAAGAGGCTACCGCCACAGCCGCAACCGAGGTCCGCAACGGAGGCGCCGACAATCCGCCATAGAAAACCACGACGAATGACCCATTAGTTCATGGCGGGTCGCAGATGCTCGTTGAATAATCAACCCTGTATTTTTAGTCGTCCTCTCTGCGGCCGTGAAGAGCTCACGAGCATATGGTAGTCAAACCTGACAGTTTGCCTTCAACGGATTGCGCATTCTCTGCGCGTGTGGCTACAACGCAAAGCGCGAGGTCTCAGAGCGCCACTAGAGCACCAGAGTAGGATAATGAACCCCACTTGGCCCCCGAGGATGGTGGATTGAAGCCCAGGGAGCGAGTCTTGGTATGATCCGGTAGCGAGTAGCTGATCTCGACCCGTAATACATTCGAGCCAGCGACGGGACGACCGAGACAAAGCACGTCCATGATTCCCTTGCGAGATCGATCGCGACCACGGACGGGCGATACCCCAGGCTGCTCGGAAGAGCGTTCAGGCGTCCAGCATCTTCCGTGATCCCCAAAGCTCGAACCATCTGGCTTGCACTTGGTGCTTGGTGGTGGCCCTTTTTTCCTGCAAAGTTCTCGGCTGTGGAGAAGAAGCTTGCTGCTTGGGTTTCTTCGATCGAGTAGCCGCTAGCGTCGTAGCTCGTCGTACTGGACGCACAAATGAAGCCGAGGCGCGACGGCCATGTCCTATGATTGGGTACTGCAACGGCCACCCAACAACAGCCTTCGCATCGAAATCACTGCAGAACCCAACCAAGACGGAGCCACCGACGAGCCACTCCACCGCCGCCTTGAGCGCCGACAACGACGCCGGTAGCCGAGGCTGGTGGTCGTGTCGTCGACCGCGCGGCTGTCTAGCAACGCAGGACTTTGCCTCCTTAGTACCCTCATTAGATGCGAACATTGGATGACGTAGTACCCGCCGTGCGACGGACGACTGGTCGACGGTCGGGACGATGCGCGAACGGAACGCCGCTTGGGATAATTTTACTCTGCGTGAGGCACCTAGAACGCATTTGGTTGTGCAAGACCTTCTCGTCGGTCCGTCCTGCTGCTGCCAACGACGCCGACGACGAGTTCATGGTGGTGTATTGCGGCGAGTGTTGCACCCGCGGGCAATCATATCGTCAGGTGGCCGCGCTGTCACGGGCCGTGTCACCACTCTAGCAAGTTTACAAGCTGGATGCATCGGCCGGTTGGCCGGGCCTAGAAAGGCGCAGTGTCCCACTCTGCACCGAGTTATATACCCACCGGCTGTTGCGTCGGCAAGCCGCAGCATTTTCTTCACTCCACAATTTGCTTTGTACTCGACAAGACCAGGATGACTACCGGACGCTCGTGGTCGGAGGACTTTACCAGCATGTACCATGACCCGCGCCCGCACGACATGGCTCACCGGTCGTGGTCCGTCTGCGACGACTACACGCCGTATGCGCCCACCGAGGTCACAGCGTCGCCGTCGTCGTCGTCGTCGGACTCGGCCGAAGCCGGCGCGATCACGTACCCGCAGGCCACCAACATGGCCCACAAGTGCGGCTACCGCACGGGCAAGTGCTTCAACCTCCGCGCGCAGAAGCGCAACGGCAAGGACCACAAGCTCTGCGACTTCCACCGCGAGAAGGCGAACCTCAACCAGAAGAAGCTCGACCGCAAGAAGCGCCTGCGCCGGTTCTCGCCGTACGACGAGAAGCCCGCGCCGCTGAGCCTCCCGAGCCTCCTCGAGGAGGACAAGGTCGAGGACGACGACGAGCTCACGGCGTCGTCGCCGACGCGCATCGATGACGCGCCGCTCGTGCTCGGGTTCGACGAGGTCGAGTTCTTTTGCCACGTCATGACACCCGAGATGCGCCACCAGACACCGAAGGCCGAGCCCGCGCCACTCTCGCTCGACACCACGTGCCGGAGCAGCGACGATGCGACGTCGTCGGCCCTCGACATGCTCTTCAAGTCGGAAATCATGTTTTTCGTCGATCAAATGTAACTTGTACGGGCTGCGACTAAGCTCACCTCACTAAAAAGTGTAATAATATTTAATGCAATGTAGCTCTGCGCTACATATTGACAAAGTCACATCGTTTCGCCAAGTACGAATACCTTCATCACTCAAATCCCTATCGCCCCATGATCCCTCCGACAGCGGCAAGTGCCATCATTAATGGGCAAGTGCGCTGTAGTTCAACGGGTAGTCAGCCGGTAGTCAGCGCCCAATGCAAACCGCTCGCACAGCAGAGGCGGCGTTTCCGGCGAAGTGTTCTGCTGCTGTAGAAAGGGGCGGCACCAGCCCATGCACGGATCGTTGAGGCAAGCGTTGGACGTTGGCGCGGCCGACAGGCTATCGTCGGCGGGCGGTGATCATGACGTGGGACGAAAGGGCTATGCCAGAGATCGTAGCACGCGATCCGTACTACTGCCATGTACTGCAGACAGACGAGAACATCCAATACTCTCGGCTGCCATTGCCCGTCGCTTCCCGACGCACCGTGGCCCGGTGCATAGAATGCTGCTTGAAGTTCAACGCCTTGCCGATGCAAAAACCAAGTCCAAACCGCAGCGTTGATCCTAATTTTAAGCCGGCGACCGAATTTATAGCGAAAACAGGTAGTTTTTCACTGCAATGGCCTTGAATAAGAGCCATGGCATGCTCAGGAACGGCAGAACGCATTGCCGAGGGAGCGATCGCAAGGTGGACCAGGCTCTGTCTCGTTGGATTGCATTATCGTCGCGCGGTGACGTGCCCCCGGTCTGGGCGTGATGCAGGGCGTGATGGGGCAAAGAGACCAGGATCGTGGCAAGTGCAATGTGCGGCTTTTCTATTCAGCAGAACGTGGTACTCAATAGCAATACTCGTTGTTGCGGACGTTTATTGGGCACGCCACACCAGAGCCAACGGCGTGTTCGAGCACGTTCGATGCATACCTGATCGGAATCTGTATGACGAGCGGTCGGGCAACGGCTTGCGGCAAACTGGGCTCCATGAGGTAATCTGAGGCAAAGTCCTATTTTTGTGCAGAGTCCGAATTTCGGACCTTCCGGTATTGCGTTGATCCGGGAAGCAAAGTGAAGAAGCTCTGTTCCGCAACGTTTTCGTTTCGCGGGCACATGTCGCGCGGCTTCAGCAGCATAGTCCACGGCTTCTACGGCAACGCGCGACGACTCCAATCCGTGAGTCTATCTACAGTACTAGTCTACCGTGTACGAGTACAAGAGTGAGTGGATTGCTTCCTGCGCACTCCATTCGATGGTTGTGGGTGGGTACCGCTCTTTCCCGCAACATATCCGTCGGCGGCAAGCGTACCGGGTGCCAAGGACACGACGACAGCGCGAAGGGCTGCGCTGTTACTGCGACGCTCCCGGCGACCACAAAAATGTTCCGTTCCCCAGTCCCGTCGCTGTCCGTACATGCTAAATCGGTAAACGACACTGTGACCCACGTGTCGCGCGCTTGGTTGGCGGCCACGGCGCACGGCCGCCGCATAGAGCGGTCACGGCGATCCCGTCGTCAACTGATGGGAGCGTCAGCTGGGCGAACGGATCGTGTGTGAGGCCACGGTGTCTCGCGATGCAGACACAGCTGTGTGTATACGATACCATCGCAAACCGGCAGACACATGTGTGTTTTCAACGCATGGGCGCCTGGTGGAGCTGACGGAGTGCAAATCGCTGTGCTGTGAGAAGGTGATCCCACTTTTTGTCATCTTGGTCACCGAAACTCCCGCCAAAATCGAATGCTCAAGCTGGTGGCCGTCGGCGCCACCGCCATGTACGCCGGTGCGTCCGTGTATATTAGCCTGGTACAGCACCCATCAATCCTGCTCATGCGCGATTATCGGGTCCAAGCTGTCTTCTTTGCCGACATGTACGACGCCGCGGGCCGCTTCATGGCACCGCTGTCTGTCATCGGAAGCGGAGCTGCCCTTGCAGTCTGGCTAACCAACCGGTCCGAGCTCATATGGCTCGCGGGTGGCCTCTGCATGGCGTCCATTTTACCGTACACTACCTGCTACATGCTGCAGCTCAACGCGACGCTTCGAGACCCGCGGCGAACGCTTCGGCGCGGCCCGACCTGGCTCCTCAAACGACTGCAACAGTGGGGTCACCACCACGCAGTACGCTCGTTCTTGAGCGTCACAGCCACCTCCACGATGCTATTTGGACTGCGGTAGGTGACTCCGAAGTATTTTATACTAATAGAGTTCTTGTTGCAAATCAAATGGGTCGCTCCCAGCGCAACGCCTCGTCGAGCTGCTTCTCCAGGAGCGCATTTCGCGAGCTCAGGTACACAATGTCGTTGTGGGCTTGCTGCAGCAGCTGGACAGCCGTCGCGTACTGACGCTGCATCTGCAAACGCTCGGTGTCCCATGCCGATGTGAGCTCCGAGAGCATTTCTTGGAGCTGTGTTTTCGTCTGCGTCTGCGACTCGGCAAACGTGTGCTTGAGACGGTGCATCTCTTGGTTCATCAAGAGCGCTCGGTCGCGCTGCTTGACGACTTCTTCCGCGAGTCGTTTTTCCTTGTCGACGCTTTCGTTCAAAATGCTTTCGAGCTTGACACGCTCGTCTTCGGCCTGCGTCTTGAGCCGCTGGCTACAAGCGTCACGTTGTTACTTTTGCGGCTTCGAATCCGATAAAATGCACCGTTCTTCGGCCAGCGCTTGCTCGAGGAACGACTCCTTTTCTTGCTTCATTTTTTGGCGCTCGTCTTCTTGAATTGCCTGTGGCGGCATGAAGACGAGGACTCCGACTCGGAATTTCGTACTTGTCGGAGCTTCTCGTTCTCTTGGAGAACCGCCGACTTGGCTGCAATGTCGGCTTCTTCTTCGAGCTACTTGAACAAATAAGGGTGCGCCGGAATGGAATGGACGCACAATTTTTTCTTCGACGGCCTTTTGTTGGTCTTTTAGACTCGCGAGCGCATCTCGCTCCTAAGCACAGGTGACTCGACTGCTGCGACATAAACACTATTATACCGCAATGAGCTGCTCCTTCATCGTGTCGATGACAACCAAGAGCTCGGGAACGCGGGCGTCGCGTTCGTTGGCCTTGGTGACGTCTTGGTACGTCTGAATGTCGCTTTGAAGCTTCTTTTTGATCGTGCCGTAAAGCTCTTTCTTTTCGCGAAGCACTTTAGTCAATTTCGCTTTGTCCTATAAATTTCAACGCGTTATTGCATCAAGTCAATGTACGCTGGTATGACTTGATGGAGGCGCTTGACGCGCTTGATGCCGTCGATCTTTTCTTCTTTGACCGTCTGGGAGATTTTTTCATTATTGGGAATGTGTCGACCATGAGGAGTACCTGCATAAAGGCGAGGATGTTGGTTTCGTTCGCCATACTCTTTTGGCGCTCGGCTTCGTACAAGGCGGCCAGTCGCTCCTTCTCCTCCCACGACTACACGCGCCGTCGACGCTACATCACGATAACCGTGATAGTACCTGCTGCTTGGCGCGCTCGAGGTTGGCAATCATCTCGTCCATTTCGCGCAACGCGTCGGGATTGGCCGGCACCGCCACCGAGTTGCCCTGGACCATTTGCCGCAGGCGCTCAATCTCCTCGCGAAGCTCACGAATCATCTTTTCGTTGACGTCCTGCAGCGCGTAAGACGATGTCATTCCAATAAGATATGAGTGGACCTCGTTCTTGCGCGTTGCATTCTTGATCGACTTGGCGCGGTTGGCGTACTGCAGCGTGCCCAGCGACTCGTCGTAGTTGTAGTCGGCAGGCGATACCGCTGCGATCATGACAGTGAGCGAGTTGCCACCCAGTGACTCCTACATGCACGTAGAAAGAGAAGGCTCGCCAAGAGCGTCGTACTTGGAGAAGTCGCGTCAGCTTCGAGTCGCGATAGGGCACGTGGCCCTTCTTGGACCGATCTGCGAGCATATTGATGACGTTGCCGAGGGCTGAGAGACTCTTGTTGATAGCGGCGCCTTCCTTGAGCCGGTCACCGGTCGCACCCGTCTTGGCCGCGCGCTCCGAGCCCGCCAAGTCGACCTAGTACACATCCTCTCTTGTCATACAAGAACGCTAGGAACCAGATACGAGGTTGATCTTAGCGTTCATGATCGTCTCGCGCGTGATTTCCCCCAGAGTCTCTGTCTTCTTGGAGCCGATTTTGATTGTAAAGCACGAGTGCGACCGCGAGCTTCGCTCGTTCATTTGCGTCGCCGCGACCTGCCGGACCTTGTTGCCTTCGTCGATGAGCCGCGAGACGTCGCTCGGCTCGCGGACCACGAGCTACAAGGCTCTGTAAAATCAAAGAAGGGGTAGGCAACCCCACTTCGGCCAAGTGCTCCACGTAGATGCCCATGTTGGGGTGCTCGCGGATCTTGAGCACCTTATCGGACGGGTTGAGGAGGTCCTTGATGACTTCGTTGTAGATCTCAAGAAACGAGACGGTGATGAGGTACTTGGTCTCATCGTTTGTCTGCGCCTCGACGCGCCTAGCAGATGCATTACATCAATACACACAGTGAGTTTCGACAGGAAGAAGCACTACCGGAAAAGGTCAAAGTTCATCTTGGGAATGATGCCGTGGTCGTCGCCCGACCCCATCATCGTGTGTGTCTTTCCAGACCCGGTCTGACCGTACGCAAAGATCGTGCCGTTGTAGCCCTGGAAAGCCTGGTCCACGAGCGGCTGGGCCACTTCGGCGTACACGGTCGCTTGGTCCGAGTCGACAAAGTAGCAGTAATCAAACGTGAACTTTTTCTTGGCGTCTTCCGCGGCCGCATTCGGGCTCTCGATGCAAATCATCTTGTCCACAACCGACACGATCGTCTTGGCGCCCATTTGGGTCTCCTTGCCGCTCATGGGCCGGCAGCGCACGGCCACCTTGACGTTGACGTCATTGGACGCCATCGACACTTTACAAGGACGAAGCGTCGGTGGCGTTTCAGAGCTTCGGTTGCCATACAGAGATCCTTTTTGGTGGCAGCTTGTGTAGTAGCCTACTACACAAGCTGCCACCCTACTACGACTACATGAACGTTCATGTAGTCGTAGTAGGGGCGCCCAATACAGTATTCCAGGTCCTAACGATCGCTTCATGTTCGGTAGGAACGCATTTTCAACCGAGTGCCCAAGGTGCCTCTTGCATCTTGAATGCTCTTCGGGCAGCATCATCAATGAAGAAAAAGGGAGCGCCTCACCTGCCTGGATATGCTGCTCCATCCGTACTAGAGCCCAGAGCGTACAATTGTACTCAGACTCTCAGTAGCAAAGATTGCAGGGAGGGGTACCACTTGGCGAGAATCCAGGCCAACCATTGGCTAATTTCTTTAAAAAATTAGACCAATCCACGCGACACGAATCCACCCCCTAACGCCAGCGCCGATCTCAGAGCGCTCGGATCGCCCGAGGGCACTGGAAAATGAAATCGCTCATACTTGGCGTGTCGATAGCCAATGCTTTGGAGAGCTCAAAACGCCACGTCGCGTCATCAGAAGCGGTCTACAGCCAGAGAAATCGGCCCTTGAAATGGCTTACCACATTATTGTAGTAGGCCATGTACAGTACTGTTCAGTGGCATGGCCGAAGAGATGCTCTCAGTGCTCTCGGTCAAGATTCCCACCATCCACACTACATGCAGGTCCTACAATAAGCCTTGTCTTATCACTACAATGCGGACGGGATCGCACTGCAGACTCTAACAATGGGAGAGGTGCTGGCCAAGGAGTCGGTTCAAAGCAAAGCAAACACAATGAAGTTACTTGTTACTGGGATCCGCACTTGGCTCGGGCTTGGGCGGCGTGCTGTTGAGAAAAGCACCGCGGAACGGCAGCAGCGGAAGCACGTTCTTGTGGAATTGCATGCGGAGACGGTCGACGGCGTTGCCAATGTTGTCGAGCGCCGGCCGGACGTCCATGTACACCGAGATCGGCTTCCCGGGCGTCGGGTGGCCGGTGTAAAAGTCGATGACGTACCGGACTTCCTCGCCGTTGCGGTCGATGATCCAGTCGTGGCGGTCGAATGGGAGGTTGGCCATGCCAAAGAGGTTGAGGAGGCGCGCCTTGGGCGTAAAGTCCTTGGGGCGGCCCATGAAGCGCACAAGCTTCGGGTCACCGCGCGTGTACGCGTCGCCGTGCAGCGTCTTCTCCATCTCGACGACCTCGGCCCAGCCCTTCTCGTTGATGGTGTTGTGGATGCTCACAATGACCTTCATGTCGCGCTCCTGCGGATCCCAGCCCTTGCGCTTCATCGCGTTGAAGTACTGCTGCTCGGAGGGGTACTGCCACGTCTCCTGGCCTTCCTTCTGGTGCGCCGGGACGTACGAGCCCATTGGAATCGTCGACGCCACGCGCTGCGTGCTCAGCGGGACGCTCTGGCCCTTGGCGACCGATTGATCGGCCGGCTCCATGAAGTTGAGCGTGTTGAGGCCGGCCATGCTTGGACCGCCCATCTTGCTGTGGTCGACCGGGCAGCCACCGGTGGCTGGCGCGCTGTGGTCGACGGGGCAGCCGCCGGTAGCTGGCGCGCTGTGGTCGACGGGGCAGGCAGGCGGCGACGACGACATGCGATCGAAGGCGCTCGAATTCGGAATCGATGGCACGCGGGAAAATCACACTATTCCAATATACACCATTTGCGTGTCATCAGATGTTTACCCAACGCAGAAGCAATAGTGTATTCCCAGTGCCGATCCCCACGTGGCAGCGGCGTTGGTCGTGGGCAACTGCGTCGCTGCTGCTTTGGAGATGGCGCGTCGATGATGGCGCGCGCACCCAAAGCGCCGACTTGGGTGCGCCAGCCGATTGACAGCCGTGGGCCAAACGACGCAGCTGATAAGCACGAACCCACAACGCGACGACAGCGTCCGTCCGACCTTGCCAGTCTTCTTCTCGTTCGATGCACGCATAGCTACTGTATTAACAACATGCCCGCACCCACAAGTACGTCTATAGGAGCGTTTACGAAATGAACGAGAACGCCGACGTTGGGCGCGTCGCTTCGTCGTCCGTGCGTGAGCTCTGGAGAAAGTCGAACGCTGACGTGGACGGCGGTGGCGACTGCAAAAGCTGGCGCGGCGGCGTTGCGTGAGACGACTGCATAAAGTCAAACGCGGACGCAGGCGGCGCCCGGGACCCTCGGATCTCGAGCTGGCCAAAGGTCGCGGCCATCGCGTCGACTGCGGGCGGCGACGACGGCGTCATAAACGCAAACGTCGAGGCGCGAGCCGGCGACGCTCGGTGGCGCGGCGAGACCACGAGCGCTTGCTTGACGGGCGAGTTCGCGCTCGGGAAGAGCGACGACGTCGCGGCGCCGAGCCCATGGCCGTACTGCACTGGAGCCGGCTGCGACAGAAAGTTGAATGCCGAGACGGGATTGGGCGGCGACGATGGCGGGGCAGGCGACGACAAGAGAAAATTAAACGCGGACGCTGGCTGCGCAGGCGACATGAAGCCGACCGGCGGCGCCGACGGCCGACGCACGGGCGACGAAACCCGATCGACGGCCGCTGCGATTCCTCTGTCGCATGCGGTTGCTCGTCGTCGTCGTCGTCGTTTTCCTTGATATGCTCACTGGGTTCTGCGCCCGACGGCGGAATGTACGGGACGTTGAGGTGCAGCGGGTGCATGACGCGACCGCCGACAATAAACTTTTTGAACTTGAGCACCCGGTTGTACCCCGAGGCAGCCGCGAGGATGGGGCCGAGGTCGTCCAGCGACGCGTGCTCGACGTTGGTAAAGTTGACGCTGACTAGCGCGCACCCGGGCGTGATGGCCGGGTGCATCTCAATGTAGCCCTTCTCGCCCGTCGGCAGCGGCACGAAGCGCTCGATGACGCCCATGCTCGGAATGCTCTTGTCGAGGATGATGCCCATGGGACCTGCGGGGATGTCAATCTCCAGAACCACTTCCCGCGCCGCGCCAGCAAGCTTGAGCTGGGCAAAGTCGACCGGCTCGGGTGCACTTGCCCGTCGGTCTCTCATGAAACCAGACAAGAGATCTTCTTCGGACGCATTCTCATCGGGCTCGCTGCCGAGACCTTCAAACGCGTCGTGGATGTGGTCGCCCGCCGATACCTAAGCGGCTTTAGACTCAATAGGAATCGTGGGTGGTACCGTCTTGGCCGGCGGCCCACCGATTGCGAGCACGGGCGGCTGCGAAAAGACGTCGTAGGACGGCTGCGGAGGCGTGTTGAGCGTCATGAAGGAAAAGCCTTGTCCATCCGACGACGGTTGCGACGGCATCGTCAGGAATGAGAACGACGACGGTTGCGACGGCGCAGGCGGTGACGGCGTGGCCACGGGCGCTGCCGGTGGCGACGACAGGAATGAAAATCCGGACGGTGCGGCGGCGGGCGCTGGCGAAGCTTGCACCGGGGCGTTGAGAAAGTTGAAGACCGATGCGGGGGCGGCGTCTGTTGCTGCTGCTGGTATTGATGCGGTTGCGGAGGGTACTGCTGTTGGTTGTAGTGATGCGGGTCCTGCTGCGTAGGTTCAGGCGATGCCATGAAGGCAAAGGCCGACGGCGGCTGCGTGTGTCGATGGGGCCTGGCCGGGGACGGCGTCGCCAGCATCGGGGCTGCATAAGACGCTCGCGGCGGACTCAGAAGTGATTCGCCAAAGAAGCCCTTGGGCTGGGTCGTGGGCGACCGCAGCAGGTCTTCCTGGTACCCATAATGGCTGCGGACCGGGGACGGTGCTTGGTATTGCGCGACGGGGGCGGGCGGTGGCGGCGGCTCAAAGTTGTTGAGCGTCGTCAGCACCTTCTCCGCACGAGACTTGACCGTTTGCTTGGGGTGCTGCGTGAGGCCTGCGATCAGTTGGAGTTTGTACGCAAAAAACCCAAGAAAGTCGTCGGCCTGCGCCGTGCCAAAGGCCGCGTCGAGCACGAGGAGCGCACGGGCGGTGACCTGCCAGAGCGAGTCGCCGAGCTTCTGCTCGAGGAGCTCGCACGTGTACTGGCGGTCGAGCGACGGCAAGACGCGGACAAAAGTGTTGAGGACCTCCTTGGGCGGGAACGAGCTTTGGCCGGCCGCCGAGCAGAGTTCCGAGACGAGGACGAGCTCCGAGACAGCAGGCGAGGCCGGCGCGGGCGACGCGGACGATCGCCAAGAGGACTCCTTGCCGTTGCGCTTCCACTTGTCGGCCTGCGTCGCGTACGCCGTCGGGGCGCGGGGGTACATCTTTGGCCCAGACAAAACAAAGTGGCCAGCCTTTTTCTACGGCAGGAGGGGTGGGCCTCCACGAAACGGATATGGGGGGTCCTCCCCAAACAGTGGTCCGCTTCCTTGCCGCCGTGGGGATGCCACGTATGCCTAGCGAAGACTACGTGATGCATCTCCACATGACAGATATCGCTAGCACAAGAGCACACAAAGCTCGTGGAGCCAGGTGCTGGCCTCGGGCACACGCACGGAGCTCTTTGGGGTCGCTGAAGGCCCCGCGTATGGCGTTCGGATCGTCGGCGAGGCGTCAGTGGACAGCTTCAGTGGACGTGCATAAGTCTTCGCCTCCTCCTGGAAGACATGCTGCCGCCCATCGAAGAAAGATCTGCCAACGACAACACCTCGCGAGGCTGGTTCTGAGCGGCTAGCCTCGGAAAGGGCAGGTGCGAGATTGAGACTGTGGAGCTCGCGTCCCATGACGGAGCGATTGCGGAGACCAATGCTGTAGTGGCAGCTCGTGGTGGTGGCAGCTCGGGGTGGTGGCGGGAACGATCGAGCTTTGGGATCATGCTGCCGCAGAGCCAGCGCGGACCAGGTGGTGGGCCAATCAGCGACGTGGAAACACACTGTGACACACGCGCGTGGGGCGCGTTGTGCAAGGATGTGATGGCCTTTCCTGGACAACCAACTTGGAGGCCCGCCTTCACTTACGCGATGCTGCGGACGCTCGTCGGCGCAGCGCTGCTGCTAGCGACGCTGGCGACGCCGCTGCAAGTGACGCCGAACGTCACCACCAGCTCGCCCAACACAACCATAACCGTGCACGTGCAGCCGACGACACCGACGATCACACTGCCGCCGAGCCCGACACCGTCAATGACACGCCCGACACCGACGACACCAAATGTGACGACGCCTGTACCAACGACTCCAGAGCCAACGACGCCAGTGCCGACGACCCAGAGCCGACAACGCCAGAGCCGACGACACCAAATGTGACGACGCCTGTACCAACAACCCCGGAGCCAACGACGCCAGTGCCGACGACACCAGAGCCGACGACACCAGAGCCGACGACACCAGAGCCGACGACGTCAGAGCCAACGACGCCAGAGCCGTCTAATGCAATAGTTCCCACAGCTCCTACACCAACGTCAGAGGCGCCGACACTGTCGCAAGCCCCGTCGAGCACGCCACTACCAGAGACGCCTTCCCTACAGCAGGACCTTGGCGATCAGCCGACGGCTTTGCCGGCTCGTCGACCAAGCAACCGGAGCAATTGGCCGTCGCAGAAGCTCGCTGCGTCGTCATCAACGACCAGTGTTTTTCGCGTTGTCGCCAATGCGCTCGCGATTCCTGGTCTCGTCGTGCTCGGTGCTTTCCACTTTGGCTGGTGGACGCTGCCGGCCGCGCCTGTGATCTTGCCAATGGCGCTGGCCTTTCTGCAGCAGATTGCGACCTGCTCGCTCCTCAACCTCGGAACGTCGTCCGTGCCGTCGTCCTTGCTCGGGTTCACAGACGGCCTCACGTGGCTCCTCTTCCAGGTGCCGCAATTCTCGTCGTCGTCGGCATCATCGGCAACGGCCACTCGACGTCTCGACGACGCCGTCACGGGGTCAGGCCCCGAGTTCTTCGCCTACCGCGTCAACCTGAACGAGCGCCATCTCTTTTACAACACGTGGCTGGCGACTGCCGTCGTCACGTCGGTCTGCATCTCTCTCGGGCTTCTCTGCCTCGGCTGCGCACGCTACCTCGTGCCACCGCGCGGCGTCGGCGGCATGAAGGCCCGGGCGTCGCGCTGCTTTGCGGCCGGCTTCTTCCTCTTCTCCGTGGCGACGTTCCCGCTGGCGCTCACGGCGGCGTACGAGGTGCGGCAGGACGCCTACACGCCCGACGGCCCGCACGCATCCGGCGTTCTCGCGTGCGTGACGCTCTTTGGCTTTGTGTTTGGGCTCCTCGGTGCGTTCGCCTATCTCTTCATGGAGGACGCGTACAAGTACGAAGCGTTCGGCCGCAGCGAAAGCCTCTGGTGGTCCTACGCCCAGGTCAAGTACCGGAGTCGGTGCTTTCCCCTCTTGAGCCTCGCACTCCTCTTCCTGCAAGGCGGCATCGTCGGCGGCGTCGCGTCGATATACGTCATCCTCGTGCTCTTGCTGCTCCACCTTGCGTACCTCGGCCTGACGTACTGGCTGCAGCCGTTCGTGCACTTGATCGTCTACCACGTGACGATGGTCTTGGAGCTCGTCTACGTTGCCTGCCTCGTCCTCGTCTGGGTCTCGCTGGCCGCCGGCGATGGCGTCGGCTACGGCGTCGTTGCCATCGTCCTGCTTGTCGTCCTCGCTCTGGCACTGCACCAAATGATCCTCGTCTTCTCGCTCGTGGCCAAGACGTGCTTTGCAAAACCAAATTCGCCCGCCTACACGCAGTCGGCTGCCACGGCGCGCGCCCGACGCCCGCCCGCACCGGCGACGGGAAACGAGCGCCCTCTCCAGTCGGACCACAGGCGCCTCGCGACGGCGGAGGCGACGCTGCGACCCAAGCGCGGTGTCAAGTCCAACCGCCACCAGCTCCCACCCGCTCCCCGCCCCGTCTAACGCGACAAGAAACGAGTATAGTCAGGCGCAAAAGGAAGCATCATGTTGCAGTAAAGAGTGGTGTCTACGCCTCTTCGCGTTCGTAGATGGCCCATCGGCGGTTGTGCTCCTGGCCCTTGCCGGGCTGCGCGAGCGCGTCCGAGCAGCCAGAGTCGGCGCAGCCGCAAAAGTGCGCCTGCGAGTCCATGCACGGGCGCTCGCAGCCGGCGCCGTTGCCGTCAAAGTCCTTCTCGGCCAGCGCGAGCTTGTCGAACGCAAACACGTGGCCCTCGCCGCCGACGCGCGAGAGCGCAAAGTACCGCTTGCCGTGCGCCTTGGCGTGGTGCAGCGCGAGGTTGTAGTTGGCGCCCGTGGCGCCGCCAGAGTAAATCTTGTCGGCGCCGAGCATGTCCTCGCCCGTGACGCAGCCCACAAAGCGCGTCTTCTCCGTGTCGATCGAAGCTGTCTGGGACGCCGCATCGCGCAGCTTGCGCTTCATCTCCTCGGTGGTCGGCTGCACGTTGGGCTGCTTCTTGACCTTGAAGATGCGCACGATCCAGTGCTCGGACGTGAACGCCTCCTCCATGTGCGTGAGCTTGATGTTCTTGACGCCGACCTCCGTGTTGCGCGCGCGGTCAAACCCTGGCGGGTGGTGGTAGTCGGTGCGCATCTCGCCAAAGCGGTAGTAGCACAGCTTGTACGCGAGGCAGTTGTGCAGAATCTTCGAGCCGCCCGGGCCAACGTCAAAGTTGCCCGACGCCGAGTAAAAGTCGCGCTCGGCCGGCATGTCGTTCGGGAAGACGCCCGACCCGATGCGGACGGGCCAGAGAAACTTGTTGATGTCGTCCGAGCTGTAGCCTGTGAGCCCGCCAAAGATGACGAGCACATAGTCGACGTCGAGCGACTGCAGGATCGGGTACGCACCCTCCTCCGTCGACGCCAGCGCGCGGCCGACCGTCGCAATGTGCGTGTTGTTCCACGTGTTGTTGTCGACGATGACGGTCCGGTTGGCCATGCCCGACATCTGGTAGCCATAGTCCCACCACGCGAGGATGCGCGCGTCGGCGGGCGTGTTCTGGCGCAGCCAAAAGTACGCCTCGCGGTAGTCGTCAAACACGACGCGCTCGCCGCTCTGCGTGCGCCCGGCTTCAATCACAATCGACGGCGACGAGTAGGCCATCGACGAGACGTACGCGGCGTGGAACTGGTAGCTCAAGAGCAAGGCCGTGAGCACCATGACCACGACGAGCGCAAAGCCGCTGTGGACCTCCTGCACGCCGTTCTTGAGCGGCGTCGTCGTGCCCGAGAAGGACCGGTGGAGAAAGCCCATAAACTTGCGCAAGGTGGCCGAGATGCCGACGGCGGCGAGGATGCACGCGATCGGCGCCAGCGTCAGCATGAGCCGCACCATGACGCCGGCAAAGTACCACGCGACCGTGCCGTAGAGGATGACAAAGATGCCGCCGTCCGTGAGGTTCTTGTACATAAAGTAGAGGCCGACGGGGGCAACGGCACCAGAATGTGCAAGTCAAAGAAGTACGACGTCCACGTCGTCGGCTGGTGCTCCGAGACGGACGCGATGATCGGAATGTACTTGGACGCGTACGTCGGGTCGAGAAGCGTGAGCGACCGGCCCGTCCACTGCACCTTGCCCATGAGCTGCAGCAAGACGAGCGCGATCGCAACGCCCGCCACGAGCGTCGCGGCGCCGACAACGACGAGACGGCGGAACGCACCGGCCGAGATAAAGCCGCGGAGCCAGTTGACAAAGCAGTAGACTAGACATGCATGCTTGGATACATATCGCCGAAGGAAGAAGAGGTACCTTGGAGGAGGAGGAAGACGCCGTGCGAGCCGGCGCATTCGGCCTGCTTGAGCACGTTGAAGCCGACAAAGGGCACTTGCATGGCCATGAGCGACCCGAGCGCGTAGAACGTCGAGTAGGCAATGTACAGGCGCGGCGTGTACCGGCCCGCAAAGATCATCACGAGCACGTAGATCGGGATCATGTTGATGATGAAGACGTAGCCGCCCACGCAGCGACCATGTAAAAGTACGCGAGCGAGCAGGCCGCGGCCCAGAACATCGAGCCCGTGTTCACGGCCTTGATCCAGAGGTAGAAGACAAAGATGAGCGCAAAGATCGCGACGCCTTCATTGTCGTACGAGCCGCCGACCGAGCGCGAGATGTACGAGGGCACGACGCCAGCAAACGCGGCCGCGAGCAGGCCCGCGCTCGTGCGCTTCGTCACTTCTTTCGTCAGCATGTACGAGGCGATCGCAGTGTTGGCGGCAAACATTGGCGCCAAGAAGACGCACGTGTTGCGCACGTTGATCGAGATGTTGAGCCAGTTGAGCACCCAGTAGACGAGCGCCGCCGTGTACATCAGACCCGGGTAGATCGTGCCACCAATGATGCGCCCTAGCGGGTACCACGCGCGGTCGTCAAACCAGTCGAGGAACTCGAGGAAGCCCTCGGACGCCAAGTACTTGGTCGTGCGAAAGTTGAAGTACGGGTCAAACTCGTGGATCACGCTTTCGTAGCGCACGACGGAGAAGAGGCGGATCGAGAAGGACATGAGGCAGATCGCGGCCAAGAGGCCATACTTGAGCACCGGCGCGAGCGTCGAGCTGTCGTCCTCAATGTCGTAGCCCGGCGGCGACGAGACCGGCACGCCAAAGATGACCTTGCTCTGGTCCATGACCGAGCCCGAGATCGTCGCGAAGGCGGGGTCGTCACCCTTGGCCTCGGCCGCCACGGAGGGCGCGGCCTTCGTCACGGGTTTCGCCATCTTGGTCTCGAGAGGATTCCCACTTTGCCAGCCACAAACAAGCGGGAGCTGTGGACAACCTTTGAAACTCGATATCGAAATTAAATACCTTTGGGCACCTTTCTCTGGCTGTTTGTATGAAATGCCGAAAATGGCGTGGCGTGCATTACGAGGCCCGAGTCAAAAGCGATGACGTGGTACCGCGTGGCAGGCGCCGTCTCCAGCAGTCGATTTCACATATCAACTTTCACAGGTTATGATATAAGAAGGATCGCGTATCCGCCGCAGACCGCGATCCATCGCAGCATGGACAGCTCGAGGACGGCGACTGCTTGGAGGATGGCGCATGCAAGATGCAACTGCATGGTAAATGCGATCCTTGGTGGTGGCTATGGCATTGGCCAGCGCCGGCGACCAGCGCATGCAGGATGCCGATATGACCCTGGCTGTACTGCCATCGCTTTGGCCAAGCGCTGCATGCATGATGGACCGCGATACGGCAATATACTCGGCGAGGATCATGCCAAATGTGTCTTCATTACGATCCATTACAGAACGATCGATGCGTGATGCAAGCCGCTGTCGGGTTGTCGCCAGCGACCTTCACCTTGCAATGCACTTATGACGACGACTTGCTCTCAGCACCGAGGCGCGCGTCCTCCTTCTCCTTCTCGATCGACGCACACACGACCTCGACCGTGGCATCTTCGACCGTCTACCATACAGAAGAGAAAGGGCATCAGTCGTGGAGGCCATGCTGTAGATCAACTGGATCCACAACGTACCGAGACGATGCCACCCCGGCGCACGACCGCAACTTCAATGTTCTTGCTGCCAGCCTCGACGACTTCGAGAAGCGCCTTGATGGCCAAGCGGATCGCGCCTTCCTCGTTCATGTCCTGGACGTAGTTCTTTTCGAGAAATTCGCGCGTGGACTTCTCGTTGCGGCCCGTGGCGTTGGCCTTCCACGCCGTGAACGTGCCCGACGGGTCCGTCTGGTAGAGCTGGGGCACGCCCTTCGTGTCGCAGCCCGCAATGAGCATCGAAATGCCAAATGGGCGAACACCACCCCGCTGTGTGTAGCGTTGCTGGACCTTGGCAACGTAGCGAGCTACGTACTCGACAGACGGCGCGTCTTCGACCGTCAAGCGGTAGCTCTGGCACTCGAGGCGCGCCTTGTTGATCAGCACGCGCGCATCGGCCGTGAGGCCGGCAAAGGCCAGCGTAATGTGGTCGTCAACTTTGCAGATCTTGCGCACAGTGCGCGGGTCCTGGAGCTTGGCGGTCTCCTTGCGCTCGACGGCCAAGACGACCACGTCCGCGCCGCGGACGCCGACGACGATCGCGCCCTTCTTGACAGCCTCCATGGCGTACTCGACCTGGAAGAGGTGCCCATCCGGCGAGAAGACGGTGATCGCGCGGTCGTATCTACACCCTCATGAGCATCGATTCGCCTGCCATGCATGGGCTACCTCGAAGCCATGGTCCTCTTCTTGGATGCTCCTCTTCAATTGTGCGAGCGGGACGAATCCTGCGAATACTCGATATATCCCAGATATGCATTTCTAGAGGTCACCAAATTCTCGGCCCCTCGTTTGGCTGCGCTTCGATCAAGTGCGATGCGATCCGAACTTTATCGGGGCGCACCTCCTCGGGGCGCACCTCCGCGGCCACATCGTACTTGAGGAATCGGTATCTTAATCCCACTTCAACCAGCGACGGCGACATGCTGGACCTGGTATGAGCTGTCGTTGCCACTGCACGTGGTCCAAGTCTGCAATCCGCTTGTAGCAGCTCAAACACCTAGCTAAACGCAGAAGGTGGCGTCGCTGGGCGAAACGTCGCTGGAACAACTTCGTAGTTTTCCATCCAGTCCAGTTGAAGCATGGGCGGCAAGTTTTCCCAGGTGCACTACCGGGAGCGCGACACGGCTGTGGTTGAGGACTTTGAACTTCTCACCAAAGTCTGGTACGAGCACTTGTAGAAACCAACCGCATCCAAATGGGGTAGGGGCAAGGCCGAGATCGAGGTGCTGTCGCTGCAGCTGCGGCGCATCTCGTTCAACTTTTGCCTCACGCCGTCGCACTTTCAGGAAATGCTGCATCTGCACCACAACGACCTCTTTACGCCGCTCGTGGCGCGCTGGTTTGACGCGCTCAAAAACACGCCGAGCAGCAGCGTCGTCAACGGCCTCGAGTTCATCACGGCCCTCGCCATCACGGGCGGCTTTGGGAAGCTCCTCGAAAAGGCCGCGTTCGTGTTCGACTTGTTCGACTTCAACACCTCGGGTGCGATCACGCGCGACGAGCTCCTCATCTTGCTCAAGTCGTCGGTGCGCGGCCTCACCAAGGTCACGCGGGGCCTCGGCCCGCACCTACTCCGCCTCTGCCCCATGTCCCAGATCGAAGAGCTCGCAACCCTCTGCTTTGAGTTTGTGGAGCCATGCAAGAACGAAGAGGCGTCTAACAAGGCCTTAGGGACTGCGGCTTAGACCCAACCGACGACCTCCGAAAGGAGCCGTTCGTGCAGTGGGTGCGACGGACGCCCAAGATCACCAACCTCCTCCGGTGTTACGTGCCTCGAGACAAGTACAACCCCGAGGAAGCCGCCATTACGATCCAGCGCGTCGTTCGAGGCATGCTCGCACGGTCCGACGTGCTTGACCGCAAGCTCCAGCGGCGCCTCCAGCTTGACGCCCAGCTCGACATGGCGGTACACCACCAATAGCGTCGCCGTATCAAAGTATCAAGACATAGGCGCAGAAGATACAAGACGCTATTTTGCACCGCAAGAAGCGCCAGGAAGGACTGCGCCGCAGTAAAGTCGAGCGCAACGCCTCGAGCGGCGCGATCTACAGCTTTGGCGCCAACGACCACGGCCTTCTCGGTCACCAGCACCTCGAGCTCTCTTCGCAACTCAAGCAGCCGCGCCTCGTCCTCTACTTCAAGCACAACGATCAGCGCGTCGTGGGCGTCGCGACCAGCCGCGTGCACGCGAGCGCTGTGACCTCATCCGGCGCAGCGTACACGTGGGGGGCGTGCCCCCCGGGGGCGTTTGGCTCGTTGGAAAAACCGGCGGCCGCCGTCCGCGCATGTCCTCGGCGCGTCGACGATCTCACCGACGTCGCGATCGTCTCCATGGCCCTCGGCGCCCGACATTCGATGGCGCTCTCGGACGACGGCGTCGTGTACACGTGGGGCGCCGGCGACTTCGGGCAGCTCGGCCACGGCGATCCGCACGCCGCCGAGAACGAACTCTTCCAGCGCGAGTTTGACGCGCACACGAGCCGGCTCTACCCGGTGATCGACCTCCCGCTCAAGCTCGACAAGAGCCTCTTTGACGACATTCAGGTTGTCTCGATTGCCTGCGGCTACTACTTTAGCGTTGCGCTGGCCGCCGACGGCTGCGTCTATACGTGGGGCGAGGGCTCGGACGGCCAGCTCGGCCTCGGCTACGCCGACGAGTTCCGCGTTGGGTTTCTCGACGAGCACATTGTCCATAGCAACTACACGTACATGCACTCGCCGACGTACATTAATTTGACTGAGCCCATTGGCGCGATCGGCGTCGGCGGCAACCGCGTTTACGCCGTCGGACGCAGCCACCGCAACGTCTACGAGTGGGGCGCCGGGTTTCGCCGATCCACCGAGAGCGTTTTTTCACCGCGTCTCTCGCCCGCGCTCAGCACGCTGTACGTCGAGAGCATCCATGTCGGGAGCGAGTACGCCATGGCGGTCACTGGCTGCGTCTACCTCAAGCTGCCCGAGATCGACGCCATGTACGCGGTCGCTGCCACCTTTGGCGCGCCGCCCGTCGAGATTTGCACTGGTCTCAGTGCGCCGCTCATTGCACCCGGCGTCGTCAAGACATCGGCCTCGTACATCCACAAGGAAGAGTACGCCAAGAAGGTGCTATCTCGTTTTCTTGCTGTTGTAGCACTGGTTCATGACGAGTACTAGATGGTGTATGTGGACCGCGGCAAGGCCTCGGGCGTGTGGCTCACGATCGACGGCAACGACGCGTTCTCGCTGCCCGTCGTGCCGTCGATGTTTGGTCCCAGCGTCGACAGCAAGGGAGTCCAGTACCCCATCTTCTTTACGCCCCAAAAGCTCGCGTCGCTCTCGCACTATGTCCGTCCGGACGAAATTCCCGTATCAACTCGATACAAAACGTGGGATGCCATGGATCACACGTAGGGAAAGCTCGTCGTGCTTCACTTTGAAGAGACGGATTTGCCGATGGAGTCGGCGGACGACGACGTCGGCATGGTCATCGAGCGGCTCATGTACGCGCTGGTGGCCAAAGTCAAGGACGCGCAAGAGGCGGGGGCGGCGGCCGTCGCGATCGCATTTACGTTCATGGCCGAAGCGTTTCCGCTGGCGACGACGGAGCTCGACACGTTTGCCTTTGACATTCCGAGCGTCATGCTCAATGCATCGTCGGGCCAGCGACTACTCGCGTTCCTCAACGCGACCAAGCGGCCCGTGCTCGCGCACCTCGCGTCGCACGACGACAAGCTCTCCGAGCAGGTTGATCGATATCTTCTTTCATCGCTCTGCTTCGAGCCATCGAGTCGGAGTAGATGGTTCAAATCCAGAGCCTCGGCGCCGTCGCCGTCATCATTGGCCAAAACCCGCTCGACGTAACGCCGAAGAAGGTACCTCTGCAATCGTTTCGATAGGACTATCCACGCGTGTAGCTCACGCACCACATCTTTGACGCTTGCTACGGCGACCCGCTGTCGCAAGCCAAGAAGATAACCATTCCCGTGCTCATGGTCTCGCACGAGGTACGCAGTGGGCGCGCGATGCCATGCTACTGAGGTCTCGACCAGGCCAGTGTGCGCATCAAGGAGACGTACAAGCGCCGCATTCAAGACACGTTTGCCGAAATCGGCATCTCGTCGTTCGGCGACGTGTACGCGTGGGGCGCCGGCGACCACGGCGTGCTCGGCCTCGTACGCGCCTTCCTAACACAAATTATCATCACGGATGGTCTAGGGCGACACGGACAATGATGCACTCTTTGGAAGCAACTACGACGCCGGCACCAACTCGACGTTCCCGTACGTCGAGTCGCCCGAGTGGATCGAAGCGCTGGTCGATACGCGGATCGTGAACCTTTCGTGCGGGGCGTCGCACGCCGCCGCCGTCTCGGGTACTGCCGTCCTGCACCGTGTCTTGCCTCAGTGTTGTGTGTGGCAGACACGGGCGACCTCTACACGTGGGGGCACGGGGCCCACGGCAAGCTCGGCCACGGCCAGGACCACGACGAATTCACGCCGCGACTGGTCGAAGCGCTGCACTCGGTCAAGGTCGCGTCCGTCGCATGCGGGCAAAACCACACCGTACGCACTTCGTTTCATGAGGTGGTCTCTCATCGCGCGTAGCTCGTCGTGACGGCCATCAGCGAGACCAAGCCGATCGAGCCCACGAGCGCCGTCCCACGCAGCCCCCCGCCCGTCGTTGTGGTCGACGACGACGACGACGTCAATTTCGAATGAGGCGCAAAATACAATGTGTGTGTGTTGTGTTGGCAGTAGTTGTTTACGAGCCTACTGGTTCTCGGCGTGGTACCGGATCGACGCGACGATCACCGTCATGTTGTCGACCTGAGACCCAAAGACATCTTTAGCGATTTGCTTGTTGCGAGCGAGGAGCGACGTGGCGGCCGCCTCGGCGTTGCCGGTGGCGAGGGCATCGACCACGAACGCCGCGGCTTCGCCGTAGTGCCAGCTGTCCCAGATGCCGTCGCTCGCCACTAGCAGCGAAAACGTCGGCGGGTGGTCGCCGTGGTCGAGCCGATCGAGCGCGACGTCAAAGATGTCGGGCTCGTGCGTGATGCCGTAGTGGTGCATGTAAAAGTCGCCGAGCGACCGCGTAAACGCGAGCGACTCGTGGTACTTGGCACTGCCCGGCGTGCAACACAGCGACGCCCACTCCTGCCGCACGTTCTTGTAGTAGCTGCCTTCGCCGGCGCTCTCAATCTCGCTATTCTTTCGGACACAAAACACCGGGTGGCGCTCCAGCAGCGCGTGCTTCTGGCGCAGCGTGAGCCGCTTCCCGCTCGACGAGACGCCTGGCACGATGCTGTCGTACAAGAAGAGAAGCTCGGGCGTAAGCGGCGCGTGCGGAGCGTGGCGCTGCCTGGCCACATTTTCAAACTCGAACTTGGCTTCCGGCGAGTGTTCGCCCGTCAGCAACAGGAGCAGTGGCGGTTTGATCGGCTCGACGTTCATATCTGGGGGTTGCGAACAGCGTGGGCCGTGGGCGCAGTGCACTCGCAGCATCGGTGAGAGCGCCTTCCACGACGTGTCGGGGACGACAGCCGACCCGGACGCGAGAAGCACGGCCGAGTCGCCGACGTTGGCGCAGAGCAGCCTCGTCCCGTGGAGAATGATGACGATCGACGCGGTCGTACCGCCTTGGACGAGCACGGACCGCTGTAAAAGCGTCGGTTTGATGACGAGGAAACCGCCTTTGCGCTCCTGCACATTGTTGTTGGCGTCTTCGTAGCGCTGCCGCAGCGCCTACAGCAGTTGTCTTTGGCCTTTTGAGAAGAAAGCGGTCGAGACGCACCGCCTTGATGGCGAGGTGGCAGTCGTGGAAGAGACGGCGCAGCGTGCGCTCGGGCTGTGCCTCGAGCTCGGTGTACGTCTCGTGGAGGCTGAGCTTTTCGCGGAAATAGTCGCGCGCTGTCGAGGACGCGAGGAGTCCGCAGGCCGAGCCGTGGCCGTCAAAGACCGCGAGGACCACGTGGTCTCGGTGGCGCAGAGTGAAGAACGTGTCTTGGTTCTCCTTGGCCGGGTTGCCCGGGTCCGTGACGCCATGTACGTCGATGGACGGGCCCGCGATCTTGGTCGCGTGCTCCATGACCGCCAGGCGATTGTTACTGGACCTTTCCCAAGGTATAGAAACTCCGCTGGAATTGCACGTCACCAAACCGATATCGTTTTGGAAACGATAGAAGTCAAGTGACACGGTTTTCCAGGACATATAGACAGGCGGTGTCCGTGTCGCGTCGTCGTCGTCGTCGTTATTAATAGGTGTCGTCGTCCCGACGCCCATGTGTCGTACCGGTACAAGTTGTAGCCAACAGGATGAAACCAAGACCGATATTGCATTTACAAAGAGCCAACTCATGACGTGGCACTTTAGTAGTTGACGAGCGTACTCGCCAGCGCCTGGTACGGGCTTGTCGCGTCGTGGACGTCCATGGCGCACGTCGCCTCCCGACACGGCATTGTTTCGATGCGCACGAGCCCGGGGTCAGCGCTCTCCTGATTGTCGAGCGAGATGCTAAACGAGAGCGCATCGAGGCCCACGAACGCAGCGCTCTGCGGCGCGTACTGGATGTGCCGGCCTTTGAACACAAACGTGTTGGCCGTTGCGCGGGACGCTGCCGAGTAGAGCTCCAAGTGCGTCGGTGGCACGACGCAGGTGGCGCAAATCCGCGGGCGCACTCGCTGCTGGCCCAGTTCGCCCCACACGGGCACGCGGCCCGTCGACGCGTACGTCTCGAGGAGCTCTGCGAGGACGCGGTAGCGCTGGAACGCATCGAAGAGTGCATACTGCGGCCAGTAATTCGTCAAGTACGTCGTTGCCTCGGTCGTATCGAGGTAGTTGTTGCCGTCGGTGTCAAGGTAATCCGCCTCGGTCTGCGAAATGTCCAGCAGCACTTGTCCGTACTTGGGGAGTGTCAAGAGCCGCGCCATGACGTCCATGTAGTAGGTCACCGAGGTGCCGGCGCTGTTGGTGATGGTAAGTTGCCAATCCGAGATGCCGCCGACGTCGACGGCCGAGGTTCTACACAGAGAACTTAGAGGCGTAGCAGGTAGTACGAGGCGTACTGGGAGTGGTCGTGGAGAAGAAGCGTCCACGCGCCAACGCTCGAGGTGCCGCCAAAGGCATACGCAAAGGATACTTCGGGCGCCCAGGCCTGCACACTTGGACTAGCAAACGAAGCGCCTCGAATAGGACTGCCTTGGTTGTACTGGGAGAACGACCGTTGGTACTCGGCGTACACTTCGACCTCGGCCAGTGACAAGACAAGGTTGTCCGTGCGCTGCACGCGGATGTACTGACCACGGACGCCGGGCGGCAGCACTAGCGAGATTTCCTTGTCACCGGAAGTCACTTGTTGGCTCCACACAGCGTTCGCGAGCGCATCCAAGTAGGACTCGAAGGTCATCGCGGCCAGGGCATCAAAGACCATCACGTAGCACGGCAAGAGCAGGTTAAACGCAGGCGCCAACGGCTCTTGGTACGCATAGAATGTGTTGTCAGTGCCAGAAAACAGCGTCGAGACGGAGACAGAGAGCGTTGGCGAAGTGACGCCGACGGCCTGGAGGAGCGGCACGTCGCCCTGCGTCTCGAGGAAGGTGACGCTCCACGTGTACATGTTGAGCCGCTGGACCGCGCTCCGGGAGACGGCAATGGCACCCACGCACGGTTCCAAAAGCGCTTGAAAAGACGAGCCCATGGCCGAGACGCTTTCGTCTGCTCGACTCGGAACTGCATCGACGGCGATGGGGTTGGTTGTGCAGCTTTGAAAAACCAGCTGAAAGCTGCCGGCGGCAAGTACTGGCCCCGACGTCTGTACGAGTTGGACCTCCAGCTGCGACGTCGCTTGGGATACTTGAAAGAGCTTGATGGTACCAATGGTCGTGGGCTGCGCAAGTCTAGCAATGCTTGTCAGCTAAGGATACGCCAATACACATTACCGCAGTTGCCACCACGGCGTCGGCTCGTCGCCGGATGTCCGAGACGCTCCCAAGCTCGCGTGAAACGGAGATCGGTTGCCATCGATGGCATGCTGGGCAGCACCACTCGCACCAAACGTCGAACTCTGCGTCGCGGTGCCTCCCAGCGCCAAGTTGGGCCCGAACGCCATATCGACGAACGCCACATCGACGCCGAGGCCCGTTGTTTTGTCGTTTGCACTTGGCATCAATGGCACGGGGCGGCCAAACACCGACGACGACGCCGATACCGGCTGAAAGAGCGATGCGGATATGTCGTTGTGCACAACAACGGCAGAGACGGCGTTCGCCGCCGAGTGGTACAATCCTCGAACCTTGAGCTCCACGGTCGCCACTGTTTGGACGCTACATCGCCGCGTCAGTTGATGCCCGCGGCGCAACTTTGCTTACCGATCGGCCAGTACGAGTGCCATGGCGGGGCAAGTTAGCACCGCCGGCAGCGTGGGTACGGTCGCTTGTCGATAGATGCTGGCGCCTGGTGGCAGCACGAGCGCGTTGATTGACGCCAAGCGAATGCTGGGCGCAAATTCGTGTGGTCCCACCGTATAGACAAAGACACTCGTCGTCGCCGAGCTTCGGGCGGCAACGTACTGTGCCGAGGCAGGTGAGCTCGTAACGTTGTTGCGAATGGCGAGCGTTAGTGTCGGGACGCCCGTGACAACGACGGGCGCCGACCACAAGACTTGAAAATCCACCGTGTCGCCCTCGCCGTACGTTCCTATTTCCAAACGTGAGCGGACATCGCATCAACGTGCTCGTATACCGGGGCTGCGCTGACTTGTGACATCGAGGATCTGTGGGGGCGCCGACGAGATGGTGATGGCACTCGAGGCCGAGAGACTGCGGTACAAAGGCGCGCCAGAGGTCGCAGGCACGACGCCGTGAAAGCAGCCGATCGTATAGGGCGGTGCGTCCGTCACGTGGTAGCCGTAGCTGCCATCCACGTGCCACTTGCCGTTGCACGCGTCCAGACCCAGCGGCATGGCGCCAGTGCTGTCGTACCGCCCGTAAATCGGGTAGCCATCCAGCGCGTATCCGACAATGGGCGACGGCGTCCCGGCGACGTCGTTTAGTGCGTCGAGGAGGCAGTCGGGCGCGGCGTAGTATCGGTACGCGCCGGTGCCGTCGACGTACCCGTTGCAGGCGTCCAGAATCAAGTAGTTGGCGGTGGCGGGGTTCCGCAACGAGTTGCCGCTGCTGTCGGTGTAGCTGTAGAAAGGTATGCCGTTGAGCATGACACCGATGGGGCGACCGGGTAGCACTTGCGTCGGCACATTGCTCCACGTTGGCGACCGTGGAAGCACGAACGTATACGCTCGACGCTTGATCTTGTGTGGATTGTACGCATTTGGGAATGGCCCAAACACCCCGTCCGGGAGCCCCGTGCTCGACACGTAGAGAAACAACGCGGTCGTGTTGACGGCGACGTTGGATGGGTTGCGCCAGAGCCCCGAGACATCGGCGGGAATCAGCTGCAACTGCTTGAGATTGATGCTTGAGGCTGCAAAGCCTTCAACGCCAGCAATGGCTGCCAGCTCGTACGTGGCGGCCGCGTTGGCTGACACCGGCGTGCCTTTGTAGCATGGTAAAAACGTCCCCGACGTCTGTAGAAGCGTCGTGTTGAGGTAGTAGCGGTAGAGGCCGTCGCGATCGACGCGGCCACTGCACTCGTCGAGATGCGAGGCGATTCTTGATGGCATCGCATAGATCGGGAACCCGTCCAAGGCAAATCCCATTAACCCATTCGACGGAGCGAGACAGGCTGGCGCTGCCACATACATGTACCGCCCCAAACCGTCGACGGCACCGCCGCAAGTGTCGGCGACGACGACAGTCGCCTCCGGTGCTGAATTGTTGATCGGCACGCCGTTGATCAAGATACCGACGATGCCACTTGGGCGACGGCGGGCAAACCCGACCAACGGAAAGCGGGCAAGTTCGTAGAGATAGCTCGTCGGTTGCACCGTCGGCGGCAAGGCGTGGTTGGGCATCCCATTGCTCAAAAGAAGAAACTGGGAGCCTTCGCCTGTGTAAGTGCAAAGACTCTGCGGCGGAGCCGGCGCAATAGGACCGGCTCCGGGCGACGCATACGTAGCGTTGTTGCCGACGCCGACGTAGCGCATGAGTGGCCACGGGTTCACGGCAGGAAGGACAGTTGATGCATCGACGGTGGGTGTCGTCGCTAGTGCCTTGATCGTTCTACGGTGCGAGCATTGAATCTTTTAAGAATCCACCCAAAGTTATGTACCCGCCGTTGAGCACAAGGGCCGAGCCGGACGGCAGACAACCGAGGCCCGTCGCCGCCGTGTCATACCCTTCGAGTTTTTGAACCAGAAGACTCTGGCTGCAGAGCCTCATGAAGTCGAGTCGATAGACAGCATCTCCGACAGCGACGATGTACAGAAACTGTAGCGTCGTCGGCGTCGATGTGCTTGGACTGTAGAGAGCCAGACGCGCGCTGGGCGTCGTCAGCGCCAAGGTCAACGTCGGGACGCCCGTCACGACGACTGGATACGAGTACGTGACCCCGATCGAAATGACTTGACCGGGTCCGTAGGTCCCGTCGGGCGTCGTCGTTGAAACGTGCGTGATCGTCGGTGGTGACGTGTCGATTCGAATCGGCGTCAGAACACTCAAGCTGCTGGCGCCGCCGGGTGGTGGCAACTGAAGGGACGCCACAAGCGATGGTGTCGCCGCCGACACGACGGTGGCGCCGAACAGCGAATATTTGTTGAGGACTTCAACTGGAAACACGTCGTCGCCAGTCTGCACCGTGTACGAAAGCTCCAGACTGGCCGACCCGTTACCATTGGCATACGTGGCATATCGCTCGAGTGGCATGGCAAGCCGTAGCTGCAGCTGCCCGGACTCTACAAACACCGGTGCTGAGAATGTTACCGTCAACGTGAGTACGTGGCCAGCGCTGACGATCGTCGCAGAGGGGCTCGTGACCGATACCACGTGCGGACACGTGTTGCACACTGTGACGACGGCATGGTCCCCAAGACTGTGTCCCCGTCCAATCGGTGGCAGGGCCAAGTTGGCCAGCACCGTTGGCACCGCACTCGCAAGGTAGATCGACCCCATCAGTGTGTTGGAGGCAGCGTATTCGAGCACGGACGCAGCATCCGTGGGCTGGACGATATACATGAAAAACAAATAGCGCGATCCCGAGCCGCCAAGATACGTTGCGACGGTGTTGGTTGCGCCGCGCGTCGCCAGCGTCAGTGTCGGCACAACGCCTGGTGCGACGACGACGGTTGTCGAGAAGGTGACTTGAATCTGCAGCGTGTCGCCACTCGTGCACACGACGCGACTCTGGTACGGCACATCTACGTACGCGACGGCGACGACAACGGGTGGTATCGACACGACAGTCAGTGTCGATGTCCCCGCAAGGCTGGACGCTGCACCGGGAGCTGGTACAGCAACGTTGGCGGGCGTCGTCGGGGTCGTGGATTGGCCAAGCACAAGGCCGGCGAACGCGCTCGAGCCCGCGACATCCAGTACGCCATTGTCGCCCGCCAGCACCGTGTATTGAAACACGAGCGAGGTCGAACCGGAGCCCGAGAGGTAGCTGGCAGCGTGGCCAGTATTGAGGGTGACAACGGGAGCAGCGCCTGAAATGACAACCGGTGCAGAGAACATGACGGCAAAGGTCACCGAGTCTCCAGCCGCGTAGGTGCCGGACGCAGAGACACCGACGAGTCGCACGACGGTGGGGGGTACACCGGCGATGCCCAATGCTGCCGTTTCGCGCAAGCTGGCGCCCGAGCCAAAGGCCGGTAGCGTCAACGATACGGGCAGCCCGGTCGGGTCCGTAATCCGTTGGTTCGCCGACAGTACAATCGCAGCGACATCGAGGGCGGCGGCGACGTCGCCGGGCGCCACAATATAGGTAAATTGGAGAGAATCCGAGTTGGAGCCGGTAACGTACGTCGCTCTCGACGGTACGTTGAGTAAAAGCGACGGTACGCCGGTCACAACGACGGGTGCTGGAAACCGCACATACAGCGGTAGCACTTGGCCGACGCAGTATGTGCCATTTGACGCGGTCGTACCGACGCGCAGGGGTCGGTAGCCATCGGTGCGAATGCTGATAAAGTGGCCGCTCTGCTCAAGGTTGGTCGGGGCGTTGACCTGCGAAAGTGGCCCCAAGGGCGGTAGTGTCAAATCGGCGGGCTGCACGGGATGCGTCGAGAGCAGGCGAGCCGAAGCCAACGGCAGAGACGGAAGAAGGTCAAGGGCTGGCGGCGGTACGAGAACGAGGGCGTCGGGTCCGACATACGCAAGGGGATTGGCACTATCCCCCCACTGCACCTTGTATCGGAACGTCAGCGTCGTTGAGCCGGAGCCTCCAGTGTACAACGCCGTAGCAGTGCCGTACGAATTCGCATTCAAGACGAGCTGAGGAACGCCAGTGACGGCAACATGCAGCGAGAAACGGATGCTAAGGTCGATGGTTTCGCCCACGTCGTACGTGCCGTCGGGTTTGGAGGTTGTCACGGCGAGCACGCGTGGCGGCGACGACACAAGTTCAAGTTGGCTGTTGAGATCGAGGGACCCCGGTGTACCTGGTGCAGGGCAGGCGATGATCGCCGGTGTCGACGGGATAGTGGCCAAGCGCTTGATCGAGCCACCGTTGAGCCGTAACGCCCAGGTAAAGTCGACTCCTGTTAGCGCGATCCGGTCATCCCAGAGGCTCACCGGCCCCGCATCCTTGGTACCCACGACATACCGAAACGAGAGCGTTGTTGTGCCCGAACCTGCGACGTAGACGGCGTCACCAACCACACCGTTTGGCTGGACTACGAGCCAAAGACTCGGCGCGCCGGTGACGACTACGGGCAGCGAAAAACTCACGCGGACAACCAGCACGTCACCGCTGTAATACGTGCCGCTAGCATTGGCCGACACGATGTTTGTGACAATTGGCGCCGTGTTGCGGATCGTGATGGGCACGCGTCGGATTGAGTGGCCGCCACCAGGTACCGGCAGCGTCAGCGATGCCGCCGTTGTTGCCGTCGAGGCGGCACGCCAGATCGCACCGCGACAGGTCGCGTTCAGTTGCAGCGAAGTCGTGAGCGGGTAATCAAACAGCGAGAAAGCATCGAATGCGCCCGTCGTGTACACAAACGTGAGCGTATCCGTGGTGTTGCCACTGACGTACCGCGCCGAGCGCACAGTGGTCCCGTCCATTGACGGCTCGGACGACTCAAAATGCAGCACCGCCGCCGACCCCGTGGCACAAAATGAAATAGTGACGGGCGCAGAGAACTGCACAAAGAGGAAGAGGACGTGACCGACACCGTACGTACCCGCCGTCGTATTGGTGGAAACGTCAACGACAGTCGGCGGTGCCGTGTCGATAGTAAGTTGCGTCGAGTAGCTGAGACTTCGCGTGTCGGTGGCTCCTGGAAACAGTACGAGGTTGGCTGGGCCAAACGCATTTTTGGCCTCCAAGATCGCACCGCGGTTGGTATGGAGCGAGTCAACGTTGAGCAGCGGGATCAGCGGCGCCAACGCCGGCACCGTCAGCCGAAAATTGAGTACCGAAGCGCATGAGCCGCTGCGATCAGTGCCCAGCGCCACAAGCCCCGACGTCAGTGCCAGAGACGGAAAGTCCAGTAGCACTTCCGTCCACTGCAACGGCAGCGTCGCGGGCGCCGTTTGCAGTCGCGCCTTGGCGGCCACGCCGTCGTACTCGGTCCAGAAGAGCCCCAGGCCAGTTGGTAAGCACGCAAGTTTGAGGCCGAGGACTTCGCTACTGGCGTTATGATTCAGGCTCGAAGTCCTCAACATGAGAAACCCTGACGCATGGACAACGCCAACGACGGCTTGCGTTGCCACACCCACGATCGGCCGTCGCCACGCCGCAAACGTGCTGCCTTGGCACAATGTGAGCGATATGTCGACGCCGGGCGTCCCACGCAGTCGCTCGTCTTCCTTCCAATACTGCGGGTACACGGTGGCGACGTGGAGCTGTGGCAGCTGCGAGTTGGAAGCGCCGGACGTCGACCAATGCAACTTGAAGACGCTGCCGTTGGTGGTCGAGAGCACGGAGAACGTTACAGCCGACGCTGTAGCGTTCTGCTTGACGCCCACTTGAGGAATCGGCACCCACGTCATCGTGCCCAACGCGAGCATGGCCACGTGGACCGAGCTCGCTTTGGTCGTTGCATGCGTCTCGACCCACGCGAGGTACAGCTGTGTGTGAAACTCATAGAGCGTCGGCTCGGTCGCTGGGTTGTTGTTGAGACCGTAGCCACCGACCTTCGTGTCGTAGAAGCTCCAATCGCCGACGGCGGTGGTCGAAGCGACGCGAACGGCACTGGCTGTCGGCGTCGCAACGGGCCGCTCGACCCAAGCGACAAAGAGTGCACCGAGGTACTCCATGAGCACGGGTGTCGTCGCCACTGCAATTTGGTTGGCATTCGTACCCATGAACGGCAGCAGTGTCCACGACGGCGCCCCCACTTGACCGTTGAAAGACGCAACGTTGATGATGCCATCTTCGGCCCACGTTACGAACACGCCATCCTTCCAAACCCCGAGCTTGGGGTGCGCCGCATCGCCTTGAGGATCTCGGTTGACACCGCTTGCTGGAAACGTAATGTCGCGGTACTCGACACCGTCGAAGGTCGAGACGTAGACCGTGCTCTGCGTTGGCGACGACCGCTCGCTCCACGCAAGGTACGTGAGTGCGTTGTGAACAACCATGTCGGGTCCCTCGGCGGGCAAGCGCGGATGGATATTGACGCCCGAGAAGGTGCACACGGGCTTGCCGAACGCTACTTGCACATCGACCACTTCCCCGGCGCCGATGCTGCCGCTCGAGTGATTCGACGTGATCGAGGTGACGGCTGCAGGAAGCGTTGGCTGGATTTGAATGACGTTGGCCCCCGAGAGGCCCAGTAGCGGCAGCAGCGGTGTCACCACCTGTGAGCGCGACGTCGAGAGCGTCACGATGCGGCCGGTGAGTGCCAGCGGACTCGCAAACTCGAGACTGGGCGTCACGTCGCCCAGCTGCACCGTGTAGACAAAGGAGAAGGTCGTTGGAGTGACCTGGGCCAAGACGACCGCCGTCCCACCCGAGTTCATGGCGATGGTCACCGCGGATTCAAAGACGACTGGCAGTGAAAACACGAGCTCGAACACGATCTGGCCAGGTTTTGCCGTCGCAGGACTGGGTACGGGCGGGTATGCCACACCGTAGAGGCCTCCGATCGTCCGCATGGTTACCAGAGTAATCGTCGGCGGTGCGCCCACAATGCGAACCGCGGGTATTTGCACCGTCGGTAACGTTACCAGCGCGTTGATTGACGGCTGCAAACTCTGGCGCTGGATCGATCCGCCGTTGAGACTAATGGCCGCGCCGACTTTGTCGAGAAGAGTGGTGTCGTCCGAGACACCGACGGTGTAGCGGAAAACAAGGCTGGCGTCGAGGCCTCGACTGAGCAGCGCCTTGTCGTTGACACCTGCGGTCAGCGGCGCACATTGCGGTACTTGCACCGGAATCAGGGCCAGTGGCGCAGCGTACGGCACCGACGAGGCAAAGAGAACGGTGATGCGAGTGCCGACGCCAAACGGTGCGGCGACGACCGAGGTCAACCCGATTGCAGCGATCGCCGGAATCGCAAGCAGTTGTGTCTGGAGCATTGCCACGTCGTCGTAGTTGATGCAACTCGTCTGTGACGAGCCGTACATCACTGCGTACTGTCCCGATGTGATGCCGGCCGTGGCTCCAATGTCAATATGCTGACGTGTGCCTGCAAATGAAAAAACAGCCGCTCCTCCACTCGTCAACGCAATGGACGGTGCCCCCGTCACGGTGACGGGCAGTGAAAACTGGACTGTAAAATCAATCACTTCGCCCGCGCCATAGACTCCCGCCGGCTTGGTCGACGTGACACTCACGACGCTGGGAATCGACGCATCAATCGAGACGGTGCTTTGAGCTGCAAGACTATTCGGGTTGCCGATGCCCACTGGCAGCGTCAACGTCGCCGGTGCCAACGCCGACGTCGTGGCGTCGTAGTAGAAAACACGCCCTCGGAGAGAATACGCCGAAAACACATCCAGTTGCGCCGACGTCTCGCCCGTTAGCACCGTGTACTGAAACAGAAGGGTCGTCGTGAGGTTGCCCGAACGATACAAAGCGACGCCATTCGAGTTCAACTCGACCTTGGGCCGCCCAAGCACGAGCACAGCTTGTGAAAACTCCACCGCAAACCAGATGCGGTCGCCAGTGCTGTAGGCCCCGTTGGCAGAGACGGGTGTGACGCGAACAACGGCTGGCATCGGGACAGCGTACAGCTGCAGTGGCGGCAGCGACACTACCGACGGCAGCACAGTGCTCACAGACATCGGCGGTACCGAGCCAGCGCGAGAAAGCCCGATGGAGAGTGCATGTGGCGTGACCTGCGCGATGTTGTCGCCTGGCTGCACAACGTATCGAAAGTTTGCCATCGACGTGGCGGCAACGGCAACAACGTAATCAGCGTTGGCGACGACGGCGCTCGATGCACATGGGCCGCCAGCGCACGTAAACGCAGCGCAGCCAGTCGTCGCGACTTCAATGGAATGTTGCGCTAGAGTAATATCGCTGAACGTGATCGAATAGCGATGACGCAGAGCGTGGTTTTGCCGCGTCACTTGCACGCGAGCGATACCACCCAAGAGAGCCGTCAACGTTGCTTGGAGCGACGCTGCCGACACGTCGTAGCTCAAGCAGGCACTCGGTGAGCCAACAGCAGCGTGTTCGACCGTAAAGCCACCGGATGTCAATGCGCCCGATGCAGTCACATCGATTGTCTGCACGGCTCCCGAGAGACCGTCGCAGACACCATTGGGCGCCGGTGTCAGCGCGAGCGGCGCGCCCGTGGCAAAGTGAATCGTGTGGCGCCACCCGTTGTGTACGCGGTTGGTTTGAATGGATGCGACGCCAAGCGTGGCAATCGCAGGCAACGACAGAAGTTGCACACGCAACGACGTTGGAGCCCCGTCGGCGACGAAAGGGTTAATGCATTCCGTCGTCGCCGTACCGTATTGCAGCTGGTAGCTGCCGCCTGCGACCACGCTGGTGCCGGTGACGCCCACGTCGATGTACTGCAGTGCGGATGCCTGCGTGTACACGGCAGCTGCCGTCGTTGCCACGCCCGTTGCAATCGTCAGCGTCGGAGGTGCGCCCGACGTTTGCACTGGCGCAGAAAAGACGACTTGGAAGTCGAGAAACCCGGGCTGCAACGGCGCCGCATTGACGACGACCGTGCCGCACGCCAGACCCGATAGACCCGACGCACAACTGAGCGGGGAGCAATCGGTGCCGACGGTCAGCGGTTGTACGCCAAGCGTCGGCGACGTAAACGTCACGACAAACAAGTCGCCGGCGAGAAACCCACTTGCAACTTTGGAGACGGTGACGGCGACGGCGATGGACGACATGCCATTGAGGGCAGCTTGGACGTCGGACGCTGCGGCATTCCAGGCGAGACACGCGGTTGGATACCCGTTGTACTGCAGCTGGAACTGGCCGCCGACGATAAGCGAGCTGCTCGCCGCGAGCACGTCGATGGTTTGTACCGTGCCACTGACGCCGTAGAGGCCTGCCGGAGCGTTGATCGAGCGGATGTCTACGATCGTGGGCACCGACGTGTCGATGGCCAAGTGGCTGAGGTCGCTCAGACTCGCGCCCGAGTGCATCTCGGGTAAGCGCAGGGCCACCGGGATGTTGAACGCCGAACCAACGCGTTGAATGCACGCGTACGTCACCGACTTCCACGATATATGCAAGGCGTCCCAGACAGCGGCACGGGCTTGGAGGCGGCCACTGGGCAGCGTCTCGGACCACACCAAGTACAGGTCGGAGCTCGTACGCACCATGGATGCGCCGGCGGCGTTTCCGGCGCCGTTGTCGTTGGCCACGGCGGTCAATAGCGTCCACTGCGGCGGCGCAGTGTTGCTATTGAAGAGCGACGTTCGCAGCGTCGACGGACTGGTCGCCTCTTGCCACGACGCAAACAGCTGGTCGTTGCTCGAGCACGCAAGCTTCGGCAACGTCCCGACGATCGTCAACGCGCTGTTCAAGCCGCCCGACGGCGATACCGCTGCCCACGCCGTCCCTTGCATATACACTTTGACATGGATCTGCGCAGGATCGGTCGTTGCCGTTTCTTGCCAGATCGCATAGAGATTTCCCGCACACACGGACAGTGACGGACGCGATGCAAGTCCCGTCAACGCAGCGTTCAGCCCTCCGTTGTCGATCGTGGTCCACACCGGAGCATTGTCGATGCCGTTGTAGGTGGCAGCGCGCACGGTGGATGTCGTGAGCGTACTTTGCTGCCACGAAAGCACAAGCCGCGCGCCGTACACCTGCCACGTCGGAAACGTGTGGTCGCTGGCGGCGGCGAGAATCAATGTTCCGTCGATGCGCGTCCACGTCGGCGTGAGCACGTTGCTGTTCCATACAGAGATCTGCAGTGTCCAGAGACTCGACGCTTGACGCTCGGCCCAAGCCACGTACAGCTTGCCATTGAAAGCAACGCTTGCGGCGTGCTTGGCGTCGAAGGCAGCGTTCCCATTGAGCCCCGTTGGAGACAGCAGCGCCCACGTTGGTGCTGTCACGACACCGTTGAAGGCGGCAGCGTGGAGTTGGAACGCATTTCCGTCCGTTTCGTGCCACGCACACACAAGCTGCGCGCCGAGGGCCGCGCACGCAAGTCCATCGGCGGCTTTGGTTGGGTCAACATTGAGCCCTGCGCCGGTGTCGAGGCGCGTCCACAGCGGCAGTGCTGGGTTGGTACTGGACAGCTTGACCCGGAGCACGAGGCCTTCGGTCCACCCAACAACGATGGCGTTGCCGAGGGCCGTTGCACCGACGTTGATGGCATCCGTTCCTGGGTCCAGATTGAGCCCATTGTCGTTCCAGCAGCGCAGAGCGTTCGAGTCGCTGAGAGTGATGCGAGACGCTGCGTCACCTGCCTGGATGACATAGGTGAAGTACACGTTGTTGGCGTCGACGCTCTCAAAGAGAGCGGGCTGGTCGCCATTAGGGTTACCAGTCGCCAGCCACAGACGCGGCGCACCTGGTACGACGACAGGGTCGGTGAACGTGACAACGACGGTGACGACGGATCCGAGAGGGTATAGGCCGTCGATAGAGACGCCGCGAACGGACAAAACAACGACGGGCTCACTTGTCACTGGCAGTTGACGGTCCAGCGCCACTGTCGGCTGCACGACCAAGCACGCGGCATGCGCCGTCGTGTGGGACTGGATCGTCGCCCCTGCCGTGAGCGTCACCACATAGATCGATGCGACATCGACAAGAGCCGTAGCATCCCCAAGCCCGACGATGTATCGAAAGAGAAGCGTACTCGAGCCGGACCCTGAGACGTAGGCGGCTGCTCCGACATTTAGCGCAACGACCGGCACACCCGTCACATCCACGGCTTCTGTGAATGTCACGAGCACGTCCAGGTTGTCCCCGGGACGAAACAGCGACGTCGATGGCAACGCGACGCTGGTGATGGTAGGTGCGAGCGGGTCGACACTAATCTGGCCGACGACGAGCGATGGAAGCGTGAGAACGGCGCGGAGACGCGGATTGGCCGAGAGCCGACACACCGAGACGAGCGCGTTGGGCATGCGAATGGCATCGGCGCTGAGGGCGCCAAAAGCGACAGCGACGTCGGTCGGTAGCGTCGTCAGCGCAAACGTCAGTGTCGGTGTCCCACTGCCACCGACGTAGGTTGCGAATCGGTCGATGCCCGTGTTCACGAGCACCCGGGGTGTTCCAAGACCGACGACGGCCACGGGATACGAAAATGTGATAAGCACGGTGATGGTTTGTCCTGGGCCATACACGCCGTCACGGTTCGTCGTGGTCACAGCGACGACGATGGGGGCAGTGGCGTCGATGAGGACGGCCCCATTCGCATCGAGACTGTTGATGCTGCCGGGCGTCGGCAGCTCCGGCGTCACGCTCGTGGTCGGAGTCGTCGATTGTCGGCGGATGCTAGCACCCAGCGGAAACAACAAGTCGGAGCACGTGGTCAAGTCCACCGACGCGTCTCCGTGCTGTACCATGTACTGAAACTGCAGTGTCTGCGAGGTCGACCCACCGAGATACGTTGCGAGTTGGTACCCCGGGGCTCGAATGCTCAGCAACGGCGACGCGCCGTTCGTTTTGGTCGCCACCGGGGCACCCGTGTAGGCTTCGGCCATCGTCACGAACGGTCCAACGACGCTCACCACCGTGAACAGTTGATTGCCGATCGAGACGCGAAAGCCCGCCGGGATCCACGAGAGGTCGAGGTCGCTGGGGAAGGTAAACACGCACGGATTGCCATTTGTGGGCACTGTCTCGACGACGAACCCGGGAAAGAGATCGTTGGACCCGGTACTCACTTGGAACGCTGGCGCTCCGACGACCGACACGGGGCGCGAGAACGTGACGGCCAGCTGCAGTACGTCGCCCGCTGTGTATGCGCCGGGAGGCGACATTGCGTAAACGGATGTCACGTACGGCGGTGTCGATTCAATAACTATGTCTTTGGTGACAAAAAGACTTCCCGGGCGTCCGTTGGTCGGAAGCGTGACGTTCGCGTCGGTCGTCGGCGACGTCGAGAGTCGGCGAATGCTGTCGCCGGCGTTGAGCACGAGAGACGCCGGCGATACGTACGATAGATCCCGCGACGTGTGGCCAGGGCCAACGACATACTGCGCCACGAGGATCGTGCCACCGCCGTCGACTCGCACGATCGGACACGCGGCCGGGTTGACACCCGTGGCAAGCACCAAGAAAGGTGCACCGGTGAACGCGACAGGCAACGACATGGTGATCCCAATTTCGATGAGCTGCCCAACGCCGTAGATACCATTCGGCGTATTGGAGCTCACACTCAGAACGACAGGAGTACTCGTATTGACCACGATCGCTGCATTGACGCCGAGGCTGGAGGTGCCGCCTGTGGCCCACGCCGGCGGTCGCCCGGGCACCGGGAGCTTGGTGTTGGCGGCAATCGTCGTGCCATGGTTGGCAATCGAATCGCCAGAGCGCAGCAGTAGCGCGTCGGTACCCGCGTACTCGAGGTCGGCAGTGGCATCGCCGGGTTGTACGATGTAGCGAAAGCGGACAACGCTCGGACCAGCACCAAGAAACGTCGCTGTCCGGTCGACGACGCAGACGCCGGCTTGGATTTCGGTCGCGACCGGCGATAAAAGCACGGGAAATGTATGGTGCACAAGTGTAGTGTTGCTGCCACCCGTGTTGCGTGCGTCGGTCGTGAGCGGTGGCAGGTCGCCGTCCACGCCCACAAAGTTCACGCGGTCAAACGTGACGTGGACGGTGGTGCCTCGAAACGAACACGCCGAGACGCCAGCATCGTAGACCACGGTGACCTCTGCGATGCACGTGAGCCGCCGCAAGTACTCGCGCAGCATGGACGGCGTTGCGTTGTACGGGACGTTGGCCACCGCCTGTCCGTTGAACGCGATGGCGAAGGCGCCTACTCGAGTTCAGCTTGCGCGAAAGGGCAGGTGGCGCACAGTCGTACCTGACGTGGCCCGGCAGATAAAAGTCTGTATTTCGGGGACTCGACACGCCTGCGAATGGCAGCCGGTGCGGAGGACGAGCCCAGGCGCGCCGACAACATCGATGGCGCTGTTGAATTGCACGCTAATATCGATGACCTCGCCGACGCCCACGTGGCCGTCGGCGTGTGTCGTCGTCACGGACACGACTTTGGCCGGTGCATTGCTATTGACAGCCATAACGATGGGCGGAACGTTGATCGGCAGCTGCAGCTCGCGCCCGGCTGGGATCGCGAGGTCGGCCTCGAGGCGGATGTTCTATGGCAGCATTCGTCAGTGGCCCATGCGCCGATGGCGTAGCGTACCTGGACGGCGCCGACGTTGCCGATCGAGTTGACGTACGCGGCGCGGGGCACGGCAGCGTCGCCTCGGGCGGCGAGTGGCAGGAGCAGCCAGGCCAGGATCCGCATGCTGCCAGTTTTGGATCTCGCGGAAATTCAGCGCATCTCGATGGCGATTGGTCGCCGACCGGATATTTGGCCAATCAAATCGGTTGCTAACGGGTTACGAGGCGCTGTGTAAATTACAAAGCACCTCTTTGTACGCCGACCTCGCATGCTCTGCGGGATCATCGGCCACTGCTTCGCCCATGACCCGCCGTCACCGACAGCCGACGTCAAGCGCGCGCTGCGGCCTGGCCTCGGGACGAGCCTCTCGCACTTTGACCTCGCCAGCGACGACGCCAGCGGCCTAACGTCGGTCTCGGACGAGAAGGTGATCGTCGAGCTACGCGTCGACACGCGGGGCGGGCCCATGGACTTTGGCGTCGTGTTTCGCCGGTCGCCATTGGGCATCCATTCGACGTACGCGTGCCAAGTCGACTCGGTGAACCCCAAGTCGAGCGCGAAGGAGGCCGGTGTCCAGCCCGGTGCTATCTTGACGGACGTCGCGCTGCGATCGATGAAGACTGTCCCGTACGACGAGGTGCTGCAGATTCTCGTGCAGCGGTCGAACCTCCAAGCGCCAGGCTCATCGCTCCAGCTCGTGTTTGCCCAACGCGCCAAGACGATCCATCTGGACCGTAACGTCGACCACTTGACGCAGTTTCCGCAGCCGACCGGCCTCGCGCTGCCCGGTACGAACGAGTTTGTCATGGACAAGAGCGAAGGCTCTGTGAGCGCCGCGTCCATCTCGGCCACGCCGCATGCGACCGACGCGTTCAATGGTGACGCCCTCGATGACGCGAGCCACGCCGTGTCCATGACGCGATTTTGGATGTCGGACCAGCACGTCAAGGCGTGCTACGCGTGCGACCTGCCGTTCTCGTTCTGCCGCCGAAAGCACCACTGCCGGTCCTGCGGCCAGATCTTTTGCTACCAGTGCTGCACGCGCCTCTCGGCGTCGTTCAAACCGCCACACGACGCGGCGCAGTACCTTCGGAAGCAGCTCGTGTGCCACCCGTGCCATCGGCACTTGCGCGACGGC